ACTACACTTATACCGCATAACCTGCAACAGACTATAATTAATCACCTTATTATTGTCTCTCCATTTACCATGGCTGACTGCACTAATACCCTTTTAACAGTGGACACCGATATCAGTATACATGTAGGCTTTTTGTTCAAAAAGGAATATGCAGGAAATTATATGTAACAATTAACTGTGTACTAATTACATGTTTGAATGTTATCAGTTTTACGTTCTGAGATACAGTGATGTATGCATCTTCTAAAATCTTCTAAATATAATAAACTACAAAACTCTCTGCCGTAATTTTTTGTGGACATCATTCGATCAAGTAAAAAATGACTGCGTGACAAGACGAATCAACTATTTATACCCGATAAAAGAAACTGCCGTATTTTAGGAACAGTTCTATAACAAGACATTTGAAATTTCTAACAAGCAGATACATTAAATACAGTGACTAGACTACAGGTACGTAATCCGTATCAATCAAAGGTGTAAAAAAAACTGAAAATCATATCTGTCGGAGACCTACCAAATTACCAAGTTTTATCATTACTATATTTATTACAATGCAAATACTTTAGTGATACATTTTTTAGAGGAGAGGGCATACACACAAGTATATTGCTTCCGTGTGTGAATGCAGGTTGTACTTGGTATCTCAGTTCTCAGTTTCATACCGGTTGTATAACTGAATTTGTATATGGAACCATGTATACAGCATGACAATTACTTGCTATTCGTCAGTTTACAACACACATAACACGGTCAAAAATTTTAGGCACCGCTTTTGCGAGTTATGTTGTACAGTAATGTTATATTAAAATCTATTTCAATTTGTTTTCACCATTTTCCCTATTGACAGTCGTTGTTACGTGCGTCACTAGGTAATTAGTACGGATTGACCTTGTTTATTGTTTCTATACTTTGAGGATTTCTGTGACAACTGGCGGACGTAATTCAAACTCCTTCCGCACTGACACCGCATCAAATATATTTGTGTACCGATTACATAACTCTAATGGACAGGGTGGGGTGGTAGTTCACCGGACGACACTGTGTATATTGGGCGGCTCCTTTGATATCTCCTCCAAACATACGTTTATTGAATGACCCCCTTAAACGATAATACACATCTCGATGAATATATCAAGGCACTAATTCATCTTTCATAAACATTTTTTTGTCTTTGTGCTTAATATATCCACATATCAACGAACATTTGTAAAACATGTATCCTAAAAAAAATAAACATTTTCAGGCTAGGTATTTGCCCACAGCAACACCTGCATAACTGTTTATTCACGCGTGGTGTGGTAGATCGTAATTGACCGAGAGCAGGTATTGTAGAATCACCTGTAAATAAGGCCGACACTGTAATTAGATACAACGTACTAATGAGAATTATCATAAGGAGGCTGTTGTTTTTTCTGAACTGTTACCATTTTCATACCAAAAGTGACAATGCAGTTAAAAGTTGCTTTAGTGTCACAATATTCACTCACGTTTTCCTCAATCGCATTGAAACATAATTCCCACTGGTCAGTTCGAAACCGCATGTAATTAAATAATTATTTCGAGATTTCGTTAGAATGTAAGATATTCAGCCAAACGTTATGCAATAAAAGACGAATAGTTTTTTTCATTAAAATACGCGCACGCGTACCTGTATATTGCATACCTGGTGTCACGTAATTGCCCAGTGTGATGTATCAACGGGACATTAAATGGGAAATGAAATAGAAACTAACTAAAATTTAATGTTGTGGAAAATAACTCCAATGAATTGGAGTACACGCACATGAATTCGTATGATAAACTGTCAAAACGTTTTGAGAGGTAAGGCCGGGTTCATTAAAGATCGCTACAATATGTAAAACAGGTGAAATTTGTAGAACTAAAGGAAACATCCAACCAAATGCCCTTTTTAAATAGTAATGTAATGATATAATATAAAGTATATTTCACATGATACAATATACTTTGCAAACAGTTAGTTGATGCTTGAAAGGGACTGACGTAAACATGGACGAAATATTTTAATAACGCCGTAAAATAGTTGAATTAAGTAAAAATTAGTTAAATTTTGTGTCATGATACTTGAATAAATACATTTAATGTATTTGCGAAAAAAAACATGAGTTTTGAGTAAAGGAACATATACTCGCCCATGGGCCAAACCCTTTTTCTCGCCCATGGGCGAAATATTTCAATATCGCTATAAAATCGTTGAATTAAGTTAAAATGAGTTAAATTTTGTGTAATGATACTTGAATGAATACATTAAATGTATTTGCGAAACAAAAACATGAGTTTTAAGTAAAGGAACATATTCTCGCCCATGGGCCTGCCCATGGGCCTACCCATGGGCCAAACCTTTTTCTCGCCCATGGGCGAAATATTTCAATATCGCTATAAAATAGTTGAAATAAGTTAAAATGAGGTAAATTTTGTGTCATGATACTTCAATAAATACATTTAATGTATTTGCGAAACAAAATCATGAGTTTTAAGTAAAGGAACATATTCTCGCCCATGGGCCAAACCTTTTTCTCGCCCATGGGCGAAATATTTCAATATCGCTATAAAATCGTTGAATTAAGTTAAAATGAATTACATTTTGTGTCATGATACTTCAATGAATACATTAAATGTATTTGCGAAACAAAAACATGAGTTTTAAGTAAAGGAATATATTCTCGCCCATGGGCCTGCCCATGGGCCTACCCATGGGCCAGACTTCGCCCATGGGCAGGCCCATGGGCAGGCCCATGGGCGACATAGTCTAAATATTGAGTTTTTAAACAATTTTTTTTTCATTTTTTCTTCCTTGGTATGTTCCCATGAAAACGGCATGTTTAATTTTGAAAATACCTTTAACCGAGACTGGGCAAAGACCGTAGAGTTTCTGGACTTTTGGGTTTCCAGAATTAAAATGGGACGTGTTAATAATATATGTTTTTGTGCGAAATACACCTGGTTGATAGATAACACCAACTTTACCCGAATAAGGGATCGATCATGCGCTAGTCAGCAAATTATTTCCTGATTTCCTATTTTCTTGTAGCCGCTTATGACACAAAGATAGCGCTTTCTAGGCCTCGAGATTTTTAAGGATATTTGGGTTACAGTAAAAGAAAGTCCGTTGTACGATTCCGACGATTTCATAAGCAAATGTTTATGAATCACTATTAATTAGACCAATAATGTGTAGGATATTATAATGTATCTGGTCTTTGTTTGTATATGGTATCCTGTGCTAATTTATGACGCACACCGAAATAAGCAACTGAAGTATTGTCACGTTCAAATGCCAGACATATGGTGGGAATAGATATGGTGATCCCATATGTCATGGCTTTATCAGTAAACATGGTATCTTCAGGTAGGTAACCCAGGGTCATCTGGACCAGTAGTAATTCCATAAAAATAGTCACATCCATGTCTAGCTCCACTCACAGGTCGTCTCATGCGCCGCGATTCGCTGTGCACAGTTGCGTCCCTTGGGAACGCCAGAAACCTATGATTGTGCATTTGAATCCCGGTTCGCCCAAATTATGTGTCCAGGTTTGTCAGCATCATACCCGTACTCGAGGGTTTCACCGAAGTGGTAAACGTCTGAGACCTGCATCACTTCGGGCTTTCCTCCCACATTAAGCTGACACGCCGTGATATAACTGGAATACTGTTAAAAGCGGCGTTAAATCAAACTCACTCACTCACTCACTCAATTAAGTCTCGGCGACTGTTTTCAGCCTAGTAACGTTTTGATAGCGTTTGTAATTTTGTTGGTCAAGTCTATTTTTCAAGTTTATACCTTATTTTGCCCGGCGGTTTAATATTACACATTTCTTTAGGATATAAAAAGATGATTACCCAAATGAATGGGTTTTTCAGGGTGGCTTCTTCCTGACTGGAATTGAAAAGCTTAACTATCGATTTGAGAAGTGTATTGAAATGCAGGGAGATTATGTTGAAAAATTAAATAAAAACACTTTCACAATTGTTGGTTTTGTTTGTTAGGCTCAGAACTGACCAGTCCTCGTAATCCAGTGTATATAGAATAATCTTGTTCCGAAAATTTGCAAATGTATATATTTTCGTTAATGTTTTCGACCGTGTCATTAAAAACAACAATGTTTCCTAAAGTGCTTGGACGCCAACACAGTTTTGAAAATGCCTTTTTGCTTTCTACGCTCGATGGAATCTATTTCGGAACATAATCGACTATGCTTGTCGTAAGAGGCGACTAACGGGATCGGGTGGTCAGGCTCGTTGACTTGGTTGATGCATGTCATCGATCCCAATTGCGTGGATGGATGCCCATGATATTAATCACTGGATTGTCTCGCCCAGACTCGATTATTTCCAGACCGCCGTCATATAGCTTGAATATTGCTGAGTGCGGCGTTAAACAAACAACCAACCAACCAACCAACCAAAATATCAACATCCCCAACTTCTGACTTATATAGCAAAATTGGGCTGGCTTGTGCATTAAAGATTTACAAAAAACATATCTAATTGGACAGGTATTGGAATATACAGTGACATAAAAATACCATACATATTGGCTTGAAGTGAAGCATGGTATGGTTTTACGCCGCCTTCAGCAATTTTCCAGCAATATCACGGCGGGGGACACCAGAAATGTCGGGAATCGAACCCGGGTCTTCGGCGTGACGAGCAAACGCTTTAACCACTAGGCTACCCGACCGCCCTCAGGTTTCGAACCTCCGTAACACCACGTTTCGTGTTCAGATAAAATACCCCCTTTTCAAACGCCACAGTTGTTGTTTTTCAAGATTTTACAGTTGAATGATAATCAATACAAAACCGTTATTGTGTATTAATATGTCCCCCACATGCCTACCCTAAAACTATTGAAAGCCTTATGGGGCATTGAATGTTGTAGCACTTATCAAAGTCGTATGGCGCTCCTTGAAATCTTCGTAGAAAGAGCACGAGAGATTATGCCTCAAGACTTGTAAAATGTAGACACCAAAGGCTGGAGTGCTGGGATATTGCTAGGTATGAAGGGGCAATTGACTATTCAAAAGTCTTCATTTTTGTCACACGGTCTTGTGGACATTTATTTTTGTCACTATCAAATTTTTATGCATGGACCTAAATATGGAACCAGAAATATCTCAGTAGCACACGAATGAGACACAGGTTACACTCGTGATTTCAACACGTTGTCTACACCATGAATACAGCGATCACCTACCACTGGGCAGGAGTGTGATAGTATGGACACTTGTCTACATTTTCTACAATATGGAATATCATTCAAATGATTTAGCGTGAATCAAAATCGATTGGTCACTGTGTGAACTGCCACCTTTGAGATAAGCTTCACCTTTAAACCTCGCAATGGGCGCTCTCTCAGGTAGGTCACTGTAAAGACATATTTTGCCTAAATCATTGATAACATTGTTGGTTACCTGAAAAGTATAAAGACAGTATGAATATGGTGTGTCTGTTATTTGGTGTTTTATGGTGTTTATTAGTTTATATCTTACATATTATCAAATAGGTGTCAGTGATATATGAATGTGTGCTGTTGATTCTTTATAGGTGTCCCCGTTTCTTCATAATTATGTTTATCAAAAACGAATAAAATCCGGAAAACCTGGATAATACCATCTATGTATGTCTGACATCGTTTATTATAAAAAATAAGAACAATTATTATATACTTCAGTGTGAAAGACTGAGCTTTCGGAAGTTGAGAAAAGTGATATTTTCATTGCAGTGAACATAACACTTGATATTAAACTGCAGTGAACATAACACTTGATATTACACTGCAGTGAACATAACACTTGATATTACACTGCAGTGAACATAACACTTGATATTACACTGCAGTGAACAGAACACTTGATATTACACTGCAGTGAACAGAACACTTGATATTACACTGCAGTGAACATAACACGTTGACGGAACTATTGTCACACTAGAGTTACCTACCCGGAAATTGTCTCCCTTTATCGTAAGTGTCTAGCCCGTACATAAACCCTTGACTTCCTTTTCACGTTAGTTCAACATTGACAAGGCAAAATAATGACAGACTGTCATTTAGGGAGTTAATATCGCTTCTTGCTGTTTGTTATTCTGTTTCGTTATAAAATGTATATTTCTCATTTAACTCAATAGAGACTGGTCGTTTCGCAAAAGCGCCATTTTTGTTACTTGACCAGCGTGTATTCTTTCACATTAACAGCGGTCTCGTAGCTTTCAATAATATGTTTTCGTTGATGTTGGTTTTCACCCCAAGCATTTCGCTTGTCATCATGGCGTTTGTGAATGAATGTTGTTTTACGCCGTAGTGAGTGTTATCAATTTTTCTCGTGCAACATGTGACCTTGCCTTGCGACCATCTGCTCTACACACTGCTTCAATAACGGGCAATGGTAGGATTCGCACAAACTCCGTGCATGGAATACGACCTATTCGACGCCTGTGAGATATGCGCGGCCTTATGCCATTACTATACTCAAAATAGACACACGTCACTACTGCACCCATAACGACTGTTTGTCTTCACGGGTGATGGCGGAAAGTAGAGTATACAGACCCGTGATGTATTCACGAAACAAAATGTATACTGGAACAGTTCGGGGTTTGGCCTGACCTATCGACTTCCATGAAAGATCCTATCTGTTTCAGGTTGCGCCTACTTCATATTACTGTTGTTTCATCTGTGCATCCGAGTGTCGAACACTGGTGAGTGTAAATATACATGTAATGTTGTTTGTCTGTTTGATTTTGTTGATTTGCGTGTCTTCGTACCCCGATGGCTCGGACCGTTGCTCACAATATTGATCACTGGATTGTCTAGTCCAGAAAACCTTCAAGGGTTGGAGTGAATGAGTATGGCATTACGCGGTGGCATTATTCCAACCACGCGGGGAACATCAAGATTGGTCTTCACACATTGTGTGGCATCTCGGGAATCTATCCCGGGTATTCTGCTTGACCAATCTCATTAAAATCAGATCTTAATTCTCGCTACCGCTAAACAAAGATCTGAGGACATCCCATTAGGGGTCACGTCAGAACGACCTTTAATCCGACCAATCAGAGAGTCGCTTACCAGATCATGAAAGTGGAATGCGATTTCTAATCATGCAACCTCGAAAACTTTAACACGGCGTATTCCGAACTATAGTTACGGGTTTAACGACTGAATCTATACAACCTAGACCATATATTTGCCATTCCTGAATGTTCTTTTGTTCAGGTTTAAAAAATTTCATCGAGAATTTGTCAAAATATGTAGGCGTAGGCGCCAATTTGAATTTAGTGACGTAAAGCGCGAGAAAGCTGCCTGCCAATGTCGACTTCTTGTCAGTCCTTCCATTGGTCGGTAAAAATTCGCGCATGGTCGGTCTGACGTGACCTGTAATGTGATTTCCTCAGATCTTTGTTTAGCGATGGCGAGGACAAAGATCTGATTTTAATGAGATCGCTGCTTGACCGAAGATCAAGGGTTGTAGACGGACGTTTAGCTCATTACCAATCCCGGACACCCGGCAGTGTCACGTAACGAATTTATCAAAACGAATTCACAAGATACGAAAAATTCTTTTCGGTGAAATAGATGTGCGTGACTGTTAGATCTGTACTGTGACCACCGTCCAACTGTTAGTGATGATGATGATAATGATGGTAAATGTGCGTGACTGTTAGATCTCTCCTGTGACCACCGTCTAACCGTTAGTGATGATGATGATAATAATAATAATAATCCGTCATTTGTGTTCGCAAACATCACCATTATTATGGATGAGTGTACACTCGATTTTTATGCTCAGCTCCCTGGGGAGTATACAACCCAAGCTGCCTGTGAGGCGCTGGTGGGTTAACTGTCACATTACCATCTCCTCCTACCGGGTACCCATTCACTGCTGGTAACGATAAGTATTGTTTTCCCAGCTACATGTGAAGACTCACGGAATTTCGACTGTGCCTCCCTTGAACGCACCAGCCAAATCTGTTCCAAGTTTCTTCACAGCCAGGAAACAAGAGTTTTCTGTCCAAAATACTGTGGAATCTGCTCAGATGGTACGAAGTCAGCCCGGGTATTATCATGTCGGTATGAATAGTGAGTGAGTGAGTTTTGTTTTACGACGCTTTTAGCAATATTCCAGCAATATCACGGCGGGGGACACCAGAAATGGACTTCACACATTGTACCCATGTCGGGAATCGAACCCGGGTCTTCGGCGTGACGAGCGAAGGCTTTAACCACTAGGCTACCCGACCGCCCCCGGTATGAATAGCACAAAAATGCTTCCGACAAACTCCAAGGGTATTTATTCAGTAGATCTGAAGACTTTAGTGCTGATGGGAACATTTATAGAAACAGTGTGACACTAAGACCTTTCTCTTAAAATATTCCTAGGCTTGATGTATTTGTATTGTACACTGTAATTTAATGTCGTGTCAACTATGATCTGTTATGTGGCTGCGCTTCCTAATCATTACTTTATTTAAGAAATAAACAACGACCACGAGTCGTTTATTTCTTATATGAGTGAGTGAGTGAGTTGGGTTTAACGCCGCTTTTAACAGTATTCCAGTTATATCACGGCGTGTCAGCTTAATGTGGGAGGAAAGCCCGAAGTGATGCAGGTCTCAGACGGTTACCACTTCGGTGAAACCCAAGAGCACGGGTATGGTGCTGACAAACCTAGACACATAATCGGGGCGAACCGGGATTCGAACCCACAATCATAGGTTTCCGGCGTGGCCGAGGGACGCAACTGTGCACAGCGAATCGCGGCGCCTTAGACGACTGGGCCAACCGCGCCCCCTATTTCTTATATGAGGTTTCAACATTACGTACTGCCTCTTTAAGGATGTTAGTAAAAAGTACACACTTTAAAAATATTTACTCGTATTTAAATGATGAAGACTCCCTGAATAGAATCCGACCGCGGCAATGGCGGACAAGTTCATTTTATTAACAGGGTTTGGTCTTGCCCGCATATTCTCACAATTTTCACGCCGATTATCTGTACCTTTTCTCCCAGTACCGATTGTCATATCTCTCTCACTTTAGGAAGCTATCGTTCGGCCATTGCGTTTATCTACGTTGCCCAGCTACATCTATGTCACTCGACACTTCTCTCTCAAAAATAACGTTGTCATATTTGTGACGTCACCATGCTTCATTGTTCTTTGCGATAAATCGCATAGCTTTCTTATATAATAGCGAGCAGGATGTGCCGCTCGACGGAAACGCCTAGAGGTTGAGAAATAATTCTCTCACATCATGTATGTCTGAGCTGGATCTCCGCTCACCTCGCATTTGTCTGAGCTGGAAACGCTTGAGGTGTGGAACAGGTGTTCCGCTTATCGCGTATTTCATTTTCATTGTTTATATGTACTAAATGTTCCGGAACGGGGATGCAGCTGTCACTCCCCCACCCCTACCCCCAGCCCCACCCCCTTCCAAACAAAAGAACAAAAACAAGATAATACCCTCGAGATTGACTTGTGACATCTCCCCTAAACCCATAATTCGGTAATCCCTATACTCATAAGGACATCGTTACATATCACTGAAATATGTTACAAATAGAAAATGCGGAACTTTCATCATCGAAGTCATCGGCATTCCCGTCAACTGCAACTGCATCGTCCCCGTCAACTGCAACGGTTTGGGCGACGAGGAAACAACCACAATCTGCCCAGTATGACGGGCCATGTGTAGATGACCCTGGTATTGACTGCGCTGATCTGAACCGAACTGCGCCACTGTGTACAACATTCCGCCATAGTGACGACACAAAGAAGTACTGTCCTAAGTTCTGTGGACTCTGTGGGACAGGTTGGTAGCTTGATTAGGATCAAATAATCATGTTACAATATTTCATGAATTAATTATCTCAATGTGAAACTTGTCACCAATCTATCCTATAGACGTATTCTGGGACGTGGACATTGCACTTAGCGTATTTACAAACTAGGGAATCCAAGTCATCAGCAATGTCAACGACGTCACTGACGACAGCCATGCAGCACGTAACGGCTGCCCCGTACGACGGGCCATGTTTAGACGATACGTTGACTATTAAGTAAGCATTCCAGTGAGAAATCGATTGTTTGGTTCAACCTGTTTGAACAGCATCTCCGTTATATCAGCGAGATTTTAAAAATGTAAGATCCAAAAACCACGGCTCTAGAATGCTGGCACAGCTAAGGGACACAACTCTACAAATCATGATGCGGTACTTCTACTGAACATGATTTATTAATATCAAGATTTGAACTCAGTGATAACCTGTCTAAAAAATACAATTTTGCAATATATCTAAAAAAATATATATTTTTACCGGTTGTTAAATAGAACAAAAACTACGTTGTTTGTTATTCATAACGCACGAATTAGTTCATCTAACATTGTGGTTATTACGCTGTGCACCGTCTGAACATTCAAGTAATCACGTTGTTTTATTTTAGGAATGAATTATCTCAATGTGTAACTTAACACCAGACCCGTGAAGATCCGGGGTAGAATAGGTCTTCAGCAACCCATGCTTGCCGTAACAGGTGACTATGCTTGTTGTAGAAGGCGACCAACGCGATCGGGTGGTCAGGCTCGGTCGCTGACTTGGTTGACGCATGTCATCGTATCCCAATTGTGTAGATCGTTGCTCATGATGTCAATCACAGGACTGTCTAGTCCAGACTCGATTATTTACAGACCGCCGTCATATAGCTGGAATATTGTTGAGTGCGGCGTTAAACAACAACATACCAACACAATTTAACACCAATCTATCTTACATACGTATTCTGGGACGTGGCCATTGTACTCAATGACGTGGCCATTTGTATTTACAAACCAGGGAATCCAAGCCCGACGTCACCAGCAATGTCAACGTCGTCACTGACGTCAGCCATGCAGCACGTTACGGCTGCCCCGTACCACGGGCCATGTGTAGACGATCCGTCTTTTGACTGTGCTGATATGGACCGAACAGGGCACATATGTACAACTTTCCGCGAGAGTGATGACACTAGGAAGTACTGCCCAAAGTACTGTGGACTGTGTGGGACAGGTAATAGAGTCTTCATTCCAGACAGAGACATTGTGGTTGTATTCAGGGCGCCATGTTTAGACGATATACCTTGAGTATGTAGTAAGCCTTGTTTGGTTCAACCTGTTTGAAAGTATTTCCGTTATATCAGCGAGATTTTATCACACACACCCTTAAAAACAAGCAAACAAAAAACAAAAAAACAACAAAAACTAATATAAACAACAACAAAACAACATCATCTAAGAAAATTCTTGAAAAGAATATTGTTGCTTCAGAATGTTGAAAAACCAAACAAATGTCCGCCACAACAATTACACTGTTGCAAGGTGTTATGTCTTAAAAACATAGTCAGGCTCATAGTAATATAGAAAAATATAGCTATAGCTGAAAATATATCTAATCTCCAGACACAATCCCAGACATAGACGTTTGCGACTATTGGTAAAAAACGAGCACTGGTTTGGTGTTCACAAACCAAACATGTAGGATCCAAAACCACGGCTCTAGAATGCTGGCACAGCTAGGGGACACAACTCTACATGTCATGACGGGGTACGTCAGGCCGCTAAGCCACAAATGACGCCTCTTCTGCTGAACATGATTTATTAATATCCAGATTTGAACTTAGTGATAACCTGTCTAAAAATTACAATTTTGCAGTATATCTATATATTTTACCGGTTGCTAAATAGAACAAAAACTACGTGGTTTGTTATTTATAACGCACGAATTAGTTCATCTAACATTGTGGTTATTACGCTGTGCAATGGCACCGTCTGAACATTGAAGTAATCACGTTGTTTTATTTCAGGAATGAATTATCTCAATGTGTAACTTAACACCAGACCCGTGAAGATCCGGGGTAGAATAGACTTCATCATCCCATGCTTGCCGTAAAAGGTGACTATGCTTGTTGTAGAAGGCGACCAACGCGATCGTGTGGTCAGGCTCGGTCGCTGACTTGGTTGACGCATGTCATCGTATCCCAATTGTGTAGATCGTTGCTCATGATGTCAATCACTGGACTGTCTAGTCCAGACTCGATTATTTACAGACCGCCGTCATATAGCTGGAATATTGTTGAGTGCGGCGTTAAACAACAACATACCAACACAATTTAACACCAATCTATCTTACATACGTATTCTGGGACGTGGCCATTTGTACTCAATGACGTGGCCATTGTACTCAGGTATTTACAAACCAGGGAATCCAAGCCCGACGTTATCACCAATGTCAACGTCGTCACTGACGTCAGCCATGCAGCACGTTACGGCTTCCCCGTACCACGGGCCATGTGTAGACGATCCGTCTTTTGACTGTGCTGATATGGACCGAACAGCGCACATATGTACAACTTTCCGCGAGAGTGATGACACTAGGAAGTACTGCCCAAAGTACTGTGGACTGTGTGGGACAGGTAATAAAGTCTTCATTCCAGACAGAGACATTGTGCTTGTATTCAGGGCGCCATGTTTAGACGATACCTTGAGTATATAGTAAGCCTTGTTTGGTTCAACCTGTTTGAAAGTATTTCCGTTATATCAGCGAGATTTTATCACACACACCCTTAAAAACAAGCAAACAAAAAACAAACAACAAAACAAAAACAAACACAAAACAAAAAAACAACAAAAACTAATATAAACAACAACAAAACAACATCATCTAAGAAAATTCTTGAAAAGAATATTGTTGCTTCAGAATGTTGAAAAACCAAACAAATGTCCGCCACAACAATTACACTGTTGCAAGGTGTTATGTCTTAAAAACATAGTCAGGCTCATAGTAATATAGAAAAATACAGCTGTAGCTGAAAATATATCTAATCTCCAGACACAATCCCAGACATAGACGTTTGCGACTATTGGTAAAAAACGAGCACTGGTTTGGTGTTCACAAACCAAAAATGTAGGATCCAAAACCACGGCTCTAGAATGCTGGCACAGCTAAGGGACACAACTCTACATGTCATGGCGGGATACGTCAGGCCGCTGAGCCACAAATGACCCCTCTTCTGCTGAACATGATTTATTAATATCCAGATTTGAACTCAGTGATAACCTGTCTAAAAATTACAATTTTGCAGTATATCTATATATTTTACCGGTTGCTAAATAGAACAAAAACTACGTGGTTTGTTATTTATAACGCACGAATTAGTTCATCTAACATTATGGTTATTACGCTGTGCAATGGCACCGTCTGAACAATGAAGTAATCACGCTGTTTTATTTCAGGAATGAATTATCTCAATGTGTAACTTAACACCAGACCCGTGAATATCCTGGGTAGAATAGGTCTTCAGCAACCAATGCTTGCCGTAAAAGGTGACTATGCTTGTTGTAGAAGGCGACCAACGCGATCGGGTGGTCAGGCTTACTGACTTGGTTGACGCATGTCATCGTATCCCAATTGCTTAGATCGATGCTAATGATGACAATCACTGGATTGTCTAGTTCAGACTCGATTATTTACAGACCGCCGTCATATAGCTGGAATATTGCTGAGAGCGGCGTTAAACAACAAACAAACAAACACCAATCTTTCTTACATACGTATTCTGGGACGTGGCCATTGTACTCAATGACGTGGCCATTTGTATTTACAAACCAGGGAATCCAAGCCCGACGTCATCACCAATGTCAACGTCGTCACTGACGTCAGCCATGCAGCACGTTACGGCTGCCCCTTACCACGGGCCATGTGTAGACGATCCGTCTTTTGACTGTGCTGATATGGACCGAACTGCACACATATGTACAACTTTCCGCGAGAGTGATGACACTAGGAAGTACTGCCCAAAGTACTGTGGACTGTGCGGGACAGGTAATGTGTGTGTGTGTGTGTGTGCTTGCGTGCGTGCGTGCGTGCGTGTGTGTGTTTGTGTGTGTGTGTGTGTGTGTGTGTGTGTGTGTAATGGTTAGTTCCAGAATGGACACCAAATATGATATTAAGGTCAGCGTCAATTGGTGTAAGTAAGTTGGTGTTTTTTTACACCGCTTTAAACAGTTTTACAGTTATATCACGGCGTATCAGCTTTATGTGGGAGGAAAGCCCGGAGTGATGCAGGTCTCAGACGTTTACCACTTCAGTGAAACCCACGAGCACGGATATGGCGCTTATCTATAGATAAGTCAATATGTGAATCAAATTGTATATGTCGAAGTAGCATCTTTTGAACATGGATTCACTTCATTCGTGATTATTTTGCTAATTATTTTCTGACAATATTATTTGTCATCAGAAACCAACATCACAATGCTGTCTCAGCACTACGACTTTACGTCTGTGCTATAAAGTAAGGGTGTTTCTTTGTTGAACGAGGGGCGGTGGGGTAGTCATGTAGTCAAAGCGTTCGCTCGTCATGCCGATAGCCCGGGTTCGATTCTCCAAATGGGTATTATGTGTGAAGCTCATTTCTGGTGTCACTCCATGATATTGCTGAAATATTGCTAAAAGCGTCGTAAAACCATACTCACTCGTTGTTGACCTGGTTTCGACTCCCACATGGGTATACTGTATGAAACCATTTCTTCCCGTTCCACACTGTGAACTGCAAGAATTGTCCCACACTGCCATGGGGAAGAATAGCATTAAAAGCGGACTAAAGTCTTACTCACTATTATTCCCCTAACACACAGCTCAGGCAACACCGTCGCCAGCACCAGTCAGCGGCTTGACAACCAGCTCTTCCTCCTTCACTGGACCTTGCGTGGATGCCATGGGAATGGACTGCGCCGACCTGGACCGCACTGCCCACATCTGCACCACCTTCAGGGACAGCCAGAACACCAGAGATCTCTGCCCCAGATACTGTCACCTCTGTACCCCCGGTACAACACATCAACTGCGTAATATCGGACGGGTTACAGTTTGTTGGTCTGTTGTTTAACGCCGCACTCAGCAATATTCCAGCTATATGACGGTGGTCTGTTAATAATCAAGTTAGGACCCATCTTCCCGAGGCAAGAGCGTTAACTGACTTTACAAGTCCAGTTTCCACCCTTTCCGAACTAGGCTGGAATTCCTGGGCTCGATCGTAACCCCACCAGTGGCTATTACGAGTTATGTCCATTCTGTGTCGCTCCCATATGGACCAATCAGATTCCACCTCTCGTATCACATGCATTTGCTTGAAACAAAATGGTTGCGCCCAGTCAAGACGATCTGATCGACCATCAAGATCTATTTTGTGATAAAACGGTTCTTACTTCGCGAAGTACATCAAATCACGTGAGCAATTTGATTAAAAACAAGAAAAGATTTGGAAAATATCTGTTGACAACGAGTTGGCGATGCACATGCTTTGCAAATCCTGCAATCGACCGAACTCTGCATGACAGTTTACGAACCGGATTTCGATTTCGGTGCGCGATTTCGATTTGACTATGCATAGACTCGTTAGTCCAGCCAAAATGTAATTTTACTCCATAATCCCAGCCTAGTTCGGCAAGGGTGGAAACTGGACTTTTATAGTCAGTTAACTCTCTTGCCTCGGGAGGATGGTTTGGACCAGACAATCCAATGTTTGACATCACGAGTATCGATCCAGCGAGCCTTACCACCCGATCCCGTTAGTCGCCTCGTACGACAAGCATCGTCGGCTCTGACGGCAAGCAATGGTTGTTGAAGACCTATTGTAACCCGGATCTCCACGGGTACTTTATCGGGATAGTCAGGTACAGTGGCGTTGTCGGTCCTATTGTTCTTCCAAGTCTCGTTCCATCCCGATAAGGTACTGTCACCAGTCATCCATCTGTCTTCGAGTACATCCAAGTAGAGTCCCATGAGAAACGGTTATATAACGGGTATATGACTTTCTGGTGTGTGTGTAGAAATGGGTTAAGATGAGCAATTGTTAATGTTAACTTTAATGTTCTAACATAAACAGGTGCTCGTTTCTTTATACATTGATCTACTGTTCTTATACCAATTCAACAATTACAACGACCACTTCATAGTGTAAACATTAGCGATAGGGAATCCTGGACTCATCGTGGCTGAGTATAGTGCCATTTATCTAAAAAATCATTATTGTGCAATTGGAAGAACAGATATTGCACACAAGCGACTTACACAACACATTTGTAAATTATTCCTTTGAAATAAGTAAACTACGGTTATTACGAACTCTAAGGGACAACTAATGTTAATTCGTTATAACCGTCGTTCGTTATAAGCATAATATATACAGCATATAAGCAAACGCCCGGGACCAAAAAATAAGTTCATTATATCCATCAGTTCGTTATAACCGTGTTCGTCATAAACGTAGTTTACTGTACTGTAAAAGGTTGATTTGATTTTCCAAATCTCTACAAAACCTCTGCAACTAAGAAGGTTTGTTTTAAAACGAACTTTCAGATCTATTGTTGTTTTCAAAGAATGGGCACACCTTCAGGAAACAGACACGTGTTTTAATGCCAGTGTATTGTATTCGTGTGTTGTAGAGCCGGTGTCTGTTTCAACGTGTCATGACGCTGATGGAGCAGACTGCGCTGACCTTGACCGCACCGCCAACATATGCACCACTTTCAGGGACAGTCAGAGCACAAGGGAGTTATGCCCTAAATTCTGTGGATTATGCTCTGATGGTATTTGGTCTACACGTAGCTTACATAACAATTCTTTTGTTAAGACCTTTCCATTTGTATTGTTAACATATTAACATTAAGCGCCAGGGAAGCCCAGTGGGGGGAGCGTTGACTCGGCTCATCGATTATCCGGGTTCTATTCTCCATTTGGTTAGTGTTCTTCCCTGTCCCGCTATGGCTAGAATATTGTTGGACCTGCGTATAGCCTTCATATTTACATTCATGTTAAACTTGCAGATGTTCTATTCAGCTTGTTAAGTTTAACCTCTTATCTAGCATGTACATGATCACTGGCAAACATCATTCATTCAAAATCGGATCTAGATCGAATAGTTTTTGTCTCATCGATCAAGTTTTAGCTCACCTGACTGAAAGTCAGGTGAGCTTGCGTCCGGCGGCGTCCGTATTCTGTCTAAACATCGTCCCTCAATAGAAACCACAGAACCAGTAAAACTGAAACCTACCAATGGCCATTACTCAAACATTATTGTTATAACGTAATGACATTTGGTACATACTTATGCTGTTAGTAAGTAGTGGGGATCTACTTTCATGTTCCGCTTTTCACATTGTTTTGAATTTATCCGTTGTCCGACACAAGCGTTTTTACGACAGTGCCGTTACTCTCCAGCACCATCATCAATGTCAGTGCCGATAAAGATTATTTTGCAACCAAAAAGCTGTATGGTCTAAATCGGTATATCTTGATGATGGAGTTCGGGTTTGCGAGGTTTCACTCTATCATATCTTAATGTTAACGGAACCTTACTCGTTTCTGTACGAAGAAAATGGGTTTTTATCCCCCGCCACGAAGTGGGGCGGAGAATATAGGAACGGTTCGTCCGTCCGTCCGTACTTTCGTCCTACCGTCCGTGCTTTCGTCCTACCGTCCGTGCTTTCGTCCTACCGTCGGCACTTTCGTCCTTCCGTCCGTCCATTAACTTCCATATTATCATCCAAAACAGGAGATATCACTTTGGTGACATCAAGCGATATCTACATTGTAGATATCGCTGCAATGAAATTGCATCAAAATGCTTTGCAACACCATTGTGACGTCATTGGTTACCATGACGTCACATTCAAATGACATCACTAAAGGCTCTGCTACTGAAGCTGTTAGTAGTACCTTTTACCAGTTTACATGTACGACACTGCTTATTACTAAAGCCCCCGTTACACTATCCTTTTTGACCAAGTTTTGGATAGTGTAACATGCCGTCAAAAACTTTGACAAAGTTTTTAAAGGGACTTTGATGAAATAGAAACCGATCCTATTTCTCGTCAATCTTTGATTCAAAGTTTGATGACGTTGATTTAATTTAGCCAATCAGACTGCAAGAAACATTTACCCCTTTTCAACCGGAAGTGCATAGAGTCAAGTCAAAATGAGTCAACTATTTTGGACTGACGAGATGTTGGAAGAATTAATTGATTTGTTTCAACAACGAGCAGCCATTCTCGGGACCAAATATGCCTTTGCCTATCCCGACGACGCCTTCTCAACATTGCAATACACAAAATACATATGAGAACAGCAAACAATTCTTCATCAGTAGCATGAACCTTGGCAAGATAATTCCCACCAAAACTTTGACGGCCTGTCAAAATCTTTGATGAGTGTAAACAGCCAAACTTGGGCCAAGAAAACAGTCAAAGTTTTCTTTGACCAAGTTTTTGATCAAAGTTTTTGATAGTGTAACGGGGGCTTAAGACACTGCTTATTACTGTTTATAAACTTAAAAAGTTGGAAGAATGATGTTGGATGATAAATAAAATCTCACTCTCGTGTCTTTTGATATCAAATATATCAACGCTCGTTGATAAAAGTGGAAAAACTCATTTATCAACTCGTGTTGATATATTTGATATCAAACGTCACTCGGGTGAGATTCTCTATTTACTCACTCAAATATGAACAAGCAAAATTCTGTGCTCTGTGGCGGGGTATAGTAATAACGCTGTTTTCTTGTGATATTTACTACAGGAGCTACTACAGAGAAGACATCCGCTCTTCCGCCATCATCCTCATCACGGTATCAATCTACAACCCGATTCAGAGACACAACCACACACCAGGGTCTAACTGCCAAGCCTTCAGAAACAACCACATCAAGGCGTCCAGATTCCACCCCAACCAAACCTACAGACACAACCATCCCTAGGCGTCCAGATTCAACCTCAACCAAGCCTACAGACACAACCGCACCAATGCAGCACACAGACAGGACTACTTCAAGAAATCCCGGGAAGACCTCAACCAAGCTTCCAGAAACAACCGCTATCCCTCACACGGACACCACGTCAATACTTCACCACAGGACTTCACAGCCAGCCACGACTGTTCCTGTGTCGATGACAACTCCAAGTCTGGAACAAATCTTTGAGCTGAGCTTCCAGAGAAGTGACATCGACCATGATGGAGCTTTGTCGCTGTTAGACTTTGAGAAGCTGTGGCTTCAACAAGACGTGAATGGTGAGAAAGTACCCAGGTAGTACACGACGTTTTCACAACATTTAGGTTTTATTCAGTGAGTGAGTGATTGAGTGAGTGAGTGAGTCTGAGTGAGTGAGTGAGTGAGTGAGTGAGTGAGTGAGTGAGTGAGTGAGTGAGTGGGTGGGTGGGTGGGTGGGTGGGTGGGTGGGTGGGTGAGTGAGTGAGTGAGTGTGAGTGATAGAGTGAGTGTGAGTGAGTGAGTGAGTTAACATTTAACGTCACAAATATTTCATCAATATTTCAGCCATATCGTGACGAGATTATATTGAGAAAAACGTAGAGAGGGAATGAGTCTTGAGCAATATTCACCTCTGTTCACCCAGCAGTGAATAGGTACCCGTTAGGATGAGGTAATGTCCCCGTTAACTTTCATATTCCTCCCAGGTTGCTTAGCTTGTATAATACCCAGGGAGCTGAGAGTGAAAAAAGGGAGTGCACACTGATCCATTGGTAATAATAATGCGGCGCTTTCAGCGTACATTGCGCATGGAATTAGCCACTTTACAAGCGGATTATGATGATGATGATGATTATTATTATTATTATTATCCCCCGCCCAACAAAGTTATATATAAGGGATATAGAAACGGGCTCCGTCCGCCCGTCCGTACGTCCGTCCTTACGTGCGTCCGTACGTCACGTTTCGTTTCCGGAGCATAACTCATAAACCGTTCTATATTTTTTCATCAAACTTTGCAGGTCTGTCAAGAACATGCTGAACTGGTGCCTTTTGCTAATTAGAAATTTTTGAAATTTTTATTTTTAACGTTTCCATGGCAACAAGATGGACTTAGGTTCCAAACTCTTCTTTTTTTTACAATTTCCATGACAAGTTCAACCTCGGTTAAAAAAGGTTAGGATTTGTTTAGATTTAATTATGTCATAAATTCTGCAACAGGGGCGGGGGATATAGCCACGTTAGTGGCAAACTCTTGTTATTATTATTGTTGTTGTTATTGTTGTTATGATGATGATATAATAATAATAATAATAATTGTTGTTGTTGTTGTTTTTATTATTATTATCGCGGCGGGGAATGCGAACCAGGGCCACCAGCGTGACGAGTGAACGCTTTAGGAACGATGGTCTGCATCTTCACTCCAGTGCATCGTCCAGCTGTTTGACCTGTAGAACAAATTGCTTCATCTCCAGGTGATAGGCGGGTCACTATAGCGGAGTACGCGGCTGTCTCGCATTTCTCCAAGTTCATCACGACGGAACTGTTCCTGTTCATTGACCATGACCATAACGGAGTCATCAGCCTGCAAGAGGTGCCACGGCTGTTCATGGAATATGATTCAAACAGTGAGTAGAGCAGTGTTTATATATTGTCATCCCCTCTAAGGTCGATTGGATGAGCGCTTGCACGGAGACCCGAAAGTTGGTGGTTCGATCACCTCGTCGCGTCACCTCTAAAAACTTTAAAAGATGGTACTTGTTGTCACCCTGTCCGGCGGTCGGCATTAAGTGGCTAAAAAGAACTGGTCGGATCGGAGTCAGTATACTATCCAGTGACTGATATTATTATATGAGCAACTATCCATGTCTTCGGACTGCCTTCGTGGTCTAGTGGTAGAGCGTCCACCCAGAGAGCTGAATGATCCGGGGTTTGATCCCCGGCTGCGTCATACCAAGAGACGTTAAAAGATGGTACTTGTTGTTGCCCTGTCTGGATCTCGGCATTATGGACTAAAACAAAGACTGGTCGGCTCGGAGTCAGTTTTCGGTGTCTAAGTGGGATATCCATGTTAAACTGCAGCATGGTTTCTCAGTGGGCAGCGTAAGTCCGGACAAGTATAAGCACCCACACATGTACATGACGGTCGCTATATAAGTGAATGATCTTGGACGCGACGTATTTCCATTTCAGATGTGTGAAGCATGACACCGTATACACATTGCACTGTGTATCACGTTCTATCGAACTTTTGCTGTATCTTAGATCATTACAGCCCTGAGTATACCAAAACATGACAACATCCTGGAAAGCTTGAACGAGTCAACTACCCCTACGAAAACCCACGTTTAATATGGGTTGGTAACATCTTTAGGAGCAACTATTTACATTTCAGCCAGGAGAGGTGGTGGCGGGATTTAAAAAAAACAAAAAACATAATTAAGCCCGTTTTACATATGCCTCACATTGTAGGAAAAACGTAATGTGCCTTTTTCTTGCATACTATAGTAAAGTGTCCAAAGAACTAATTTCGTTTTTTTATTTATTTAATAATATAATGGAGCACTTGTTTATGTTGGAAAAAATAAAATTTAGAACCTAAACATTAAAAAAACCAAATGCTGATCTCAAAAGAATCAACACAGCTAGTCTGGGAATAGTGGTGAAAGTTATAGGACTAGATTTTAGGAAAAGAAAACAATAAATAGTCATTCAAGATTTTTGTAGTAAGGGCTAGCGGACCAAAAAACATAATCAAGCCCATGTTTATAGTGGTGAATGTTAAATAACTAGATTTTAGGAAAAAAACCAACAACTAGTCATTTAAGATTTTTGTAGTAAGGGCTAGCGGACGAGTGTCTAACTTATGTTTTTTATTAGATGTGTTGAGAGATCCTGTCAAGTAGCCACATCAGCATCGAAGCTCAATAAGCAATATCATCTGACCATAATAATGCATATTTCAGGTGATGGTGTGATAGAGAAGGCGGAATTTATAGCTGAATTCCGCAGGGTAAGTATACCCCCTCGATCCTATATCACTGCCCTTGCTACTGATCAGAATGGATGTACAGTAAAACCTCGTTAATCCGTCCGGTATTGTTCTTAGTGAATTCGGGTAAACGAATCATGGTTATGTGTAGTGTCCTTCGTAAATATACTACTCAAAAGACGTTAGAGAACACCCGTGTTTTTGTGTGTGACAAAATTTAATCTGTCATGGCCTTGGCTTCCAAGTGTGAGTATTCTTTAACTTGGTTTGAGTAGTATATAAACGTTTCTTATCGTAAACGTCCGAATGGTAGAGTGTTCCGGACGGATTGTGTTCCCAATAGTTTAGTGCAAGTCGTCATGGAATCAATAATAACTGAAATATTGTACAAATATTATACACTAACAATTATCATAACTCCATGTCGGAATGACCAGATCTGATTGGTCCACGAGATCTTGATAAAATACTGTTACCCGCCTTGGAGGGTAATAAATTTCTCAGCGGGGAATAAATCTCTTATACCCCGCCACGAGCAATACAGGCTGCACGTGGATTTCGGGGAGGCAGAATAAATCCATCATACCCCTCTTCAAAGCAAAAAGCTGCACGCTTTGTCCGACTCAGTGGAAGTCAGTGACATAGCATAAGTTAACCTCGGGTCAATCGACAGCTGTTTTCTATCAATTTTGAATTTGTGTTAATTCTTTTACAATGTCACATTAAAACATGTCGGTAAGATTAATTCTTTGTAGCAGGATCACTCGGAGTAAACAGGGATGTATATGTCCCTCGTTAGGTTTATACCACTCGCATCCGGCTCGTGATATAAAACCTAACGCGTGGCGCATAAAACCACACGTACCCCTTGTGATCATAATGTATGTCCTGGGTTAAAAGGTGAGTTGAGGTGAAATGGGGTTTAACGTCGCGTCCAAGATTATTGCACTTATATAGCGACGTGCCTGGGTTAAAAACAGTCCATGGTGGTCATATTGTCATTAGGTTGAAGCGATAATACTGAGCTACAAAATCACAAATGTGCTTCATCCCTTAAACATAAAGCCCACTTATTAATGTTAAGAATGAAAATGACCGCCTCCGTGGTCTAGTGGTAGAGCGTCCGCCCGGAGAGCGGAAGGTCCGGGGTTCGATCTACAGCAGCGTCATACCAAAAGACGTTAAAAGATGGTACTTGTTGTTACCCTGTCGCGCTCGGCATTAAGGGGCTTAAACTCCGGCTAGGAGTCAGTATACTGTGTCTGAGTGGGGTATTTATGTTAAACTGCGGCATGGTATCTCAGTGAGCTAGCACTATAAATCGGCATCAGTCCGGACTAGTACAAGCAGCCACACAAACACACACACGTACATGCACGTCGCTATATAAGTGCAATAATCTTGGACGCGATAAACCCCATTTCACCTCACCTCACCTAAGAATGCAAATCTTATAAAATGTCTATTCATTGGTAATACATCTGGTCAAGTTTGAGACAAGTAGAACATTATAGAATACCCTGAGAACGTGATTTATATTTTCATGAAGAATTGGGCATTTCGCAACATACCTAAACAAATCACGTGTGCGTGTGCGGGTATGCGCACTTACCTTCAATGTGACTCTTTCAGATTTACAACTTTGTGAAGGACCATGTTAAATAAGAAAACGTAAGTACTTTTCACCCAGTGTCTATGTATAGTATCTGATCCACCTTCAACACATAGTGAAAGGGACCCCTGAAGATCCGGGGTCGAATAGGTCTTCAGCAACCCATGCTTGCCGTAAAAGGCGACGATGCTTGTCGTAAAAGGCGACTAACGGGATCGAGTGATCAGGCTCGCTGACTTGGTTGATGCATGTCATCTTATCCCAATTGCGTGGATCGATGCTTATGATGTCAATCATTGGATTGTCTGGTCGAGACTCGATTTTTTTACAGACCGCCGTCATATAGCTGGAATATTGCTGAGTGCGGCGTTAAACAACAAGCCAAACCAAAAACCATTGTTAAATGAAATATGTGTACATGTATGTGAATGGTTTGCTCTTTTTGTTTAGGTGCATGCAGTCTCAAGAAAGAAGACAATTTATTAAAAAAAACAAAAACATTTGGGCTTAAAATAATTCCAAATAAAACGTGTTCTGTAGCTCACCTGGCTCAAACTGCGTTTATGTGTTCAATATCAGAGTTTATTTTTTTGTTCAAGCTATCGTTGTTCCAGCACGTTTGGTTAGGAAAGATACTGGAGATACATGTATCAATGTCACCTTATTGTGTGGGGCTTGTAATGCACAAATTAGCAGACAACATGAATATGGTTACTACTACTACTGTTGGTACAATGAAGTACGAAGTGTGGTTTATTTCACAATAAAACATTGTTCTACTATGACGTCATTCGAGATTCGAACATACGCTCGCAACTAAGTCTTGATGACGTCGAATATTGGACATCGTTATTTTTGAGAGGGGAGTGTCTAGTGAGTTGTTCCCCATTGATGTAGCCGGACAACGCAGATAAACGCAATGGCCGAACAATTGCATCTAAATTGAGTGAGTGAGTGAGTTTGTTTTTACGCCGCTTTTAGCAATATTCCAGCAATATCACGACGGGGGACACCAGAAATGGGCTTCACACATTGTACCCATGTCGGGAATCGAACCCGGGTCTTCGGCGTGACGAGCGAACACTTTAACCACTAGGCTACCCGACCGCCCCAATTGCATCTAAAATCGGGATAGAAATGACAATAGTCATTGAGAGAAAAGGCACAGGTAATCAACGTGAGGATTGTGAGAATATGCGGGAAATACCCACCTGTGCATATAATCAACTTGTCGGACATGCTGAGGTCGGATTCTATTGCAGGACTCATCATAATTAATTGATATTATTATATGAGCAACTATCCATGTCTACAGACCACCTCTGTGGTAGAGCGTCCACCCAGAGAACTGAATGGTCAGTGTTCGATCCCCGGCCGCGTCATACCAAAAGACGTTAAAAGATGGTACTTGTTGTTACCCTGTCTGGTGCTCCCCATTAGGGACTCAAACAAGGACTGGTCGGCTCGGGGTCAGTTTTCAGTGTCTTAGTGGGGTAAACAGCAGCATGGTATCTCAGTGGGCTAGCACTATAAAATCGTCATTAGCCCGAGCCGGGGTCAAGCAGCCACACATACACACGTTTCACACCATTTCACCTGACCTCACCACCACGTCATCTGGGTATACTGACACTGACATCAACCAAGTCACCGAGTCTGACCACCTGATCCAACCTCTTACAACCAGCAAGAGATGTTGGCGACATATTTTAACCAGGAATCCCCACATGTTTGCATTCTCAGTTGAATGATGGATAAGTAGTCAATCAATAATGCGCTGTAATGACCAGAACAATGTCATTTACCCCCGTGGGGTAGAACAGGTCTTCAGCAACCCATGCTTGCCTAAAAGGCGACTATGCTTGTCATAAGAGGCGACTAACGGATCTAGTGGTCAGGCTCGCTGACTTGGTTGATGCATGTCATCGTATCCCAATTGTGTGGATCGATGCGCATGATGTCAATCCTGTATTGTCTGGTCCAAAATCGATTATTTACAGACCTCCGTCATATGGCTGGAATATTGCTGAATGCGGCGTTAAACAACAAACAAATGTCATTTCCTGTTTGGCAAATGAGACGACACAATATCTTACAATGATATTTAACTCAAAACATGCTTTTAAATCCTTTTGGTTTATTTCAAGACTTTGTTTCGGAAACCAATCTAAAAGACTTCCATTTTTGTTGTACCAAGAACATTTTTAAAAAGACAAAAAATAAATAGTGTGGTCTGATAAACATGACAAACATCTTATCAATGGACTACTCCCACCATCATCCTTGGAACTAGCATGAGTGAGTAAGTATGGTTTTACTCCGCTTTTAGCAATATTCCAGCAATTTCACGGCAGGGTACACCAGAAATGGGCTTCACACATTGTACCCATGTTGGGAATTGAACCAAGGTCTTCAGCGTGACGAGCGAACGCTTTAACCACTAGACTACCCGACCGCCCTGGAACTAGCATGTGCAGGCAGTGTCTCGTAAGTTAGTCATGATTTCACACATAAAACACAGGTACATGAAAACAAGTTTTATTGCCTCCTTTCCCTTTATACAGAAAACAGATCTACACCATGACTACAGAACAGAATCTGGGTCCACGTTGTTCTGGCAGAATATGGACTGGAGCACATCATTTCCTCTTAGCAGTTTTGTGCTACCAATGATAACCTGGAAATAAACAAAACATATGAAATCAGGAGAGTCACAGAATCACTGAATGGCTCTGCAGTCGATTCAGGTCCTGGGGAACCTATGGCCCTTTCTTAGGTGCCACAATTCACTGCGCAGAGCTGTGTCCCTTGGGCATGCCAGAAACCTATAATTATGGGTTCAAATCCCGGTTTCCAGGTTTGTCAGCACCATACCCATTCTTGTCAGTTTCACCAAAGTAGTCAACACATGAGACCTGCAGCATTTTGGGTCTTCCTCCCACATCAAGCTGACACGCCGTGATTTAACTGGAATACTGTTCAAAGCGGCATTAAACCCTTGTCAGTCACTAACTATTCCAGTCCTATACTCCAGGGTCTACTTGCACAGAGCGGTAACTGCTGTAGGACCATCGTAACTCCAATCTTTTAACATAGGCTTTTGATAGTCGTCGAGCAAAGATAGCTTTGATGAACGGGAAGTAGGGGCCATTTGCATAAAGTGATATTTGCTGACATGCAGATCGTCTGACGTACCTTTTTGTCAAGCAGGTGAAAGTATTGACATGCCTGTGTATCAAGCTTCTGTCCTATTGATACAGGTAAATGTAATGACATACCTGTGCGTCAAGCTTCTGTCCTATTGTTACAGGTAAACGTAATGATATACCTGTGTGTCAAGCTTCTGTCCTATTGTTACAGGTAAACGTAATGACATACCTGTGTGTCAAGCTTCTGTCCTATTGTTACAGGTAAACGTAACGACATACCTGTGTGTCAAGCTTCTGTCCTATTGTTACAGGTAAACGTAATGACATACCTGTGTGTCAAGCTTCTGTCCTATTGTTACAGGTAAACGTAATGACATACCTGTGTGTCAAGCTTCTGTCCTATTGCTACAGGTAAACGTAATGACATACCTGTCAAGCTTCTGTCCTATTGGTACAGGTAAACGTAATGACATACCTGTGTCAAGCTTCTGTCCTATAGTGACAGGTGAAAGTATTGCATACCTGTTTATCAAGCTTCATCTTGTCCATCACATCTCTGACCTGCTTCACCTCTGTCGCTGTCACCCCACCCACCACAAATACCAGAAGCAGGGGGTGATCACTGGGGCGGGGCTTGCTTACATTCATGAACAATCTGAAAATGTATTGAAAAAATACTTAACTATCTAAGCAAAACATCAACTTGATATTCATAAACTTGAGACAGCCTCCATGGTCTAGTGGATAGTGAGTGAGTGAGTGAGTTGGGTTTAACGACACTTTTAACAGTATTCCAGTTATATCACGGCGTGTCAGCTTAATGTGGGAGTAAAGCCCAAAGTGATGCAGGTCTCAGATGTTTACCACTTCGGTGAAACCCACCAGCACAGGTATGGTGCTGACAAACCTAGAAACATAATCGGGGCGAACCGGGATTCGTACCCACAATCATAGGTTTCTGGCGTGCCCAAGGGACGCAACTCTGCACAGCGAATAGCGGCGCCTTAGACGACTGGGCCACCCGTGCCCCCCCTAGCGAATAGAGTGTCGACCCGGAGAGAGGAAGGTTGGTTGTTTGATCCCTGGCTGCATCATACCAAAAGATATTGGAAGATGGTACATGTTGTTTCCCTGCCTAGTGTTCAGCATAAAGGGAATAAAACAAGGACAGGTTGGAGTCAGTATACTGTATGAGTGGAGTATAGTAGAGCATAGTTTCTTTTGGTTGATGTTTTAAGATTACCTCCTTCTCTTCTAATACACCTGGCATTAGTCTGGACTTGTACAAGCAGAGACACACAGACAGCCACAGATAGTTTACAGTGAAAAATATCTTTCAAGCTTTAAATATTAACTGCTGCGTTACCCAAATCCTGATTTCAAGAAGTCTTTGAGTCCACTTGATTTAAACTCTAGATCCACAAGCTCGGGTTTGTCGGGGCTGAAGATCTGTTCAACGATTATCTTGAGCAGCGGCTTCATACTGGCAGGACTGATGGCACTGGTGGGCTCCAAGATGGATCTGGGTATACAAATTGGTTGTGTGTCAATACCAAACTGTGACAAATGTACACACCAACATGCAGGCAGGTGGATGTACACACAGACAGACATGCAGTCATGCAGGCAGGTAGATGTATACACAGACAGACAGTCATGCAGGCAGGTAGATGTACACACAGACAGACAGTCATGCAGGCAGGTAGATGTATACACAGACAGACATACAGTCATGCAGGCAGGTAGATGTACACACAGACAGACATACAGTCATGCAGGCAGGTGGATGTACACACAGACAGACATACAGTCATGCAGGCAGGTAGATGTATACACAGACAGACATACAGTCATGCAGGCAGGTAGATGTACACACAGACAGACAGTTATGCAAGTAGGCAGTAAGACAAGATAGACACGGACACAGATGGACCGTCAACCTGTAAAAAGACACACATATGTACAGACAGACACAAACAGACAGACAGACATGCAGGCAGGTAGATCTAGACACAGACAGATAGACAGACAGTCATGCAAGTAGCCTGTAAGACAAGATAGACACAGACACAGATGCCCCATCAACCTGTAAAAAGACAACCATATGTACAGACAGACAACAGACAGACAGACAGTCACTTAGCCAGTAGGACAGGCGTCGTCAACACACAAATGCACAGACAGGCACAGACTGGCACAGACAGGCCGGCAGTAAGATATACACGCACAGAGACAGGTAGGTAGCTAGACACTAACAGTCAACCAGATAGACAAACACACAAACAAGCTGACAGTCAGGCAGGCAGACAGATGGACACACACACAGACAGACAGGTAGGTAGCTAGACACTAACAGTCAACCAGATAGACAAACACACAAACAAGCTGACAGTCATGCCGATAGACAAACGGGTAGGCAGGTACAGAAACAGAGGCTAAAACATACACAGGTGGAAATATACACAGTCAGTGAGGTAGACAAACACACATCCAGACAGGTAGGCAGCTTGACATGTAGACAGACACACATACAGAACAGAAGGCAGACACACAGACAAGGAGGCAGGAAGAAACACAGACAGGCAGGCAGACACACAGACAGACAGGCAGGCAGACACACACACACAAACAGGCAGGCAGGCAGACAGATGGACACACAGACAGACAGACAGGCAGGCAGACACACAGACAGACAGGTAGGCAGATTGACATGTAGACAGACACACATACAGACCAGAAGGCAGACACACAGACAGCAAGGCAGGAAGACACACAGACAGGGAGGCAGACACACAGACAGACAGGCAGACAGGCAGGCAGACACACACACACAAACCAGCAGGCAGGCAGACGGACACACAGACAGACAGACAGGGAGGTAGACACACACAGACAGACAGACACACAGGGAGGTAGACAGACAGACAGACAGACAGACAGGGAGGCAGACACATAAGACTTACTGGAAGTTCTTAAGGTCTTCCCGAGCGGCCGCGACAGCCCCCAGTTTGCTCCAGACGTCCTCCATCAGGTCTCTTACTATGCTGCCACTCACAGCATCTCCCACTGCAAGTGAGTAAGCCAGTCACTCGATATTGTTCCATGCCAACTTTAAACACAACATGGAGGACCCCACAAGCTACAGACACTGCTCCCGCTTCATTTCGTCGATTCTACAAAGCAATCTTACCACTGGTTTCGAACCCACAATCATAGGGTTAAAGTTTCAAGAGTTATGAAAATCTTAGCGCTAAGATAACTTACCCGAACAGGGGCCCTGGTTCCTATCATAATCTATACAACTCATAAGATCCCACCTTCAACAATACATTTTGCAATACAATCTAAAAGGGTCAATATATTGAGGAAATATGTAAAAAAATGTATGCTTTGGGTATTGTCAATGTCAATGTGTGAAATAAACAGATAAATAATACTGTATTCGACCTAATAAGCGCCCACGGCGATATTTGCTAATATATTGGCAAGTGAACAATCCCAATTCCTTCCGATTGATCAATGTATACAAGACTTATTTTTTTGTGTATAATACGCACTTGTGTGTTATATGCACCCTTAATTGTGGCCAATTACATTCTGGAAAAAAATATCTGTCGTGTACAATATACACAGACTTTTCTTTTGTATCATTTCAGGCTGTCAGCATAAACCACAAAATTTACGATCTTTCAACTTTTTTTCACCAAAGTTTTATTCTAATAAGAGACCCCTATTTCTAATTTTGAAAGCGCCCTGGCTGCTTATTACGTCGAATACGGTACTTTAAGTACTCTCTGGTATCGTTTCGTTGTTAATTCGCTTGATTTAGCATTGCTATGATTACAAATCTTGACCGATCTACTCGATTACAAGTTAGTTCCCAACAATAGGGGATAAGCCCAGTGCAATTTTAAAAATGTATAAACGACAAGTAACAAAATAAATAATAAACTCGCTCCAGCGTTAAGCCAATTTTAGAAAAGAGTGAATAGCTTGGTATCTAATGAGCTCGTTTAGTATTCCATATATTTTGCAAATCAATTCCAGGAATATGAAGAATACAATTTCTTTTGTGAAAGTAGCTACCTATTCAGTCACTCACCAATTGCATGTATCACAGGTGGTAAGTCAGACTTCTCAGCTAAAACAGCATCCACCAGCAGGTCCTGGACACAGATAAAATATAATCAGGTGAGGTGACAAAGGGTGTGCGTGTGTGCACACATGAGGCAAGCAGGGTAATAATCCTGTCCCTCAATCCATCTGACAACTGACTGGCTGGACGAATGATCAAAAAGTGTTTCAGCCTGACTGACCCTCCTGACGATTGCTTGCCGGACTGCACCTGTGACAGCCAAGTGTCTGACATAAAGAGTGAGTGAGTTGGGTTTAGAGGGGTCATAGGGCCCTTGAGGTTTTCTCCTCGGCCCTCTAAAGGTTCTTGGGGGCAAGGGTGGCCCAGTCGTCTAAGGCGCCGCGACTCGCTGTGCAGAGATGCGTCCCCTGGTCACGCCAGAAACCTATGATTCTGGGTTCAAATCCTGGTTCACCCCGATTATGTTTCTAGGTTTGTCAGCACCATACCCATGCTTGTGGGTTTCACCGAAGTGGTAAACGTGTGAGACCTGCATCACTTCGGGCTTTCCTCCCACATCAAGCTGACACGCCGTGATAATGTTAAAAGCGGCGTTAAACCCAACTCACTAACTCACTCACTCTAAATGTTCTGCTATTAACATGGAGGCTGTGACAAGGACCTCGTGCCTTCCTTGCTTAATTTAAGACACTGATCATGCAAAAACCCTCGCTACATGTATTATGCAATGAACTGCTACACCAGTTTGACAGTGTATACAAGTTGGTTGGTTGGTTGGTTTGTTGTTTAACACCGCACTCAGCAATATTCCAGCTGTATGACGGTGGTCTGGAAATAATCGAATCTGGACCAGACAATTCTTGATTAATATCATGAGCATCGATTCACACAATTGGGATACAATGACATGCATCAACCAAGTCAGCGAGCCTGACCACCCGATCCCGTTAGTCGCCTCTTACGACAAGCATAGTCGCCTTTTACAGCAAGCTGAAAAACCGTTGTAACCCGGATCTCCTTGGGGTCACGGGATGTATATAAATCATGTTCAGCAAGAATGGTACCAACCTGTACTTCCAGTTCTTCCTCCCCACAGTCTCCCCCCGACAGCGAGTACAGGAACGTCAGCACCATCAACACATCGTCCAGGCTATGGGATCTACACGAAGAAAGTTGGAACAAATGGTATTAGCACATTTCAAAATGAGTGAGTGAGTGAGTTGGGTTTTACGCCGCTTTGAACAGTATTCCAGTCATATCACAGCGTGTCAGCTAAATTTCGAAAGAAAGTACAGGTCTCAGATGTTTACCACTTTGGTGAAACCAACGAGCACGGGTATGGTACTGACAAACCTAGAAACATAATTGGGGCGAACCGGGATTCGAACCCACATCATAGGTTTCTGGCGTGCCCAAGGGATGCAACTCTGCACAGCAAATTGTGGCTGTTTAGATGACTGGGCCACCCTTGGCCCCAGCACATTCAAAAACATTTCCATGACTTTATCAATTTTTCATAGGATAGACTTTCATAATTTTGACAAGGAATCAGAAAAGAGCTCAGAATAGGAACCAGTCTGAAACCCTGGAAGCTTGGGGATGATCATGTTTTCAGAACATGAAAAAATTATCATTGTTTGAAAAATATTGTATACGAATGGTCAATAAAATTTTCTATTTATTAATCCAGTGTGATTAATATTTTGCAGAACATCATGTTTTTTTTGTTTTTTGTTTGTTGTTTAACACCGCACTCAGCAATATTCCAGCTTTCTAATGGCGGTCTGTGTAAATAATCAAGTCTGGACCAGACAATCCAGTGATTGATATCATGAGCATCGATCCACGCAATTGGGATCGATGACATGCATCAACCAAGTCAGTGAGCCTGACCACCCATCATGAATACATTTTTCTTGTCACTGAAGAATGACATCATTCATTTTTCTTATTGATAAACACAGAAAGTTGATCTCTTAAACAAATTTCTATGCCAAGAAAGTTTCAAATGTGTTTTCTGGTTGCTGTATGAACTAACCTCTGATTGGCTGGAAGCTGTAGTTGACCTTTCAGCAAGGTCAGAATATGGGACAGACCCCCAGCAGAGCTATCATCTCCTACAAGTTGGACAAGATTCTTTTCTGTGCTTAATAGGTTGTCATTGCGACCAATATCCTGATGTTTCAAAGCCTGTGATGTTGCCATGGCAACCTGGAGAGTATCCAGATGAGACTTAATGGCAGCATAGTTGCCTCTGACAAAGAAAAATATCAACATATTGTCACAAGTTTTGAATCCTAAAATGTATCTCTTGTATAAATACAAGATATGTGAAGGATGCGTACATCTCTACCAGTCATGTCGCAGCCACAACGCAGTGCAATCTCATTAAAATCAGACCTCAGTTCTCGCTCCGCTAAACAAAGATCTGAGGACATCCCACGTCACGTCAGAACGACCTTTCATGGCCAATCAGAGCATCGCTTACCAGATTATGAAAGTGACAGTCGGAATGTGATTCCTGATCATGCAGCCTCAAAAACTTTAACTCTGAACGATAGTTACGGGTTTAACGACTGTATCCATACAATCTAGACCATCTATTAGCCATTCCAGAATGTTCTTTTGTTCAGGTTTCAAATTTGTAATCGAGAATTTGTCAAAATATGTTTCGAAGCGTTGTCGCCAATTTGAAATTAGTGCCGTAAAGCACGAGAAAGCTGCCTTCTGATTGGTCATTCCATTAGTTGGTCAAAGTTCGCGCAAGATCGGTCTGACGTGACCTGTAATGGGATGTCCTCAGATCTTTGTTTAGCGGTAGCGAGAACTAAGATCTGATTTTAATGAGATTGCAACGCAGTGGTGAGAAAGTAGAAAGTAGAAACATTAACAGCTCACTCAGCAACATTCCACCTATGTGATGGTAGTCTGAAAATAAGGTTTAAAAAAATAAACTAATTTTTTCTCAGGCAACGTTGTTTGAAAATATAATACGTGCGGGTGGTTGTTGTTATTTTTTGCTTGTTCAAACTAGTATCTAACCAAATAAACAGTTGTGTACTATCAACCTGGGAAAGGGCCTCCCTACATAAACAAGCATACAAATTCCTATTGCCACCGTGACCATAACACGAGATGCATAGCAAAGCAGTGTGCATGTAAAGGGAAATAACTGTGTGATATATTGGATCACATTGTGTTTAAGTATTAGGATTTTATTTTTAAATTTGAAAATTGAAATAAAAACGAAAACGTGTGGAAGACTTTATGATGAAGCGGGCAGAGCCTGAGAACCAAGACTATTATGTTCTTAGCCTAACAAAGTCTGGACCAGACAATCAGTGATTGACATCATGAAAGTTAATCCACACAATTGGGATACGATGACATGCATAAAAAAAGCACCAATCCTGACCACCGATCCATTTAGTCGCCTCTTAGGACAAGCATCAAGCATTAATTCCAATGACCTACATCCTCTAAGAACAAAGATGAATGATCTACCAGGGTACTAACTGGTGCACAATTTACTTGTTCTAATTCTTTGATGGGTATTTCTTAGAAGTTGATGGATGACAAAGTAGACATAATTTATGGATAACAACTTCTTTGTTTTTACTGTAATAGTGACATTTCGGTATTGATCCTTAAACTGTTGTCAATCAAGTGAGTGAGTGAGTGAGTGAGTGAGTGAGTGAGTGAGTGAGTGAGTGAGTGAGTGAGTGAGTGAGTGAGTGAGTGAGTGAGTGAGTGAGTGAGTGAGTGAGTGAGTGAGTGAGTGAGTGAGTGAGTGAGTGAGTGAGTGAGTGAGTGAGTGAGTGAGTGAGTGAGTGAGTGAGTGAGTGAGTGAGTGAGTGAGTGAGTGAGTGAGTGAGTGAGTGAGTGAGTGAGTGAGTGAGTGAGTGAGTGAGTGAGTGAGTGAGTGAGTGAGTGAGTGAGTGAGTGAGTGAGTGAGTGAGTGAGTGAGTGAGTGAGTGAGTGAGTGAGTGAGTGAGTGAGTGAGTGAGTGAGTGAGTGAGTGAGTGAGTGAGTGAGTGAGTGAGTGAGTGAGTGAGTGAGTGAGTGAGTGAGTGAGTGAGTGAGTGAGTGAGTGAGTGAGTGAGTGAGTGAGTGAGTGAGTGAGTGAGTGAGTGAGTGAGTGAGTGAGTGAGTGAGTGAGTGAGTGAGTGAGTGAGTGAGTGAGTGAGTGAGTGAGTGAGTGAGTGAGTGAGTGAGTGAGTGAGTGAGTGAGTGAGTGAGTGAGTGAGTGAGTGAGTGAGTGAGTGAGTGAGTGAGTGAGTGAGTGAGTGAGTGAGTGAGTGAGTGAGTGAGTGAGTGAGTGAGTGAGTGAGTGAGTGAGTGAGTGAGTGAGTGAGTGAGTGAGTGAGTGAGTGAGTGAGTGAGTGAGTGAGTGAGTGAGTGAGTGAGTGAGTGAGTGAGTGAGTGAGTGAGTGAGTGAGTGAGTGAGTGAGTGAGTGAGTGAGTGAGTGAGTGAGTGAGTGAGTGAGTGAGTGAGTGAGTGAGTGAGTGAGTGAGTGAGTGAGTGAGTGAGTGAGTGAGTGAGTGAGTGAGTGAGTGAGTGAGTGAGTGAGTGAGTGAGTGAGTGAGTGAGTGAGTGAGTGAGTGAGTGAGTGAGTGAGTGAGTGAGTGAGTGAGTGAGTGAGTGAGTGAGTGAGTGAGTGAGTGAGTGAGTGAGTGAGTGAGTGAGTGAGTGAGTGAGTGAGTGAGTGAGTGAGTGAGTGAGTGAGTGAGTGAGTGAGTGAGTGAGTGAGTGAGTGAGTGAGTGAGTGAGTGAGTGAGTGAGTGAGTGAGTGAGTGAGTGAGTGAGTGAGTGAGTGAGTGAGTGAGTGAGTGAGTGAGTGAGTGAGTGAGTGAGTGAGTGAGTGAGTGAGTGAGTGAGTGAGTGAGTGAGTGAGTGAGTGAGTGAGTGAGTGAGTGAGTGAGTGAGTGAGTGAGTGAGTGAGTGAGTGAGTGAGTGAGTGAGTGAGTGAGTGAGTGAGTGAGTGAGTGAGTGAGTGAGTGAGTGAGTGAGTGAGTGAGTTTGGTTTAATGCCGCTTTTAACACTATTCCAGTTATATCACGGTGTGTCAGCTTAATGTGGTAGGAAAGCCCGAAGTGATGCAGGTCTAAGACGTTTACCACTTCGGTGAAACCCACGAGCACGGGTATGGTGCTGACAAACCTAGAAACATAATTAGGGCGAACCGGGATTCGAACCCACAATCATGGGTTTCTGGCGTGCCCAAGGGACGCAACTCTGCACAGCAAATCGCGGCGCCTTAGACGACTGGGCCACCCATGCCCCCGTTGTCAATCAACCTTCCTGAGGAGGTAGAGTGCAAGACAGAAATATGTTTGCCTACTTGAATAGGCTGAGTGTGGTGTCTAGCTGCTCTGGAGTCACTCGTCCTGGTTTGCCTGCCAAGTTGACTGGAAGTTTCTCACTAGAAGCAGCTTCAACCAGCCGTCGATTTACAGCCATTAGACATTCCTGAAAGTCAAATTGATAGGATGATAAACAATGAACAACTATAATATTACCACTATTACAGACACATCGAGTAATGTGAACATTAATGTGTGTGTGGCTGCTTGTACTAGTCCGGACTGATGCTGATTTATAGTGCTAGCCCACTGTGATACCATGCCGCAGTTTAACATGAATACCCCACTCAGACACAGTATACTGACTCCTAGCCGACCAGTCCTTGTTTTAGCCCCTAATGCTGAGCGCCAGACAGGGTAACAACAAGTACCATCTTTCAACGCCTTTTGGTATGACGCTGCCGGGGATTAAACCACGGACCTTCTGCTCCCTGGGCAGACGCTCTACCACTAGACCTCGGAGGCGGTCACACAGCTCTAGACTCTGGGCCCACTTGCACAAAGCGATCTTAGCGCTAAGACTATTGTAAGCCTATGTTTAAATATGAGAGTTATGATCATCTTAGCGCAAAGATCGCTTTGTGCAAGTGGGTCCTGGTCTGGATTCATCAATCTATTGACCATAAGGAAATGGGCACAGAGTGATCTCCCTTACATGTTCCACTTTATTACATCCACTGTGTGGCCAGCTGCAGCCATAAAAGATAGAGTGTGCAGTGAAGCACCTAGCAGCCATGATTGGATGATACTGTGAAATATTTTGAAGAATATTTTTAAATCTACATCAACCCAGTAATTAAAACTGACAATGTTCTGTTTTATAACATCATTACTAATGCTGAATGTGGCCACATATATTTTCAAGTAAGTGACATTTGGTGCATCTTTCCGAGGCAAAGGAGTTAACTGACTATAAAAGTCCAGTTTCCACCCTTGCCGAACTAGGCTGGAATTTCTGGGCTCGATCGTAGCGCCACCAGTGGCTATTATGAGTTATGTCCCTCCTATTGACCAATAAGATTCCACCTCTCATATCACTTGTATTTGCTTCAAACAAAATAGTGGCACCCAGCCAAATCGACCTGATCGATAATCAAGATCTATATTGTGATAAAACGGGTCTTATATTGCAAAGTGCATCAAATCACGTGAGCACCTTGATTAAAAACATGAAAAGATTTGGAAAATATCTGTTGACGCCTAGTTGGCTGTAAACATGCTTTGCAAATCCTTTAATTGACTGAAATCTGCATGGCATTTTACGAACCAGATCTCAATTTCTGTACTCATTTTTTGATTGGACTATGTATAGACTTGTTAGTCCAGCCATAATAACAGCCTAGTTCGGCAAGGGTGGAACCTGGACTTTTACAGTCAGTTAACTCCCTTGCCTCGGGAAGCTGCATTTGGTGCAGAACTGAGTTGGTGTGTTTAGCTTCCTGTACTTGGAATGGAGCTGGCTAAGCTGGGCAAAATTTGTGATTTTATTGCAGTACTATCTCATTAAAATCAGACCTCAGTCCATACAATCAGAGCATCGCTTACCAGATTATGAAAGTGACAGTCGGAATGTGGTTTCTGATCATGCAGCCTCGAAAACTTTAACTCCGAACGATGGTTACGGGTTTAACGACTGTATCCATACAATCTAGACCATCTATTAGCCATTCCAGAATGTTCTTTTGTTCAGGTTTCAAATTTGTAATCAAGAATTTGTCAAAATATGTTTCGAAGCGTAGCCGCCAATTTGAAATAAGTGCCGTAAAGCATGAGAAAGCTGCCTTCTGATTGGTCATTCCATTGGTAGATCAAAGTTCGCGCAAGGTTGGTCTGACGTGACCCGTAATGGGATGTCCTCAGATCTTTGTTTAGCTGTTGCGAGAACTAAGATCTGATTTTAATGAGATTGATTGCAGTATTAAGCCCAGGCTAAGCCCCCATGTACATGTAATGGATTTTGAATGCCTAGTTATTAAAGAAAATACATGTATATAACATTATTATAGAATACTTGGACACCATTTGGTTGTGTCTAGCAAATAGTCACCTTGTGTTTACCATACACCAGATTCTGCAGATGTGTAGGTTGAGTTGAGAAGTTGCCCGATGCAAGACTCCCTGGGACAATGACACTCTTAGCATCCCTACAACAAACAACAAGGATTCAATTATAAGCGTTAGTTTGTTTGTTTGTCTGTTTGATGTTGCACGCAGCAATATTCCAGCCACATGACAGCAATCTGTAAATAATTGAGTCGGGACCAGACGATCTAGTGATTGACATCATGATCATCGAACCACGCAATTGGGATACGATGACATGCATCAAGCATGGGTTGCTGAAGACCTATTCTTCCCAAAATCGTCACGGGAACAGTCATAAGTTGGGTTATGGTGGAGGTTGAGGGGACTGGAGTCCTATTCTACCCTGGAATCTTCATAGGTTTAAGACGACACTATTTTTATGGTTTACAGTCTTGACTGACTGGAGCCAAAATCATAAAAAATTAAAAAAAGCTTAAACTTCAGTCTTTTGGGGATTACGAAAAGAAAAAACAACCACAAAATTAGTTAATGCATCCAGTGATAAATTTGCTTTCTTACCAGTAAAATGTACAAAATGATGAACACGCTCAAAGAACAGTATGCTTCACAAAGTAAACCTTGGGATTCAGGAATTGAAACGGGCAATCAGAGCTACAGATAAGCAGCGTATTTGTGTAAAATACCCCCCAAAAATATTCAAAACCCAATTACTTTCAATTAACTTGCTTACAGAAACATATGCATTAAATGAAATACTCAAATGTATAAAAACAGCGCACGTAAATACCAAATGAAACTTTTCCAGCTAATTTCCGAAACACAATTACGAGCTAATTAACTTTCAGAGTCAAGCCAAAATATTTAGAACAGTTATATACATCTAAAACATTATTTCATTTTAATAAAATCTTAAAATGCTCACTAATTTGGGGAAGAACCCAATAGAGTGATGAATAGATGAGTGAAAAAATATTGGTTACCAAATAAAAAATGTAATAATCCAATTAAAATAGAAACCCTAGAGTAAAAACTCAATGGCTCAAAAAGTTACATTGTATCTGGAGCTCTGGCATTATCAGCCTCCATGAAAAGGATAGGGGACAAACTTTCTAAACTAAAACTGCTCATGGTCTAGCACAGTTTGAGTGAGTGAGTGAGTTGGGTTTAACGCCGCTTTTAACACTATTCCAGTTATATCGCGGCTATCAGCTTAATGTGGGAGGAAAGCCCGAAGTGATGCAGGTCTCAGACGTTTACCACTTCGGTGAAACCCACGAGCACGGGTATGGTGCTGACAAACCTAGAAACATAATCGGGGCGGACCGGGATTAGAACCCACAATCATAGGTTTCTGGCGTGCCCAAGGGAAGCAACTCTGCACAGCGAATCGCGGCGCCTTAGACGACTGGGCCACCCGTGCCCTCTAGCTCATGTTGAACTGACAGGGGACACCTGATCATCTTTATGAGTGCTCTGTGGCATGCATTTCAATTCCTAAAAGGCTACGTGATGTTTTGTCAGATGTGTTTAACCAAGTGTGTCCTCACTGAGAAATGGAGCAGAGTCCGGACATGTCGACCAGGACATCAGCGTTGTGACGAGGCAGAGACGGCAGGACACTTGTGATCTTGTCCAGTAGAGTGTCCAGCTGGTGGCCAGCAGGTGATGCCAGGTCAAGTGTGCGGTCAATCAGGACTAACGAGGCTCTGTTGGAGACATTCTGAAACAGGGCAAACATAGGCACTGTGCTGAGACAACTAAGGGGTAGCTGAGACAAAATACATGCACAAGTTGAATACCATAAATCTTCGTCCGCAAAGCGCTCGAGCTAAGCAGGTTGGGTTGAGGTCATACACACATTACATTACTGCCAGATCGTAACATCTGTCATCTTCCCGAGGCAAGTGAGTTACACAGTGTATTCCAAACGACAGTTACAGCCCGTATGACGGATTCTGTCAAAATCATCATCTATCTCTCGCTTCCATGGGATAAACATTTGAACAGCAGAGGCGTTGCACGGTACATGGGAAGCACTGCCATACAATCTCAAGCATATATATGACATTCCGGAATGTTCGTTTGTTCAGTTTTCAAAATCTTAATCGAGAACTGTGTCAACATATTCTTTAAGCGTAATCTGAAATGGAAGTCACCTGGTTGAAATGATTGCTGTAAAGCTCGAGAAAGCTGCTTTCTAATTGGCTGATGTTGACTTCTTGTTAGTCGTTTCAGTGGTCGGTCTAAGTTCACGAAAGATCGTTCTGACGTGACCCGTAATGGAATGTCCTCAGATCTTTGTCTAGGCAGCGAGAACTTAGATCTGATTTGAATGAGATTGTCTCTCATATTACTCATGAGCAGAACAACACAAACGTCAGCTCACCTTTCTTCTAATCTTGGCAGGTGGGTAGTTCTCGATCTCTGTGGCAAGTAGTCGACTCGTGTGACCCACACTGTACAGGTCCTCCCTGACCCCGAGGTCACTCAGTAAGGCATGGAAGCAGCACGCAAGTCTCTGTAACCATGGTAACAGTTTGTGTGACAAAAGAGTGAGTGTGTGTCTGGGTGCTTTTGACAGTCTGGACTTATTTCCTATTGTTAATAAAACATGTATATCGCTTGTTAGTGCACTATGATCAAGAAAAGATGGTCATACTCAATGCTCAAAAAGTTATCTGGAACTCTGATGTGTAAAAGGGTTACCATGGTTACCTTGAAAGTATTCTGTAACGCTTTGGGTAGATGATGACATTCAATTTCAGACAGCGAGGTAAACGATGCCTTGTCTCCCTAAGAAATACCAAATATAAACATTACATCATTTTGCACTGTAGGAAAAAATGAAACAATAGGAATTACATCATTTCCACAAACTTAGCTCCCTAAATAAAACTACAGACAGTGGAACCTTCTTCATGCAAACCATGGTACAGATGCATTTGACCGGACACATATCCCTTGAGAAGGGATGTGCAGGATCTCCTTCGGTATTGCGCCTGGAGAGCGGAAGGTCCGGGGTTTGATGGTACTTGTTGTTTCCCTGTCTGGCGCTCTGCATTAAGGGGCTAAAACAAGGACTGGTCGGCTCAGAGTCAGTATACTGTGTCTGAGTGGGGTATTCATGTTAAACTGCGGCATGGTATCTAAGTGGGCTAGCACTATAAATTGGCATCAGTCCGGACTAGAACAAGCAGCCACAGACACACACACACACACACACACACACACGTACATGCATGTCGCTATATAAGTGCAATAATCTTGGACGCAACGTTAAACCCAATCTCACCTCACCTCGGTATTGGTTTTCAAGTTTTTCAGAAGCCATTTCTAGCCGCCTCATTAAACAACAGGGCATGCCTCTCACTCAAAGGCTTCAAACAAATGCTTTCATAACTGTAACTGTCACAAAACTTAATGACAAATACTACATTATTTTTTAAATGTGTCCCCGATGCTTGCAACTGATGAAATAGCTGCACGATATGATGGAACTTCTATTTTCGGATGATTTTTGTATGTTGATGTCCAATTTTCAATCTTTATGAGACCCATGAAGATTCCGGGGTAGATCAGGTCTTCAGCAACCCATGCTTGCTGTAAAAGGCGACTATGCTTGTCGCAAGAGGCGACTAACGGGATCAGGTGGTCAGGCTCGCTGACTTGGTTGATGCATGTCATCGATCTCAATTGCGTGGATCGATGCTCATGATATCAATCACTGGATTGTCTGGTCCAGGCTAGATTATTTACAGACCGCCGTCATATAGCTGGAATATTGCTGAGTGCGGCGTTAAACAACAAACCAACAACAAAATTTATGAATTGCTTGATATATAATTTCAAGGTTTAATCACAATGTAGGCTTAGTCATTTATTCTCTTTACTTAACATATTTATCACGTTTATCTTCTTTCATATTATCATGATTATAATTAGGGCCCAAAATTTACCATCTGTCTATTTTCCTGTTTATTGTTACATGATATCAAACTAAAGCTGAAATATCCCCATTTTTTAGTCTAAGCGGGTTGTATGAAGAATTTCAGAGAGTTATACCAAATGATCTGATCAAAAGTCCAACATGGATGTCTCTTGAATGTATACAGACAGTTCAATACAGACAATTAAAATACAGTTTGATTGGGCTGAAAACAAATAATACATGACAAGACTTGTTAATCATCAGCAATTTCTAAAATCATCAATGATCAATTTCACAGACATCAGGCCATGGATAAAGTGAATGAATTTGCCCGGAAGAGTACCTTCCAAAGGGTTATAGTACAGTTTCATATACAATACGCACAAGCCTCATCAATTTGTCATGTGACGCATTCACCAACCTTGACCTTGTGAGCAGAGTTGTACTGTAGCTGTACATGTTGTACATCTGTGTCAAGCATTGGAAACACTCGTGAGAACGCTGGCGTGACGAACATCCCTGGACAGATGTCGGCGGTGAACAGAGGGAAGTGAAATATTTCCGCTGTGTAATTCTGCAAATGTACAATGCAATCTCATTAAAATCAGATTTAAGTTCTCGCTGCCGCCAACGAAAGATCGGTTCATGTCAGAACAACCTTTCAAGAACTTTGACCAACCACAGAAATGACTAACAAGAAGTCGACATCAGCCAATTAGAAAGCAGCTTTCTCGAGCTTTACGGCACTTGTTTCAATCTGGTGACTTCTATTTCAGACTACGCTTAAAAAATATCCTGACACAGTTCTCGCTTAAAAATTTGAAAACTGAACAAAGAACATTCCGGAATGTCTAATATAAGGTTGAGATTGTATGGCAACGCCTTGGCCGTTCAAATGTTTATCCCACGGAAGCGAGAGAAAGACGATAATTTTGACTGAATCAGTCGTAACTGTCGTTCGGAATACCCTGTGTTAACATTTTCGAGGTTGCATGATTAGAAAACACATTCCGAATGACGCTTTGATTGGTTGGATGAAAGGTCGTTCTGACGTGACCCGTAATTGGATATCCTCAGATCTTTGTTTAGCGATAGCGAGAACTAAGATCTGATTTTTATGAGATTGATGTACAATGTAACCTCATTAACTTGAAATGTATGGAGGTATGGAAAATTAATGCCCAACTTGCTAAATCATAAATGAGATGGCCAGACAAGAAAACAAATCAACTTCAGTTGCCCATGGACAACCTCAAAATATATACCTTTAGTCAATTTTGATAAGTTTGTAACAAGTATGAAATATACTTTGGAAACAGTGTTAACAACTTAAGTAGCACCAATCCAACTGACGGCAGCGGATTGTCTACGTCCTTGTTCTGCTTTTGATCATGCTTTACGGCACGCTTTCTGATTGGTCGATCAGAGTACCATGTTGCAGGTCAGTGAGTGAGCAGTGAGTCAGTATGGTTTTACGCCACTTTTAGCAATATCCCAGCAATATCATGACAGGGGACACCAGAAATGGGTTTCACACATTGTACCCATGTCGGGAATCAAACCCGGGGTAAATGGTGTGACCAGCGAACGCTTTAACCACTAGGCTACCCCACCGCCCCATTTCAGTGCAAGGCTACAGTCCCATCCCTCACCATGTTTCCCATCCACTGAAGCAGGAGATCTTCCATTTCATCAAAGTCTTGCTTGTCATCCACCTCGGCACTTCCTGTGCGGTCAAAGGCATGCACACTGCTGCTGACAGTGGAGATGACAACAGCATACTGGAAGCTGCTCTGTTCTACCACATCCTTCAACACGTCCCGAGTCACGGAGTCTCGCAACATGGAGCTGACAATGAATACTGCCTTCTTCTGATTAGGATCTGCCTTCTGAAACACAATGGAACCATTGTGTCAGCACCCATGCGCTTTCCATTATACAAGGGCCCCATTCCACAAAACGATCTTAGTGCCACGACTGTCATAAGTCCATGTTAACGTATGGGAAATTCAATCATCTTAGCGCTAAGATCGTTTTGTGGGACAGGGCACTGCCAAGCAGACAAGTACCTTCCATGCATTTTAATACTTTTTAGAGCACATTTCAGACGTATAACATGATTTAAGGGCATATCTAAAACACTACATCACGGTCTCCATATCTGCATCTTCCCGAGGCAAGAGCGTTAACTGACTTTACAAGTCCAGTTTCCACCCTTGCCAAACTAGGCTGGAATTCCTGGGCTCAAACCTAGCGCCACCAGTGGCTATAACAAGTTATGTCCATTCTATGCCTCTCCCATATGGACCAATGAGATTCCACCTCTCGTATCACATGTATTTGCTTCAAACAAAATGGTGGCGCCCAGTCAAGAGGATCTGATCGACCATCAAGATCTATTTTGTGATGAAATGGTTCTTACTTCGCAAAGTACATCAAATCACGTGAGCACCTTGATTAATAACATGAAAAGATTTGGAAAATATCTGTTGACAACGATTTAGCGATGCACATGCTTTGCAAATCCTGCAATCGACTGAAATCTGCATGACAGTTTACAAACCGGATTGCAATTTCGGTGCGCGATTTTGATTGGACTATGCATAGACTCGTTAGTCCAGCCAAAATGTAACTCCATAATACCAGCTAGCCTAGTTCGGCAAGGGTGGAAACTGGACTTTTATAGTCAGTTAACTCTCTTGCCTCGGGAAGATGCCATATCTGTTGCTGTCACTGTTTGAAATTAAGGATAAATGTAAGTGGTCTTTGTCATTACCCTCATGATAAACACAGAGGTCCCTAATTCAAACATGAGATCAAAGACCTCAAGAACTCCCCCACCCTACCCCCACTTAAACTTAGACACTGCGATCTGAAAAGTAATCTTAACTATTTGTTTTCTTAATGTCACTAGGGTCTATGCTCCACAGTCTGGTATTAATGTTCAGTCGCAATGTTGCTGATGACATACTATAAACTGGGGAAGTGTCCATGTAACCATGGTAACAAGGATAATCAATTATCCCTAGATTTCAACATGTTCAATATATCAACAGATTTGTTTGTTTAAATTAGAAACAGTGACACCTCACTAGGCTACCTACTTATTTGTATCAACCTTGATGTTATCAACCTGTAGAGTGGATATTTTGTTTGTTTTTCAATGCCACACTCAGCAATATTCCAGCTATATGACGACTGTCTGTAAATAACCATGTCCTGACCAGACAATCCAGTGATTGACATTGTGACCAACAATCTGCACCATCGGGGTACGACGTCACTAGGGCTGGGACGAGTCCAAATTTTCAACCCAGGTAACAACACACACACACCCCCCTCCCCCCCCCATTACCCGACCCTACCCTACCCGGGTACCCGCTGTAGGTCTCAAGAGATAGGTAAAAAATGTCCGATTGGGAATAGTTTGACTGACTCCTGTCAAAATGATATTGTTTCATGGCAAAAATTATCAAGAACTCTATGGTTACACTATAAGTGATAAATGTTCACATTTCTTTCTGACCTTACACACATTCCTTCTGACTTTATATGATTGCATAATGATAAAACATCAGTCAACTTCAGTATATACATGACCAGATCGGTTTATACGTGTATCTAAATTAATCATGTGACTAACCACGGGTCCGGGTAGTCCTGTGGGTACCCAGGTCCTACTCAGTACCCACCCGACCCAGGTACTTGATTTAACCGTCCCAACACTAGATGTCACCCAATCAACAAAGTCACTGAGTCGGAACACCCGATTCCTCTTGGTCGCCATCTTTCCGAGGCAAGGGAGTTAACTGACTATAAAAGTCCAGTTTTCACCCTTGCCAAACTAGGCTGGTATTATGGAGTTTTGGCTGGACTAAAGAGTCTATGCATAGTCCAATCAAAATCGCCCTCCGAAATCGAAATCCGGTTCGTAAACTGTTATGCAGATTTCGGTCGATTGCAGGATTTGCAAAGCATGTGCACCGCTAACTCGTTGTCAACAGATATTTTCTAAATCTTTTCATGTTTTTAATCAAGGTGCTCACGTGATTTGATGTACTTCGCGAAGTAAGACTCGTTTTATCACAATATACAGTCTTGATTATCGCTCAGATCATCTTGACTGGGCACCGCCATTTTGTTTGAAGCAAATGCAAGTGCAAGCCTCTTAAGACCAGCATATGGACCCGAAATCCCCATGAAGGTTTCAATTACAATCTGCACAACATTACTACTAATTACTTGAAGGCTTCACACAGGTTTCAATTACAATCTGCACAACAACATTACTACTAATTACTTGAAGGCTTGACACAGGTTTCAATTACAATCTGCACAACAACATTACTACTAATTACTTCAAGGCTTGACACAGGTTTCAATTACAATCTGCACAACAACATTACTACTAATTACTTCAAGGCTTGACACAGGTTTCAATTACCATCTGCACAACAACATTACTACTAATTACTTCAAGGCTTGACACAGGTTTCAATTACCATCTGCACAACAACATTACTACTAATTACTTCAAGGCTTGAAACAGGTTTCAATTACCATCTGCACAACATCATTACTACTAATTACTTGAAGGCTTGACACAGGTTTCAATTACAATCTGCACAACAACATTACAACTAATTACTTGAAGGCTTGACACAGGTTTCAATTACCATCTGCACAACAACATTACTACTAATTACTTCAAGGCTTGACACAGGTTTCAATTACAATCTGCACAACAACATTACTACTAATTACTTGAAGGCTTGACACAGGTTTCAATTACAATCTGCACAACAACATTACTACTAATTACTTGAAGGCTTCACACAGGTTTCAATTACAATCTGCACAACAACATTACTACTAATTACTTCAAGGCTTGACACAGGTTTCAATTACAATCTGCACAACAACATTACTACTAATTACTTCAAGGCTTGACACAGGTTTCAATTACAATCTGCACAACAACATTACTACTAATTACTTCAAGGCTTGACACAGGTTTCAATTACCATCTGCACAACAACATTACTACTAATTACTTCAAGGCTTGACACAGGTTTCAATTACCATCTGCACAACAACATTACTACTAATTACTTCAAGGCTTGAAACAGGTTTCAATTACCATCTGCACAACATCATTACTACTAATTACTTGAAGGCTTGACACAGGTTTCAATTACAATCTGCACAACAACATTACTACTAATTACTTCAAGGCTTGACACAGGTTTCAATTACCATCTGCACAGCATCATTACTACTAATTACTTGAAGGCTTGACACAGGTTTCAATTACAATCTGCACAACAACATTACAACTAATTACTTGAAGGCTTGACACAGGTTTCAATTACCATCTGCACAACAACATTACTACTAATTACTTCAAGGCTTGACACAGGTTTCAATTACAATCTGCACAACAACATTACTACTAATTACTTCAAGGCTTGACACAGGTTTCAATTACAATCTGCACAACAACATTACTACTAATTACTTCAAGGCTTGACACAGGTTTCAATTACCATCTGCACAACAACATTACTACTAATTACTTCAAGGCTTGACACAGGTTTCAATTACCATCTGCACAACAACATTACTACTAATTACTTCAAGGCTTGAAACAGGTTTCAATTACAATCTGCACAACATCATTACTACTAATTACTTGAAGGCTTGACACAGGTTTCAATTACCATCTGCACAACAACATTACTACTAATTACTTGAAGGCTTGACACAGGTTTCAATTACAATCTGCACAACATCATTACTACTAATTACTTTAAGGCTTGACACAGGTTTCAATTACCATCTGCACAACAACATTACTACTAATTACTTCAAGGCTTGACACAGGTTTCAATTACCATCTGCACAACAACATTACTACTAATTACTTCAAGGCTTGACACAGGTTTCAATTACCATCTGCACAACAACATTACTACTAATTACTTCAAGGCTTGACACAGTTTTCAATTACAATCTGCACAACAACATTACTACTAATTACTTGAAGGCTTCACACAGTTTTCAATTACAATCTGCACAACAACATTACTACTAATTACTTGAAGGCTTGACACAGGTTTCAATTACAATCTGCACAACAACATTACTACTAATTACTTGAAGGCTTGACACAGGTATTACCTCAAAGGAAGAGAACTCTCGTACATCCACAGCTCCGGCCTCCAGGAGGCGAGCCATACCGCCCTGCCAGTGTAGCAGCTCGGCACATGCGTCATCCACGTACACCACCGACCTGTTCACCTTCAATGTTACTTCTTCCCATAATGCCTTTGAACACTGCCACGTTGTCTTCATCTTTATCAGATGAGTGTTCAATTACTCATACCTAAAACATAGATGTAATCAGGATGTTTGTTTATTTGTTGTTAAACGCCGCACTCAGCAATATTCCAACTTAATGACAGGGATCGGTAAATAATCAAATATGGACCAGATAATTGTGTGTTTGACATCATGAGCGTCATGCAGTTGGGATACAATGACATACATCAACCAAGTCAGCGATCCTGACCACCCGATCCCGTCAGTTGGCTCTTGCGACAAGCATAGTTTATGGCAAGCATGAGTTGATTGACCTATTCTAACCCGGATCGTTACGGTAGTCTCCATTTAATTATATTAAAATTAAACTAATTTTACCCTTCTTGCAAGGCTTTACCTTTATTTCTTTACATTATAAAATAACCCGAGCCCGTTAGTTGCTTCGTATGGGCTGATGGGTGGAATGCAATGCTGAAGACCAATTCTAACCCGTATATCATATATCATGATATATAGCCACCAGATTGTGTTAGTTTGTATCTGTTTGACAATGTTTTTTTAATGGAGTTTTCAGAAAAGCTTCTATGCAAATTGTAATGTGGGGTTTGATTCACTCCCCCCTGAAATATCACTATTGTCAACAATGTCATCATAACTTTTCAAAAATAGGGTATGTCAGGATACAAAGGCAAAATGAAGAAATCATGGAAAAGATTTAAACGTTAATTGTTAGTATCAATTATTCATATCATGAATTAGGAAAATGTCAAAAGACAAATAGACTGTGGACTCCATCATGATATGAGACGATGTCGTCGTTGTCACGCAGGGTACTACAGAACTCTACCTCAGCTACAAACTGCTCACGAGCACTAGGTAACACCGTGACAATATTGACGACTAACTGCTTCCTTTCAAAGCAACTGTAAACAATTAGAATGCTCATAACATTTACCAAATAATTATAGCCTGTCATATATAAATTACTTATTATATTATGGCCTACATTTAAAAGTACGTAACATAAATCAATCCAACTGGACATTTTACATATTTAAATCTAAATGACAAGAACTAGCTCAGTCAGTTGGAGATGTAATTCATTTCGTCAGTAATACCTGTATAAAAAAAGTAATGTGATATGTTCCTTCTACCCATATAGGAGAACTTCAAAATTTAAAACACAAATACATCTTCTGCTTAGATGGGTTGATATGTAACAGGGTTAGAAACTAACAGTTTTTGTCCACTAGTCCTTCTAATGATAACATATAGCAAAACCCTTAAAACAGGCCAATTTCTACTAGTCCTTAGGATACCTTTACTATTGGCCAGTTTGGTAAGGACTACAGGACTAGTGCCAGTTTCTAACGCTGATGTAATAAGAAAAATGTAGTTCAAAACATACCGAAACACTGCACTTTACACATCAACAGTAGGAAATAGAAATTAGAGTTATCTGCCCCTACTTGTGCACACTCGGAGAACGTCGGCTTCTCTCGGTAACCTCCGGAATGACAAGTTGTCGAAAGCACGGATCGAGGGACAACTAAAATATTATCACGATTTCTACACTGGGACTAAAGACTAACGTCGTGTTTTGTTGTGCTCATGTCTTAGTTTTGTTTGTTAAAAAACGTTTCATTATCTCATTAATGACTGTTAGAAACAAATTTAGTGCAGAACAGTTTCATCGTCAGTCATTACGCTATTACAACAAAGAAAGTGTTGTCAATATACGTTTCCTGTCTTTAGCTTTTTCCAACTTCTAATAATATATAAAGGCCTGTCAGAGACTTCACGCATATTACTAAACGCTGACGATTTCCACATGCACTTTGTCACTGCTTAAATATAATCAGATCAATTAAATTCCTACGAGTGTAAAAATGCACTATATCAATTAATAACACGAATATCAGAAAGCTACCATACATAAGAGTGCATTCCTTACACTCGTGTGACATTAACTGATTTAGAAATATTAACGCAACGACACAAGGGTTTGTGGTTATTTGTAGCTGAGTTGTATTTCATAGCCTGTAAAAATAAGATGACTCCCTGACAAATCGACTGGACACAATAAAACTATTTAAACAGTTGACTTTGTTATGAAGATTTCAAAATAGATTTGAGCTTGTTATAACGGACGGGGGGTGGGGTGTGTGTGTGTGTGTGTGTGTAAGGGGGGGGGGGGGGGGGGGGGTCAAATATTTGTACAAGTATCACTTGTCCCCAACTTGATTCAAATAAAACTGTTTCCTATAAAAATTCGAGGGGGGCAACTAATTTGGAATTATGATCTATAGTTACACTTGTATAAGTATAGCTTCACTTGGTTAAAATGCACATTTGGAATAGCCAGTGAATTCCTGGCTGAGAATGGAATGCTGAAGACCAAATTGTACCCGTATATCATACATCTTCCCGAGGCAAGGGAGTTAACTGATTACAAAAGTCCAATTTCCACCCTTGCCGAACTAGGGACATAACTCGTGATAGCCAATGGTGGCGCTACGATCGAGCCCAAGAATTTTAGCCTAGTTCGGCATGGGTGGAAATTGGACTTTTGTAGTCAGTTAAATTCCTACGGATTATCCGATAGCGGATTGTTTTAATTTGCATCTGTTTGACAATGTCAACGGAGTTTTCGGAACAGCTTCTTTGCAAACTGTACCAAAGTCTCACGTGCTCCCATATGTCGAAAACATGAACACTTTGGGAAATCTATTTTAGATTTTATGACTTAAAAGTCTGTGTTAAGGTATAGAAGTTGCGACAGAAACCATGGTGATAGTTTTGTTGAACGCTGCTTTTGTAAAGTATTTCAGGAATAGCACAGCATGTCAGCTTGATGTGGGAGGAAAGCCTAAAGAGATGCAGGTCTCTGACGCTATAAATGCTTTGGTGAAACCACGAGCACCGTATGGTGCTGACAAACACCAAATCATGGCGAATCTGGATTTTAGCCCACGACCATAGGCTTCTGTGACGCCTGAGGAGTGCAACTCTGGACAGCGAATTGATTTTGTTTTTGTATTTGTATGTTGTTTAACGCCCCACTCAGCAACATTTCAGCTATATCACTGCGGTCTGTAATTATTCGAGTCTGGACCAGACAATACAGTGATTTACATCATGAGCATCGATCTAACAATTGAGATACGATGACGCGCACCCACCAAGTCAGCGAGCCTGACCACCCGATCCCGTTAGTCGCCTCTGACGACAAGCATTGTCGTCTCTCAGGGCAATCATGGGTTGCTGAAGACCCATTCTCCACCCGGATCTCGAGGCGCCTTAGATGGCCCACTTTCCTTTTACTACCATAAGAATGACGGTGGTTTAGTGGTGGGTGCTTCAGGTAGGCCAGGAAATGCTTACACTTTTCGCGAACACCTTGTGTCATCACTGATTTTATGAGTTTTCCATTTAAATAATTTTCACCACTATTTTAATTTTTACACCCGGATTTAACATGAATATCCCACTTAGACACAGTATACTGATTCTGAGCTGACCAATCCTTGCTTGAGTCTCTTAATGCCGAGCGCCAAAAAGGGTAACAAGTACATATGTTAATGTCACAAAATACAAAGAGATGGATACAGCAGGAGTACCTTTATTTACCTTTCTTGTACCATTCACCCAATCTCATTCCCACTAGGGGTCACGTCAGAACGACCTTTCATACGACCAATCAGAGCGTCGCTTACCAGATTATGAAAGTGACAGTCGGAATGTGATTTCTAATCATGCAACCTCGAAAACTTTATTCCGAACGATAGTTACGGGTTTAACGACTGATTGGTCATTCCATTGGTCGGTCAAAGTTCGTGCAAGGTCGGTCTGACGTGACTCGTAATGGGATGTCCTCAGATCTTTGTTTAGCGGTAGCGAGAACTAAGATCTGATTTTAATAAGATTGACCATTCACCGAACGTAATCAGATGGTACATGGTTCAGTCAACAAACTTCAGTTTAATGAAACGATTAATGAAATGTTGGTACACAATTTGAGGCTTGCGCACAAAACATAATGCCTCTTTTCTTAACTTCTTTCTAGGAAGAAAGAAGGTTGTTCTCCAAATAACCATTTTATTCCATATTTGTGAAATTTCAGCTAGTGACAGTCAGCAATATGTCAATTATTATCCCCAGCCACGAAGTGGAAGGGGGATATAGGAATGGGTGCCGTCCGTCCGTCCGTCGCGTTTCGTTTCCGGAGCAGAACACAAAAAACATGAGAGATATCTTAAACAAATTTGGCACATAGATAGGTCTAGTGGTGAACTGGTGCCTTTTGATAGTTTGAAATGTTTAAAAAAATTGTTTTTCGAGTTTCCATGGCAACGACTTTGACTTATACCGAAAATGGCAGTAGTCCTCGTTTCCGGAGCAGATATTGAAAACCGTACAGTATTTCTTCACCAAACTTGGCACATAAATAGGTCTAGTGGTAAACTGGTGCCTTTTGATACTTTGGGATTTAAAATTATTGGAAGCATTGGATGAGATGACTAGATTGCGGAATGAAAGACTGTTTACCTGGACACACCCTGTAGAGAACAGTCATGATGATGGACTCAAGGTGGCTCACTTGAATGTTCGATCCCTCAGTGCTTATTTCGAAGATGTGAAGAAGGATAAGTTTGTTGGTGTGCTGGATGTTTTGTGTTTCACAGAAACACACATCAATGATTACAGTGAAAGAGACCTGCCAGGATATCAAGTCTATCCAAGAGTCACAACACATGGTATTGCTGTGTATGTTTCAACAGAACAGTGTCCAGCTATGTGATGTTATGTCATCTCGCAATATTGAATAAATTTCCTTTCTTGTTGGCAAGTTCTGCATTGCTTGTGTGTATGTTCCTCCAAAAGTGTCATGGACACGGTTGTCGCATTCACTTACTAACTTCATGCAGAAACTTCAGGATCTCTCCAAGCAGCATGAATGTGAACATGTCCTTGATTCTGGGTATTCAACTGTGATCTGAGTGAAACAAGGAAACTAGAAGATTTCTTTAATGTGCGGAAAATGACTCATTCATTCTCCAACTCACTGTCTTGGAGCTACACTGGACTTTTTGTTTACTGATCATGCCAGTGTTGTAGCATTCCAGACTCCAGTCCACAACTCAGATCATCAGTTGATTGATGCTGTACTTCTCAGTACACCTCATGGTGACCCCTGCTCTCATTTATCTCTAAGTAAAGTAAGAACTCCCTTACTTCTCTGATTATTGTTTAAGTAACAACACAAATCATTACAAATACAATAGTGTAACTCAACTGTATAAACACTGCCTCCTGTCCTGTATATAAATATATTCTTGTCAACCATACCCTGTACTTCACTTGCTTAATAACGGCGTTAGAACCTACACCAAAACGTCGCTTCTAATTGTAATAAAGAAGTTGTTCGTCCATATGTCTCATCCTTACTCATAACAAATACAGTTACGTATTCTATCATAAACTGCAGATGGCAAAACAACACCAGTAATAACATAGTCTAGACTCCTCCAACTTCGTTGGGATGGGGGACAATTAGGGATGCTGTATGAAAAGCAATCAACACACCCATACTTTGACAAAAAATGTAAAGGATAACCCCAAGTCAATATACAGGTTCATTTTTTTTATTTCATTCACAGATTAACATTTCTAGATTCAGTCAAACATCTGACAAAGTGTTTGAAATTTGCTCCCAGGTTTTTTAATATAAAGATCCCCTACAATCTCATTAAAATCAGATCTTAGTTTACGCTACCGCTTAACACAGATCTGAGGACATCCCATTACGGGTCACGTTAGAACGACCTATCGCGATTTTGACCAACCAATGAAATGACTGACAAGAAATCGACATTAGCCAATCAGAAGGCAGCTTTCTCGAGCTTTACGACATTAGTTTCAAACTGGCTACTACGCTTCGAAACAAATTTTGAGGTATTCTTGATTATAAAAATTAAAACTGACAAGAAGAACATTCTGGAATGGCTTACAGATGGCCAAGAATGTATGGATATAATCATTAAACCCGTAACTGTCGTTCGGAATACTCCTTGTTAAATATTTCGTGGTTGCATGATTAGAAAACACATTCCGACAGTCACTTTCATGATCTGGAAAGCGACGCTCTGATTGGTTGGATGAAAGGTCGTTCTGATGTGACCCTTAATGGGATGTCCTCAGATCTTTGTTTAGCATAACGAGAACTAAGATCTGATTTTAATGAGATTGGATCCCCTAAATCTTACCTGAAAACATAAGGGCTATGATAAGGATCCTTCGACCTTCCTGTTTAATTGCTAACACTATAATACTACATATCAATGCAACAAACAGATAGCACTGAAACAAGTAATATCTTAACAAAATTAGCTCTAGGTAAACAATTTCAAATTTTATTACTTCACTGACTTACCGGACTGACCAGAGCCCAAATCCATTGAAAATAAAATTAAACAATTAAACTTTAAAATACACAAAAGAATGTGACAATTTCTCAAATAATAACAGCTTCATCTTTGGCTACTGCAAACACCCAAAACAGTAATTTTCTTTCCCTGTCTGTAGTGGATGAGTGAGTGAGTTGGGTTTAACGCCGCTTTTAACATTATTCCAGTTATATCACGGCGTGTCAGCTTCATGTAGTAGGAAAGCCCGAAGTCATGCAGGTCACGGACGTTTATTACTTCGGTGAAACCCACGAGCATGGGTATGGTGCTGACAAACCTAGAAACATAGTCGGGGCAAACCGTGATTCGAACCCACAATCATAGGTTTCTGGCGTGCCCAAGGGATGCAATTCTGCACAGCGAATCGCGGCGCCTTAGACGACTGGACCACTCGTGCCCCCTGTAGTGGATGAGGTGAGGTCAAATATAATTCTTAGAGCACTGAGGTAAAAAAAAAATGTATCTTGATCTACCAAAGCTAAATTGTTATTAAATATTCTGTAAACCTGAAAAAAATATGCATGACTGTAAAGAACTAATTGAAAACTGATGAAATACTTTAAAAAAGGCTGATTGTGATGACCATCAAACCATACCTGATGAAGCATCAGTATCAATCTCATTAAAATCAGACCTTAGTTCTCACTACCACTAAACAAAGATCTGAAGACATTCCATTAGGGGTCACGTCATAACGACCTTTCATCCGACCAGTTAGAGCGTCGCTTACCAGATTATGAAATTGACAGTCGGAATGTGATTTCTAATCATGCAACCTCTAAAACTTTAACACAGGGTATTCCGAACGATAGTTACGGGTTTAACGACTGAATCCATACAATCTGGACCATCTATTAGCCATTCCAGAATGTTCTTTTGTTCAGGTTTCAAATTTGTAATCAAGAATTTGTCAAAATATGTTTCGAAGCGTAGTCACCAATTTGAAATTAGTGCTGTAAAGCACAAGAAAGCTGCCTTCTGATTGGTCATTCCATTGGTCGGTCAAAGTTCGTGCAAGGTTGGTCTGACGTGACCCGTCATGGGATGTCCTCAGATCTTTAGTTTAGCCGTAGCGAGAACTAAAATCTGATTTTAATGAGATTGCATCAGTATGTATTAGATACATATAACAATTGCTCCAATACTAACTGATCATCACTACTGGAATTAATTTCACCAATCAGTTTATCAGTTTATCAGTTTACTGACAAATGAGTTGTATATCGGAAGATTCAGAAAACATGTCATCTATATTAGAACTTTATAATGTTCTGAATGTTTTGGCAGATATGTACAACTTTACAGTTTATCAAACCCTTATGAATGGTTGGTTGCAATCTCAGAGAAATTAGACACTCTCATGTTTGAAAAATCTTTTGACATAAATTTGAGGTATAACAGGTTACTTATTTCATGAATATCTAAAACATGTTAAACAGGTAAGGTAGATGTTGTTTTATGTCATGTCCAAGATTATTGTGGTTATATAGGGACGTGTGCATGAGTGCGTCTGTCTGTTTGTCTGTACTAGTCCTGACTAATGCCGATTTTTTGGTGCTAGCCCACTGAGATACCATGGCACAGTTTAACATGAATACTCCACTCAGACACAGTATACTGACTCCGAGCCAAGCAGTCCTTGTCTTTTGGTATGACGCGACCGGGGATTGAACCCCTGACCTTCCGCTCTCCAAACGAACACGTGCACTCTACTAGCAAACATGTTAAACAATAATTATCTCACCTTACATTAAAATACGAATTTCAGATTGGTTAAGGAGAGGGCAATTAGTTTCCATGTAGCCCGCTCATGTAACCAGCTCATAAATCCTGCTGAGAAATCAATCGCAACACACCATAGGTAGCTTGCTTATCTCGCATAAGTATCATTGAGCCGAAATGAACCAATGTTTATCTGAATGCATTGCGTGAAGTAACTCAGTTCATTTGCGTCATCTGCTGGCTGTCAAAATGGCTGAATCAAAGCATATTACTCAGTGAAACTTTGGACATATACTTCGGTCTGTGTGAATGAATGACGGCGAGATAAATTCATCGTCAACTGATCCCTCGGGGTATATGGTGTGATGCACCCTGTGTGTGAGCTACATAGTGGTACATAGGCCACACACAGGGGACATCACACCATATACCCCCCAAGGTCGGTTGAAATTTTATAATGTATTAACAATTGTTACATTGTTATTGTACAACGTTGACACAAACAGTTGGTATATGTTAAAAAAACCTCTTTCCCTTCAATGTAGAAGTTGGCGATGATAACGTTGCAGCATCCTCATCCATTATTCCTCCATATCATCATTATGATACCAAGACCCATTTGCAACCATATTGTCACCATCCCCATCATCATCAACATAGAACAGGATTTCTCTCGCTCATGAGTGTAATCTGACTGGTCACTGTTTCCAGTGGCGTCTTTCGTCTATGTTTCAAGATAAAGATATGGTAGCAAATACGTCCAGGCATTATCATCTTCCTGAGGCAAGGGAGTTAACTGACAATAAAAGTCCACCCTTGCCAAACTCGGCTGGAATTCCTGTGTTACATTTTGGCTGGACTTACGAGTGTATGCATACATGTAGTTCAATGAAAAATCGTGTGACGAAATCGACATCCGGTTAGCAAACAACATGGTTTCAACATGCAGATTTTGGTTGACTGCAGGATTTGTAAAGCATGTGTACCGCCAACTCGGCACAAAAATATATTTTGCATATCTTTTCATGTTTTTAATCAAGGTCCTCAAATGATGTGATGCACTTGGCGAGGTAAGACCCTTTTTATTACAAAATAGATCTTGATTATCGATCAGATCGTCTTGACTGGGCGTTGCCATTTTGTTTGAAGCCAATGCAAGTGATATGAGAGGTGGAATCTGATTGGTCAGTATGAGGACCATAGAAGGGACATAACTTGTAATTGCCATTGGTGGCGCTAAGATAGAGTCTGGTAATTCCTGTCTAGTTCGGCATGGGTGGAAACTGGACGTTCATAGGCAGTTAACGCCTTTGCCTCAGGAAGATGGGCATTATCATTATAGGATGAAAAATGAAAACACTGGATAATTGAGGATGGTGTTGTGAATGACGAAACAATGATAGTGAAAGAATAGCTTCAACACTGTCATGAAGCTTTCATTCTATTATCTGCCTCCACGAACTTGGGACGAAGACTGGACATTGTGATGAGGACCGCTTCCTGCAAACGAAACCAGACGTTATACATATACATTTACATCACATGTACACATTTACATCACATGTACACATTTACCTCACATGTACACATTAAAATCACATGTACACATTTACATCACATGTTCACATTTACATCACATGTACACATTTACATCACATGTACACATTTACATCACATGTACAAGTTTACATCACATGTACACATTTACATCACATGTTCACATTTACATCACATGTTCACATTTACATCACATGTACACGTTTACATCACATGTACACATTTACATCACATGTACACATTTACATCACATGTACACGTTTACATCACATGTACACATTTACATCACATGTTCACATTTACATCACATGTAAAAGTTTACATCACATGTAAACATTTACATCACATGTTAGACCCGTGAAGATCCGGGGTAGAATAGGTCTTCAGCAACCCATGCTTGCCGTAAAAGGTGACTAAGCTTGTCGTAAGAGGCGACTAACGGGATCGGGTGGTCAGGCTCGCTGACTTGGTTGATGCATGTCATCGAACCCAATTGCGTGGATCGATGCTCATGTTGTCAATCACTGGATTGTCTGGTCCAGACTCGATTATTTACAGACCACCGTCATATAGCTGGAATATTGCTGAGTGCGGCGTTAAACAACAAACAAACATCACATTTTAACAGAGAGACATGAAACTATCAACGCTATTCATATTTCAATGTGGATGAAATTTTCTGTGTTTGTTTCTGTGATGATGTTGCCAAAATTGATATCACAAGCTTACTCATGCTGTCGCTAATGCAGTATTCCCGACACCCCTAAATAAGTTCCCATCAATGACGGTTTTTTTAGATGTTGTTTAACACTGTGACCCAACAATATTCCAGCCATAAGACAGTGGTCTATAAATAATTGAGTCTGGACCAGACCATCCACTGATTGACATCATGAGCATCAATCCTTTGGGTACGATGACATGCATCAACCAAGTCGCCATGCCTGACAACCTGATCCATATGCAGTACAAGTTTGCAACAAAAAGTCCCACACATCTAGCTACCTAGATAACAAAACCATGCAGGTCTCAGACGTTTACCACTTTGGTGACAAACCTAGAAAACCTATCTGCGAAAACCGAGATTCGAACCCATGAAAATAGGTTTCCCTAGATGTGAGGACAATTAGGCCACTCCTTCCCTTCAATTTGACCCACTCCACCAAATACCATATACGATTAATTGAAAGTACAGCAAACTATGATTATAATGAACTCAAAGGGACCACTAATTTTAGTTCGTTATAACCGTAGTTCGTTATAAGCATATATAGCATATATGCAACAAATGGCCGGGACTAAAAACTAAGTTCTTTATATCGGTCAGTTCGTTATAAGCGTGTTCGTTATAATTGTAGTTTACTGTACGACACATTATCTACTACTGACATCATTTGATTGTTATCACTTTTCGCACATAAATATTCAAACAATGTAAACACAACATGCACAAGACCTGAAGAAATAAGTTTTTTAAAAAGAATTCCCTGGGCTATAAAGAAATACATGCTGTATCTCTTGGATGTCCAAGCACTGCATGGGTTCAAAAACAATGTGAGGTGGCACTGGTTAAATTCAGACAAAACCTTGAGGCAAGGCCATTTACATGAGTCAGCTTAACGAGTGAGTATGGTTTTACGTCGCTTTTAGCAATATTCCAGCAATATCACAGCGGGGGACACCAGAAATGGGCTTCACACATTGTACCCATGTCGGGAATCGAACCCCGGGTCTTCAGCGTGATGAACGAACGCTTTAACCACTAGGCTACCCGACCGCCCCTCTGCTTAACAAACAATTGTTCCTGAACCTATAATCTATTTATCCTTGTATGGAAATCTGACTTTCAGTCTGAACATTTTTGTATACCAAGCACATCAATAGAAAGCACGATAAAACATTGTCGTTTATCATACAATAAAACACTGCACGGAGAATAAATCATTTTGGACCCCCCCATGCCTAAATTCTCCCTTCAGTGTTTTATTGTGCCATAAACAACAACCACGAGTTCATTTCTTAAAAATAGGTTAAAGAAGACCTGACCTCTGTCCGGATGGTGCGGCTCCCTTGGTCAGGGCATGTGTTGAGGTAGTGTTGGAAGAGGAAGCTTGGGTCGTCCACGTTCAGCCCTTCGTCGGCGTCGAGACTGGCCTCTAGTCCATGTACTCCTCCAAACACCACCAGGGCATGGCTGCAACACAGTACACACATCATCACTTACACCAGAATCACATAGCATCATTAAAATAGTCAAAATTATTGAGTGCTCATAAATCCTAACAAGAGTGAGTGAGTGAGTGAGTTGGGTTTAACGCCGCTTTTAACAGTATTCCAGTTATATGACAGCGTGTCAGCTAAATGTGTGAGGAAAGCCCAAAGTGATGCAGGTCTCAGACGTTTACTACTTCAGTGAAACCCTTGAGCATGGGTATGGTGCTGACAAACCTAGGAACCGGGATTCGAACCCACAATCATAGATTCTGGCGAGCCCATGGGACGCAGCTCTGCACAGCGAATCGTGGCTCCTTAGACGACTGGGCCACCCGTGCCCCCAACCCTAACAAGGAGCTAAGACTAAAATACATTTTTTTCATTTGTATTTGTATAAATATTGGAGGAGGTAGTCAGGAGGTATTTTAATTAATATTATTTTAAAAATGTTCACCAAGCTTTGAAGGACGGGAAGACACAAAGTTATTTCCTTGACCTCTTGGGAACAACAATGACGTGAAGTGGGTTATTTGGTGGGGAGGCGGGTGAAGATGAAGATACACCAGCCTGTACGCTCTAGAAAGAGGATGAGGTTGCAGGGTATGTCATTTGATCAAATGTATCGCACAGGACTGCAGCGGTGTTTGACCCATTGTTTACATGGTGACTATGGTGATGTATGGGATGTGTTGGTGTGAGGTGTTTTTTGAAACCGGAAACTATGTTCTTTGACACACCAGGATCGAAGAAGAAGGAAGAAATGCATAGGGTGAGATTTATTTATTTCGGCCTTACATTATCAAGTTACTTTTATAGTCTGGAAGGTAATTTAAGGTACCGGCGTTTACTACAATATCTGAAAAAACTATTGGACCTACTCCAGTCAAAGTTGGTATGAGAAAAGGGTGCACGGGAATCAGGCACGTTGAGACGCCCAACGCTAACACCGTATTCGTGCATGCATGATTCCCGTGCACCCATTCGAGTTGAGTTGATTGGTTCCACTGTGTTATATGGCCCTGTGACGCAGGGGTAGCATTATGCAGATGGCTGTTTCAATGAATGCTCGTTCCACCCGTGACGAACAGGTCTGGTTGTTGATGAAATATAGTGATAGCTAAAAAGACAGATTTTTTATTCATGCACCGACTGTGTAATATCCAGTTATGTATGACTGTTTAATAATCTCATACCAACTTTGACTGGAGTAGGTCCGATAGTTTTTCAGATATTATAGTAAACGTCGGTACCGTAAATTACCTTCCAGACTATAGTGTCCAAGGGTTTTTCTACCCATCAGTCCTAACAACAAGCATGTGAACCAGGGGTCCGGAAACCGTCATATGCGCCGGACATGTCCGATTGGGAATCTCAAATGTCCGTTTTAAAATATTGCTTACCGGACATTTTAAAAAGTATTGTCCGGACATTCTTAAATTTTGACCGGACATGATCAACAGTTAGGACTGAGCAGTTTCTGTCTGCAGTTGCAACACAATGAAGATTAACTACACTGACAAGCTTTGTTTGTTTTGATTGCTGTAAATACATCGTACCTACATGATAGTCCAATCAGTCAATCACTGTAATAGGCAATAAACTGAGTTGACACTGATTAATCGAGGATTAATTACTGAGAACATCTTGTTAATGTGAGTGAAAGGTGTTTACAACTGTACATTAATACCTTGCATCATCGATGTACCTCATTATCCTCACAATGCTACGATACGTAACCTCAGACAAGAAGCGAAAGCGTGACGACAGCCAGTCGACCGATGCAGATCAGTCGAGCGGATCTGCCAAACCCTCAAAGTCTGGACGATCATTTTGTAAGTCGTGGCTAACGACTTTCACTTGGTTGACAAACAATGAGGATTTGCAGATTTTATTTTTTTCAGTAGCTAGTCGTATATTGAATCTTGATTGACCGCCATTTTGCTTTCTCGGACGATCGATATCCAATTTTTTTATGGTCAATAATTAAGTACAGATGAAAAAAGTATTCAAATAACTATTGCTATCAACGATATTTTAGTATTTGTGATTAAATTATCTGTCTTGTTTTTAAAAAAATCTTTAGTTTAAAAAAAAACTTTTCCCGTGAGGTCACGTGATAACCAAATATGGGATAATAGTCTCGATCCAAATGTTACAACGCCCCGTGTGCGAAATACGCTCCAGTCGGAAAGCGCACGTAAAATCTCCTAATATAAGTAAGTAAGTAATGTTACAACGCGTACACTTGAGCAGACTCATGAATATAACTCATGAATATTAATAGATCGTTATTATAACAGAAACAAACGTATGTTTTCCATGTAAATCTAAAATGATATTATTTGTTATTAATTGTCGGGTGAATTAAACAATTTAAATTGAAACAATTCATAATTCATCATGTTATGAATACGTAAACTTGTAATGTGTGTGAAAAGTCGTACTAAAATACGCTATTTGAAGGGGGCGTGGCCTAAATGCAAATGTCCGATTGGGATTTTAAATTTTCCGGACCCCTGATGTGAACATACAGCATGGATGCTTCCAGTAAACAGTATATATATGACATTACTCCACATACATTCATAACAAAATCCTAATAAATATCTCTGACCACTACTCACGCAAACTTGTCAATAGTGAAATTGTCGATGTCGGCTCCTCTCTCTGACGTCCCGATGGTGACATCGTAGCCCTGTTTGTAGGGGCACTCGGTGAAGACTGCTCCAAGACTGCTGGCCAGTCGGACACTGTAGCCCCAGTACAGACCGGCCTCGGTCCGCGGACTACTGGGGGATACCACTGTACCCTTAATGTGTTTCCTGTCTGGAGGGAAAGAAGAGTGAGTGAGTGAGTGAGTGAGTGAGTGAGTGAGTGAGTGAGGGTGGTTGGTCCGCGGACTACTGGGGGATACCACTGTACCCTTAATGTGTTTCCTGTCTGGAGGGAAAGAAGAGTGAGTGAGTGAGTGAGTGAGTGAGGGTGGTTGGTCCGCGGACTACTGGGGGATACCACTGTACCCTTAATGTGTTTCCTGTCAGGAGGGAAAGAAGAGTGAGTGAGTGAGTGAGTGAGTGAGTGAGTGAGTGAGTGAGTGAGTGAGTGAGTGATCGAGTGATCGAGTGAGTGAGTGAGTGAGGTCCGCGGACTACTGGGGGATACCACTGTACCCTTAATGTGTTTCCTGTCTGGAGGGAAAGAAGAGTGAACGAGTGAGTGAGTGAGGGAGTGTGGATGGGTGGTCCGCGGACTACTGGGGAATACCACTGTACCCTTAATGTGTTTCCTGTCTGGAGGGAAAGAAGAGTGAACGAGTGAGTGAGTGAGGGAGTGTGGGTGGGTGGTCCGCGGACTACTGGGGGATACCACTGTACTCTTAATGTGTTTCCTGTCTGGAGGGAAAGAAGAGTGAGTGAGTGAGTGAGTGAGTGAGTGAGTGAGTTTTTGGGTGGGTGGGTTTTTGTGTGGGTGTTGGTGGGGTGAGTGAGTGAGTGAGTGAGTGAGTGAGTGAGCGATTGTATGGGACAGTTCGAATTGGTTGCAAAACTGAAGCACTGAGAACGCAATCAGCTTATAGCCCTCAAATGCTACTAGTCAATGAGGACTACCATCATTGCATTTCTACTTGTCCTCAGCACAAGTTAGCAGTCTCATGCTAGCAGGCTGGGGAACTAGTCGGCTAGCTTGAATTTTGAAGTCTGACCTACCTTCGTCTTGTGGTGCAAGCTTGACTGTGACTCGGACACCAGGTTTCAGCTGCCTATCAATCTGCACCTCCTGAAAATATCACACATACATATTCTACCATTGAGTTGCACTACGTCAAATAGATATTATTTTTCTGTGGATGTCAGCATATGTACAATGCTGCTGAAAGTCTCAAGTCACAACTGGAGTAGCCTCCCTTAGTATTCAATGACATCAGAAATGATGACCTAGAATGGTTTCAATCTCATTAAAATCAGATCTTAGTTTTTTCGCTTTCGCTAAGCAAAGATCTGAGGACATCCCATTACGGATCACGTTAGAATGACCTTTCGCGAACTTTGACCGACCAATCAAATTACTAACAAGAAAGCGACATTAGCCAATCAGAAGCCAGCTTTCTTGAGCTTTACGACACTAGTTTCAAACTGGCGATTATGCTTCGAAACATATTTTGACGTATTCGATTAAACAATTTAAAACTGATCAAAAGAACATTTTGGAATGGCTTAAAGATTGTATGGATATAATCACAAAACCTGTCACTGTCGTTCCGAATACCCTCTGTTAAATATTTCGAGGTTGCATGATCCGAAAACACACTCAGACTGTCACTTTCATAATCTGGTAAGCGGCGCTCTGATTCGTTGGATTAAAGGTTGTTGTGACGTGTGCCGTAATGGGATGTCCTCAGATCTTTGTTTAGCGGTAGCGAGAACGAAGAGATCTGATTTTAATGAGATTGGAATGGTTTTGTCCCCACAACTGTGCAATCTCCTGAACTCCCTGACCAAACTACTAGGCATTACATGAATTGGCCTTAGTGCATTGGATTATCAATGAGTTACAGGAAACCAACATGAAATATCTACAAAGTAATATTTAGACAATTGAGGACGTAATAATTATCTTATTTCACTAATGCATCAATTTTAGCCTGAAGCTTAAGAAACTAATTATTCATGTGAAAAGTACTTCTTAGGTTTCGTGTTTATCATTAAAAGGCCAGGGAAGCATTTGGACAGTTTCACACTGGACGAGTTCAGGACCCTGTTCCTCTTAGCAATTGTAGAGCTAAGATCATCGTAACTCCCTTACGTTAACATAGGCTTACGATCATCTTAGCGATAAGGAATTTGTGGAATTTGTCCCAGCTATAAACATGGCAGCAGGATTCTCTGGCTACCTTGAAGAGCCCCACGTTGGCAAAAGAGCCCCTCCCTTCTCTGATAGGTTTGTTGAGGACCACGCCCTCCCGGTATGTGCTGACGTCATCGATTCGCAAATGGTGATAGCAGTCCAGGGGATTCAGCAGGCCTGTAAAATAAAATGATTCATGATTGACATTAATCAATCATTGATTGCGTTTTTTAGATTTTTATTAATTGTGAGCCAATTTTGGAACATTACATGCTTGTACAATAAAATTGTTCCACAAAAGATCGAAGTGTTACAACTGTCGTAAGTCTGTGTTATAGTATTGGAGTTACGATCGTCTTAGTGCAATGGCTGTCGTAAGTCTATGTAACAGCATGGGAGCTACTTTTGTCTTAGCACTATTTTTGTCGTAAATCTATGTTAAAGTATGGGAGTAACAATCGTCTTAGCACTGTGATTGTTGTGAGTCTATGTAACAGCATGGGAGTTACTATTGTCTTAGCACTATTTTTGTCGTAAATCTATGTTAAAGTATGGGAGTAACAATCATCTTAGCACTGTGATTGTTGTGAGTCTATGTAACAGCATGGGAGTTATAATTGTCTTAGCACTATTTTTGTCATAAATCTATGTTAAAGTATGGGAGTTACGATTGTCTTAGAACTGTGATTGTCGTAAGTCTATGTAACAGCATGGGAGTTACTATTGTCTTAGCACTATTTTTGTCGTAAATCTATGTTAAAGTATGGGAGTTACGATCATCTTAGAACTGTGATTGTCGTAAGTCTATGTAACAGTATGGGAGTTACGATCGTCTTAGAACTGTGATCGTTGTAAGTCTATGTTAAAATAAGGGAGCTGGGATCATCTCAGGATGTTGAGTATGTGAGTTATAACTGTCTTAGCACTCAGACCACTTTGTAGAATGGCAGTCTGGCCTCTAAAAGTTGCAAGAACACATATTGTAAGACAGAATCCGAAGTGTCACCTCACCAGCATACTGCAGGTCCTTGTGCTGGGGGAAGAAGGACTTGCGCAGGTACTGTGGACACTCCAGGTACTGCAGTATCCGGGCCATCTGGACATTGGCCTGGCCTTTCTTCCCTATCCCCCCAAACTGGCCCTCGGTTGTCCTGGAACACACACACACACCATGGATGTATATGTAGACAAAATGATGAAAGATGACTATAGTTGGCCCACTTAAATTAACTATAGCCGAACACTGGAATGATTGGTTGGTTTGTTGTTTTACCCCGCACTCAGCAATATTCCAGCTATATGACGGCGGTCTGTAAATAATCGAGTCTAGACCAGACAATCCAGTGATTGATATCATGAGCATCGATCCACGCATTTGGGATTGATGACCTGCATCAACCAAGTCAGCGAGCCTGACCACCCGATCCCGTTAGTCGCCTTTTTCCGACAAGCATAGTCGCCTTTTACAGCAAGCATGGGTTGCTGAAGACCTATTCTACCCCTTAAATTAACTATAGCCGAACACTGGAATGATTGGTTGGTTTGTTGTTTTACGCCGCACTCAGCAATATTCCAGCTATATGACGGCGGTCTGTAAATAATCGAGTCTAGACCAGACAATTCAGTGATTGATATCATGAGCATCGATCCACGCATTTGAGATTGAATACCTGCATCAACCAAGTCAGCGAGCCTGACCACCCGATCCCGTTAGTCGCATTTTTCCAACAAGCATAGTCGCCTTTTACGGCAAGCATGGGTTGCTGAAGACCTATTCTACCCCTGATCTTCACGGGTCAACACTGGAATGAACTCTAGCAGACCACCTTAAGGCCACACATTTTTTAGTTTTTGTTTCACGGGCCTGATGTCCCTCCTGAAAAGCAGCTGGTATAGAAATAATTGAAACATAAAAATATTAATTTTTATTATGTCTCTTGGTTAGAAGCTTGACCAACTTGAATAGAAACACAAACAACCAGAGCTCCAGATAAGCTGCGTATCTATATATTCCACATCACTGTTTATTGAGCAGCAGTTGTGACAAGTATATAACAATGACATTCCAAGAATAGGAATTACACAAAGGGCATCCAGTGAGTTATCACTGGTGGGGTCGAGAGTTCTATTCACATTAGTATTGAGTCGCATTTTTGGCTGGGGTCCAGCAGTTGTATTGATTTCAAGATGTACAGTACTTTATTTATCATCCTTATCCCCAATTTACTATCCTCAAGCGTAAATAACATAATCATTGTCTAGACAGCGAACCATGGCTCCCAAGCTTTATGATAAACAAACAGGCATTGAGATTGGTTGGTTGGTTGTTTTACGCCGCACATAGCAATATTCCAGCTATATGACGGCAGTCTGTAAATAACTGAGTCTGGACCAGACAATCCCGTGATTGACATCATGAGCATTGATCCATGCCATTGGGATCGATGACATGCTTCAACCAAGTCAGCGAGCCTGACCACCCGATCCCGTCTCTTACGACATGCATAGTTGCCTTTTACGGCAAGCATAGTCTCCTTTTACGGCAAGCATGGGTTGCTGAAGACCTATTCTACCCCAGATTTTCACAGCATAAAGAAAAAAACAACTCACGTCGCTGTGGATCCAGTCTCGTCAAAAATGATGATTTCATCCACTTTAAAGACAACAGCAGCACGTGCAATCTGAAACACATAACACCAAGAAAACTGTTTTTCAATTCTCTTCTTTGTCAAGTAAACATTGTAACCACTGCTGCTGTATCATCTTATAGTCTCGCAATACCTACATAGTGAGTGAGTGAGTGAGTTTGGTTTAACGCCGCTTTTAACAGTATTCCAGTTATATCACGGCGTGTCAGCTTAATGTGGGAGGAAAGCCCCAAGTGATGCAGGTCTCAGACGTTTACCACTTCGGTGAAACCCACGAGCACGGGTATGGTGCTGACAAACCTAGAAACATAATCGGGGCGAACCGGGATTCGAACCCACAATCATCGGTTTCTGGCGTGCCCAAGGGACGCAACTCTGCACAGCGAATCGCGGCGCCTTAGACGACTGGGCCACCCGTGCCCCCCATACAGTCTGTGTGTTGTTATTTCTTCACTTGATGAAATGTGCTACAAATGTAGCCCAACACTAAATGTCTCGAAAACTATGTCCATAAAATTCTTTTTACAAAATATACAAAACCTCCTCCCTTAAAGTTTTGAAAATTTGGGATGAAAATCTAATGATCTTCTACTGTGGCCTATGGGATACAGTTAAGTCACTGATTTACCTGGAGGATGTGTATCATTCTGCAGCAACTTATTGTTACATTGTATCACATACGAGTACCTTATAAACATATGAGGCTCAAGGCTCATGGTTTTAATTAAGAAACTATCTGGTTTTGCAGCTGTTGCTGAAAAATATCTAGTCTCCAAAAATATCCCAGCACCTACTCCCCCACTCCCCCCTCCCCATTTATAAAATGTTCAGTCACAAACAAAATAACAAACATTATCGAACCTGTGATTAATGGAATCTGACACATCAAAGGGATGCAACTCTGCACAGCTACTTTGGGTGAGGTAAGGTAAAATGGGGTTTAACGTCATGTCCAAGATTATTGCATTTATATAGCGTTGTGCATTCGTGTGTGTGTGTGTGTGTGTGTGTGTGTGTGTGTGTGTGTGTGTGTGTGTGTGTGTGTGTGTGTGTGTGTGTGTGTGTGTGTGTGTGTGTGTGTGTGTGGCTGCTGGTACTAGTCCGGACTGATGCCAATTTATAGTGCTAGCCCACTGAGAAACCATGTGAGAGTTCAACATGAATTCCCCACTCAGAGACAGAATATTGACTCCAAGCCGACCAGTCCTTGTTTTAGCCCCTCAATGTCGAGCGCCAGACAGGGTAACAACAAGTACCATCTTTAAACGTCTTTTGGTATGACGTGGAGGAGATCGGACCCCCGACCTCCTGCTCTCTGGTCAGACACTCTACCACTAGACCATGGAGGCGGTCCTAGTTTAGCTGTGGGGGCTTGGATGTCCCATGCACACCTGAATACCCCACTCAGACACAGTATATTGACTCCAAGACGACCAGTCCTAGTTTTAGCCCCTTAATGTCGAGCGCCAGACAGGGTAACAACAAGTACCATCTCATAACGTCTTTTGGTATGACGCGGAGGGGATTGGACCCCCGACCTCCTGCTCTCTGGTCGGACGCTCTACCACTAGACCATGGAGGCGGTCCTAGTGGCTGTGGGGGCTTGGATGTCCCATGCACACCTGAATACCCCACTCAGACACAGTATATTGACTCCAAGACGACCAGTCCTAGTTTTAGCCCCTTAATGTCGAGCGCCAGACAGGGTAACAACAAGTACCATCTCATAACGTCTTTTGGTATGACGCGGCCGGGGATTGGACCCCGGACTTTTCCGCTCTCTGGTCGGACGCTCTACCACTAGACCATGGAGGCGGTCCTAGTGGCTGTGGGGGCTTGGATGTCCCATACACACCTTTTCAAATATGGAAAAGCAGAAGAAAAGCAGTGATTTTCTACGTAATCCTTAAATTTGTGTTCCACTAAATTGTTGAAATATTGCCACTTCTGTCTTCAACAATTTTTGAGATCATAAATTGTAAGTCTTTGAAAGGCATTTAGAAGTGATATACATAAGGAAGATAATATAAGGATATCAAGTTTATCAACTTCTTTATTATAATTTGGTTGGTTGGTTGGTTGGTTTGTTGTTTAACGCCGCACTCAGCAATATTCCAGCTATATGATGGCGGTCTGTAAATAATCGAGTCTGGACCAGACAATCCAGTGATTAATATCATGAGCATCAATCCACGCAATTGGGATTGATGACATGCATCAACCAAGTCAGCGAGCCTGACCACCCGATCTCATTTGTCGCCTTTTAAGACAAACATAGTCACCTTTTACGGCAAGCATGGGTTGCTGAAGACCTATTCTACCCCGGAATCTTCGCGGGTTTCTTTATTATGAGGATCACAACATTTCAGAGTATAAGCTTACTCTTTCGTCAGGTGAAATTAAGGTGAAATCATATACACCGAAACGTTGTGATCCTCATAATAAAGAAGTTGACATCCATAAATTCTCTTCCTTATATATTGTACGGTCATTGAATTCACCTGTCCAGCCAGGTAGGTTCTGAGTTCTGGAGACTGGGCATTGTCCATGATTGACCCGGGCAGAGCAATCGACACTGTGTACTTTCTTCCTGTAGAGAGAAAAAAAAAGGACTAAAGATCACAAAAAAAGAAAGAAGAAGAAGATTTTGTCTTTTTCTTCAGAGTAATGAACTGTCCTGATCTTGTCATCATCAATGGCATGTGCTTGTTATTACATGTTAAGTCTTTCAATCTGTTCAGTCTGATTTAATGCATCTGAGGTGAGGTGAAATTGGGTTTAACATGTTTAACGTAGCGTCCAAGATTATTGCACATATATAGCGACGTGCATGCGTACGTGCATGTGTGTGGCTGCTTTTACTAGTCCGGACTGATTCCGATTTATAGTGCTAGCTCACTGAGATACCATACCACAGTTTAACATGAATACCCCACTCAGACACAGTATACTGACTCTGAGCCGACCAGTCCTTGTTTTAGCCCCTTAATGCTGAGCGCCAGACAGGGTATCAACAAGTACCACCATTTAACGTCTTTTGGTATGACGGGGCCGGGAATTGAACCTAAGACCTTCCGCTCTCCGGGCGGATGCTCTACCACAAGACCATGGAGGCTATCACTTTAATGCATCTGAGTAAGTGTACATTGTTTAATGCCGCAGTCAGGTCAAAATTTGGATTTATTTTAAATTTCTTAATTTCTTATTTCAAAAACATTGCATTCAACAAAGCATTAAAGTCTGTTCCCCATCATCATCCTGTAATCAGTGAAACACAAGTCACCTCTACAACAGTGAATAAAACCATGAAATTAGCAATAAGATATTAACGTGACCTGGAAAATCATATCAACATAAAACTGTGTTTCCATTGTTGAGATATGTGACCGGTTAATTTGACAGTGCTAAATTGAAATTGGAACCGAATAACGAATCTGCAGTTGTAACATACAATCATTATTTCAAAATGCCTACAACAATGATTGAGAGAGAGCACTTTTATAGTAATCTGAGCGTTTCAATAAGAGGTGGTTATTAAGATTTGAAACCTCTGATTGAGTCTTGGTAGAAAGGAAACTAAATCTACTCCTGACTTCCCATGGAGTGCTTCTTACCAAATCATAACCCACTAATTGACCATCTTGACCAATCATAATCCTGTATTTTCCTGAATCCCCATTGACATAATTGAGTATTTCTAGCCCAATCATTGGATTCAGCTTAATAATTCACCCCCCCTACCCCATCAAACATTTTTTGTTCCTGTCAGTAATGTCAGTTTACCATCTCCAGTGATGCAACTTAACCTGAAACATGAACTAGCCGGAATAGTCATAACACAGAAGGACTCGGCTAACGTTTGTTTGTTGTTCAACGCCGCACCCAGCAATATTCCAGCTGTATGACGGCGGTCTGTAAATAATCGAGTCTCGATCAGACAATCCAGTGATTGATACCATGACCATCGATCCACACAATTGGGATACGTTGACGTGCATCAACCAAGTCAGCGAGCCCTACAACTCGATCCCGTTAGTCGTCTCTTACGACAAGCATAGTCGCTTTTTATGGCAAGCATGAGTTGCTGAAGACTTATTCAAACCCGGATCTTCACGGGTCGACTCAGCTAATGGGATAGTGCCAACTTGCATCCCTCCACCTGGACCACACCAGTCTATCATTTATGTAATTGTCCCCCTTGGAGGGTATGTAAGACCATAAAGTATATTTATTATATCGTTTTGCAATCGTAGAATATTTGTTGTTTTAATGTTAGGCTAAATGTGTCAATATTCGCCAACACCTAAAGGGATGATGAAAATCCAGCTGGGGTCCATGCAGGTAGCAAAGATACTGTAAGTCCCCATGGTCCCCAGTGTGGTGATCTACCTTCAGTTGCTGGCGATCTATAGCCCTTTTTATTATGTGCTGTTATATATAGTGATAAGTTTTTACGATTACATGCTACATATGTAGTTTTAAATAATAATCTGTGATATTATAGTTATTTTACTGTCCTTTGTTGACAGGATTTTAAGTTTAAATGTATTCCTTTTGTATAACATTTGATAGTCATGATATGGCTGAAATACTGCCGATGTGACTTTAGATTTTAACTCACTCACTCACTATTATTTATATTCTGCTCTGTAGCCAGTGATGTAAAATAACCACGACAACATACCTAGCCAATGAGACTTTAAATACTGCCGATGTGACTTTAAATCTTAACTCACTCACTCACTCACTAACATTTATGTTAAGATAACCATGGCAACATACCTAGCCGATGTGACTTTAAATTTTAATCCCCTCACTCACTTTCATTTATGTTCTGCTCTGTAGCCAGTGATGTAAAGTAACCATAGCAACATACCTAGCCGATGTGACTTTAAATCTTAACTCACTCACTCACTCACTAACATTTATGTTAAAATAACCATGGCAACATACCTAGCCGATGTGACTTTAAATTTTAATCCCCTCACTCACTTTCATTTATGTTCAGCTCTGTAGCCAGTGATGTAAAGTAACCACGGCAACATACCTAGGCGATCATATATTTTCTGTTCCTCTGCTTCCTGCTTAAGACGCACTTCTTCTGCTTCCTCTTTCTTCCGCTCTTTGTTCTTCTCCTTCTCCATCAGATTCAACAACTTCTGTTCCTTCCATTTCCTCTTCCTCGCCTTCTCTGCAACATCATCAACAACAGGAGATGAACTTCCGAGTGTGACCTTAAGTTCATGCTAGTGGTGGGACAATACACAGATGCACTGGTGGATCGTGATATTTTTCTTCCTGATGCAAGTATCGATCACAGTCGCATACTAAATAACAAATATCGATTCATACCTTAAATGTTTACTTTAATGGCTTTTACACCAAACTCTAATTAGTAGTGAAAATTAGTATTGAAAAAGAAAATATTTTCATCCCTTGCGTCATACTTGACACTGCCAACTGTAAATCATCAGTGTGCCAGGTATTTGACTATACTGTCTATGAAAAAGATGGCTTACATAACACAGATAAGTATCGTCATACGTATCGTATCGTGAACAAGGTATCGTGATACATATCGGATCGCTTAGTTGCTGTATCGTCCAAGTCCTAGTTCATGCACAATGCAATTCTCAAACCAAACAATACGCCAGAGTTAGAAACTGCCACTAGTCCTGTAGTCCTTGCCAAACTGCCCAATAGTTAAGGTATCATAAGGACTAGTAGAAATTTGCCATTTTTATGGGTTTTGCTATATGTTATCATTATAAGGACGAGTGGACTGAAACTGTTAGTTTCTAACGCTGGGCACTCCTCATGCTTATCCTCCATGTCCTGTCCTCGAAGCCCACTGAGAGCTAGCATTACGGTCACTTTGATGTGTGAAGCTATGTTGTCATGCACTCTTTGTCGCAGTTGTAGTATTATACACTTTATGGGTCCACACATAAATTTTAAGTGGTTCCAAGGTGACCACCATAAGTATTGCAAATAAAATGCAAAGCATGTGGGATGCCCTATGCTTATTATCGAAAGGTATGTGCTTATTTAAATCTAAACTTAGTGCTAAGTGAAGAAAATTTGACCCAGACTGTCTGAACTGTGATTATATGTCTTTTCAGGACATAATTCAAGCATATCTTTCATCAATGTTTTAATGGAATTAGTATAAATCATTGGATGCGGAATATTTTCATCCGAAGAAATAACTGAGCAATAATAATCACTTGTCCAAGTGTCCTCTTAATTCCTTGTGCATAAACACGGCTTTCTTTAAACAATGACGGAGACATAGTTATCCCAATACGTTCATATAAAAGATGTGATTTATAATGAATTAGGAAAATAAAAAACGATTTACCCGATCATCTAAGATCAACAGAGTGCTTATATATCGATACTTACTTTCCTCTTTCCACTTCTTCCATTCTTGAGGCTGCAAAAAACATATTCAGTTTTATCATTTCGTTATTACCATGTTTAAAGTCTACAAACATTTGGTGATTCCTGGTTAGCCAGGTTTGTTAACCAGTAAGTAACTTAAAAGCTGAGGGTGAGTGAGTGAGTTGGGTTTTACGCCGCTTTTAACAGTATTCCAGTTATATCGCGGCGTGTCAGTGATGCAGGTCTCAGACGTTTACCACTTCGGTGAAACCCACAAGCATGGGTATGGTGCTGACAAACCTAGAAACATAATCGGGGCGAACCGGGATTCAAACCCACAATCATAGATTTCTCGCGTGCCCAAGGGATGCAACTCTGCACAGCGAATCGCGGGGCCTTAGACGACTGGGCCACCCGTGACCCCCTAACAGCTGAGGGCCATGATGGGGCTCGACATGACTCTACAACATTGATGATACATCAAGGCTCTCGGCTGGTAAGGGTAGCCTAGTGGTTAAAGCGTTCGCTCATCACACCGAAGACCCGGGTTCGATTCCCGACATGGGTACAATTTGTGAAGCTCATTTATGGTGTCCCCTGCGTGATATTGCTGGAATATTGTTAAAAGCGGCGTAGAACCATACTCATTCACTTACTCTCGGCTGGTAACTTAGTTGCATGTCATTGTACCCTAACGGCTTGCATTGTGTCTCATAATAGCTTGTCTGGTCCAGTGGTTAGTCACGTGAAATATTGTTTAATGGTTACCTACAAGTTGCTAATGTTTGCATATTTTTCTGATAATATGGCATTACCTCTAACGTTTATGTCTTGCATACAGATACAGCTTTAGTCAACTGTAGTGTATTCATAACCAGATCGTTTTATAGATGTACCTAGATCTAAATACTTTTTGCCAGGGGTCCGGTAAAACAATTCGAAATCGCACATCTTGTACCCAACTCTTGATGCTACAGCAGGTATCCGGGTAGGGTCGGGTTATAGGGGGTCGGGTACGCTGGCAGTAAATTTGGACTCGTCCCAGCGCTATTACATGGTCCTGTGCCTACCCCTACCCCAACCCCAAAACATCTAAGCTCACCCTAAGGACCAAAGAGTGAGTGAGTGAGTGAGTTGGGTTTAACGCCGCTTTTAACAGTATTCCAGTTATATCACGGCGTGTCAGCTTAATGTGGGAGGAAAGCCCGAAGTGATGCAGGTCTCAGACGTTTACCACTTCAGTGAAACCCACGAGCACGGGTATGGTGCTGACAAACCTAGAAACATAATCGGGGCGAACCGGGATTCGAACCCACAATCATAGGTTTCTGGCGTGTCCAGGGGACGCAACTCTGCACAGCGAATCGCGGTGCCTTAGACGACTGGGCCACCCGTGCCCCCTAAGGACCAAAGAGACATGCGCGATCTGCGAAGCGAGAACCACAGTCGGCAGCCTGAGCTAAATCTGCGCCCGGTAGACTGCATTGTTATTTATAGCTGTAATGCCATAGTTCGGCGTAACACAACAAACAGATAGATCTACAGTCAGGAGACAAAGTATTGCACGTATTTGTTGTTGATCGAAAACTGAACGAAATGATTAGTTCGCAAACTATCAAACAGAAATGAAATACCAGAGTTGAATTTATCACTCTGTTTAGTTGATGAAAGAGAATTAAACGTAATCAATCATCCCTACAGTTTTTTGCTTCTGTGATTTGTCAACGGACATGATATGGTGGACAGTATCTGCAGCTGATGATTCGGCCATGCTGTTTACAAAGGGACGTAACTCTTACGGGTCCTACTATTTTGGGGCGTCCGGGGGAGTCCGGAAACGTCCGGGAGCGTCCGGTAGTTAAATATTGTAGTGCAGTCAGTCAACAAAACATGTCACTCTCAGTTTGGTACGATCTTAGACATAAGCATTTTTCTGTTTGAATTCTTTGCAGCAAAAGTCCGAGCAGCCAGGACAAAAGTAAGACAGCTCATACACGATTCTAAAAAAAGAGTCATGGCAGACCTTCTGCAACACTCTAAAGGAAAAAAAACAAATGCCAAAACAGTCTGGAGCAAAACACGCGCAATCATGCAGGGGTAAACCTAAACCCATGTGCGCCAACGCCGCATACAGTCAAAGTGAGTGAGTGAGTGAGTTGGGTTTTACGGCGCTTTTAACAGTATTCCAGTTATATCACGGCGTGTCAGCTTAATGAGAGAGGAAAGACCGAAGTGATGCAGGTCTCAGATGTTTACCACTTCGGTGAAACCCACGAGCACGGGTATGGTGCTGACAAACCTAGAAACATAATTGGGGAGAACCGGGATTCGAACCCACAATCATAGGTTTCTGGCGTGCCCAAGGGACGCATCCCTATACAGCGAATCGCGGCGCCCTAGACGACTGGGGCACCCGTGCCCCCGACGGGAGAAAGAAGCACACGGGATACCAAGTTGACTAACAGAAACGCACAGGTAGTATGTAGTACAGTGTCAAAATGAAACCCATTACAGATATTCAGTGCAGAATCCTGAATGCTATTCAAGAAAACAATGCCACTTGGTAACTATCATCATAGAATCTGAACGCTTTCAAAGTTTCTAGTGCGTCCACTTTGTTTGAACTTATGTCAACTATCCAGGGTCCAGGGGAACGAATTCCATCAATACGTTCCAGATAGGTAGCATTACGCCCTTACTCACTGGGATAAGCATCACGATCTTTATCAGATACCTCTACTACCCGCTCAGCTATCGTGATTATCGTCGATCTCCAGATCGAGAGAATTCAGCCCGCCATACCTGAAAAAGGCAATGGCCACACCTCCCGTTGACACTTAAATCTGGACCCGTGAGGGTGGACCCAACGCTTGTTGTAAGCATAAACTTCTTTATAAAGTTTCACTGGACATCATACAGTAATGGCGTCACTAACTAAAGTAAAAGTGCTAAAAAAATATGCTGGTACCTAACAATGAACCACTAGTAAAGGATCACTAACTGATCACGTAATCGCTAGTTCAGCAAAGTGACACTCCATCCTGTCAAGAAACTGAAGAAGGGGCAAGAAGTAGCCCTGAATCGTCGTGTATGTATAATATAAAGGTTGTTATCATTATTAGTCCTAGTCATATGTGTATGTATACTATTTATAGTATATTTATCTCGGCTGACCAGTTTGGTAATATCGCAAGGGATAATAACGGAAGAGAACGTTTTGGATATGAGGTGAGGTGAGGTGAAATTGGGTTTAACGTAGCGTCCAAGATTATTGCACTTATATAGCGACGTGCATGCACGTGTATGTGTGGCTGCTTGTACTAGTCCGGACTGATGCCGATTTATAGTGCTAGCTCACTGAGATACCATGCCGCAGTTTAACATGAATACCCCACTCAGACACAGTATACTGACTCCGAGCCGACCAGTCCTTGTTTTAGACCCTTAATGCCGAGCGCCAGACAGGGTAACAACAAGTACAATCTTTTAACGTCTTTCTGTATGACGCGGCCCGGGATCGAACCTTGGACCTTCCGCTCTCCGGGCGGACGCTCTACCACAAGACCACGGAGGCGGTCTGTTTTGGATATGAAATTCCAAGTAATGGAAGGCATAGGTAGGCACTGAACCGAAAACAGGTAGATAACTCCCAGCTAGCAGCAGCGAAACCATGTGCTCTCTGTTGAACAGCAGGAAAGCTATATGTATCTGTGTCCACCCACGGAAACATGAGGGGTGGAATGGGCTCCCGCTGTGCAAACAGGTAATCGTGCAAGGAAGCGAAACATAATTGGTCAAATGCCTATCCAAACCTTGCCACCGAGAATCAACCACGCCTGACCCAAATCAAACTGAGAATTTAACAAGGAAATAATGAAAATAATTATAAATTCATAAAATATAGGAAGAAAATAAAGTTCTTAAATTGTTAGTGATATGTTTTGTGTACCTCTTTCCCGATCTTACCATCGTTGATCCAGTACATCCCATTAATGTTCGATTGGGCCCACATCTGGAGACCTGGAGGGCCATGGCAGGACCTGGATGCTGTGATTCCTGAAACATGCTTTAGTCAGTCTTGCCGTGTCAGGTCGGGCATTGTCTCGTTGGAAAATGACGTTCGCTTGTTGCGTAATGGGAAGGAAGTGTGGCCAAAGAATTCCCTAGCACTTGCACCAAGTCTCTTCTACCAGTGAGATGGCCGCCCACATCATCACACTACCACCACCAAATCTGTCCACTTTCTGTGGGCGGTTTTGTGCATAATGTTCCCCTCGACGCCTGTAAACACGACGTCTACCACCACACGGCAAAGCATAAAATACGACTCGTCACTAAAACAAACTTGTCTCTATCGCAATTGTGACCATACCCTGTAACCTTGACACCATTGACGTCGCAGCCGACGATACAGGTCCGTCAAAATGACACCTCGAACTCGTCGTCTAGCGCGAATACCTTCAGCGCGTAAACGGTTCCTCACTGTCTTGGCTGATATCCTACGCAATCCTGGTATTGCCGTGCTTGTCGAGGTGGCCGTGGTGGTTCTTGCACATAAATGACGTTGCCGTATGAATCCGTCCTGTGCTCAAGTAGTGATACGTGGTCGGCCGGATCTGAAAAGGTCCTGTGTTGTCCCGAATATCTAATTACAGTCTTGTAATTTTGCTTGGTGCTAAGTGTAAAAAGAAATGGCCACAGCTGAAGATGATTCTCCTCTTGTTAGCAGCCGGCTGATGGCGTTGTCGCATTGGGCCTCCGTCAGTCGTGTTTTCGCTGTTCATTTGCTGTAAGATTGTGATGGCATGCTAATGAAAACCCAACGTTTTTATAGTCCAACGAGTGATGTTGCACGTGCATGTCGTGTTGGTGTGTTTTGGCGCCAAGCTCTCACATGGTTGTGTTTGTGTGATTATCCATCTTTTCACCAATTTTCTGCAGTACATCATTCTTTCCGCACAAATCAGTCCCAATACATGCAGGCATGACCAATTCATGTTTTATATTAATTTTTTGATGGATGTCGACAACAGTCTGTCCGATATTTACGATTTTACTACTTTTGCGGATTTTCTTTGCAGAATATATATAGCAACACTTGAAAACGGTTAACAAGCGGAACTGTTGGGTGTTTTTCTGCATGAATGCCACGTGCTACTGTTGCGGATAATATTTGACATAAATGGTGTGAAGCGAAGAATGTATAAGTATGTTATCATTGTTACCTAGCGTGACTATGTAAAACGAAATACGAGTGTGTGTATGAATATGTGTGAGTGAGTGAGTTGGGTTTAACGCCGCTTTTAACAGTATTACAGTTATATCACGGCGTGTCAGCTTAATGTGGGAGGAAAGCCCGAAGTGATGCAGGTCTCGGACGTTTACCACTTCGGTGAAACCCACGAGCACGGGTATGGTGCTGACAAACCTAGAAACATAATCGGGGCGAACCTGGATTCGAACCCACAATCATAGGTTTCTGGCGTGCCTAAGGGACGCAACTCTGCACAGCGAATCGCGGCGCCTTAGACGACTGGGCCACCCGTGCCCCCGTATGAATATGTAAGTGTATGCTCCTGTGTGTGCAGGTGGGTGAGAATGAATATACACTCTTCAAAAAAACGAAACGCACAGGTAGTATGTAGTTCATTGAACCTCACTACACAAAAAATCCGGTATATAAATTGGATATATGTTATTGGAAAATGTTGGTGGCCTGATATTCGACAAACGGTGCGTCAAAACGCAGCCATTGTTGATTTGCAATGTCTTAAACGGCATTGTTTTCACACTTGTTCAAAAATGTCATGTATGAAAACAGTAAAGCAAAATGCACGTGCAAGTTATGGCATTCGTAACTCGTGGTAGTGGCTATAAAAAGGCAAGCATAAGCCAATAATTTGTCATTTAATTGTCAACATTTTTCAAGTTCGAAAATGCCCAGACTCAGCGCTGAACATCGCGATAGGACGTATCCAAAGAGGGGAATCGCAGTCATCTGTTGCACGCCACCTCAACGACCACCACAGCCCCACTTGACGACTTTGCGACAGATAGGCACAATTAAATTCCTCTGCAGGCCGTCCGAGAACCGGCCGACCAAGAGTAATGCCAACATCAACGGCTTGCCCTGGACGTCCAGGTCTCCAGATCTCAACCCAATCGAACACCTCTGGGATGAACTCGACCGACGTGTACGTCAACGTCAGAACACACCGCAGACAATCCCACAACTGGCCAACGCGTTACATGCAGAATGGTGCAGAATTCCGCAGGACAGAATTCGTACACTTATCCAGTCAGTGCCGAGGAGATGCAGAGCTGTGATTGCTGCCCGGGGCGGTCACACAAGACACTGAGTTCAGCGCAACCTTGTGGCGCCATGCTCTTTTCGAAATCCGAATTGTAGAGGGTCTGGAAAGAATGGACAATGTACCTTAGACCATTCTTGCAATCGTTGTAAAATTACTTTTTCAAATAGTTTCCCCAGACATGATGTTAGAGTAACTCCCCAATAGTTTTTTGGATCTAATTTATCTTTTTTACCCTTATAGATAGACATTACCTTTCCAAGTCTGTATTTGTTTGGGAGATATTCCGTTTTGAGACTTATATTAAATAAAGTGGTAAGTTTCGCGTGAAGGTTACTGCTTGCAAACAACAAGTTTTCATTTCACACGTTATCTGGACCTGGACTTTTGTTCTTACACAGACTGTGTATTTGCAAGGAGATTTCTCTAAGATCTATACTTTTGTATAACTCTTCATCTATATCAGTTTGATCACCATCCTTATTGCCCTTGATCTCCTTAAGCTTGTCGCATATGTGACATTTGAAATTATCATTAAAACTACCAGAGTAGTAAGGCTGCGATAGGTCAGCGTAGTAATCTCCCCATAGTTTGCATATGCCAGAAGTAGATGACTCTGTTTGACCACCGCCAGTCAGATCGATTTTGCCGTTTTTGTTGTCTCACAGTTTTATAAAAAAGTGTTAATGTCTGCTTTACAGGACTGTGCTAACTTATTACGCACGTCTTTACTATATCTCCTTTTGGCGATCCCATGTAAACGCCTAAACTCGCTTTCAGCAGTTTTATATTGAACATATCTTGTAGAGTTACGTCCCCTTGGCTTACTAACAGCACACCAAAGTCTTCTGGCAGCTCTTATTTCATTATGAAAGTCATTCTCCTTCCAGTTATACAAGGGCCCACGTGTGACCCATTCGCCTAAAGTTTGTCCCATGCCAATATTTTTGGATCATTCAATCTCATGCGAGAATATTGTTTGTTGTAGATCTAGGCGATATTATGAATATAAAGTCTGCATACCATGCTAACATTACATCGTGAAAGCAACTGACTGATTTTTAACCGACCTTGTTTGGTAGGTCTTGATTTGGTAATTTAGAGCTCATCACAACTGATTGCAAAACACCTTTCACTTTTCCTCAGTTAATCCTAAAGTTCATGATATTATAACCATGTTTTATAATTTGACCTCTATTGACATTGACTGTATATTGAGGTCACCCAAAGGTTCATGCTATTGAGACCCCGCCTTGTTGATGATGTACCGTTTCGTGAAATTTCAGTCATAAATTACCAAGTTATCTTGTACACAGACTTTTTGAAGCCCAACACACACGAAGTCATCGTGCCCTTCAATATCATCAAAGCAGACATCACATATGTTTGCTTGGGAAATAAATTGTCATCAACCAAAGAGGGAATTAACATGAGACAGCAGCACATAGGTTCGACATTATTCTTTATTTCATTTTGTTAAAACAACTAGGCTCAATACAGTTATGATCCTCCAACAGATAATTACAAGGAAATATGTTCCACAATACTTAGGCGTTCAAACATATCTTAAACTTTACATTTTAAACTGCACATATATCAATAAGCTAAGATTTCAGGATACAGGCAGTTATTGTGGAAAGGGACAGTTTCAGGTTGTTACATGTTGGAATGTTTATGTACCCAATGCATACACGTGGACTGTAAAAACACCTTGATCCCACTGAACATTGTAATGTTGCGTCAATAATCTGAAATATTTCCAATCCGTCCATATACCGTATATTGAAATCACCCATAAAACCCAACATTGCAATGATATTTATTTCCCCCCAGAATAATATAAGTTTCTGCATCAGCATCAAAACAACAAACAATTCAACTTTGATACCCATCCTAGTAATGGCAAACAACCATATAACAAACAATGTGACAATTAAACGGGCCCACCATTCTCTACACACAAATGTAATACACACTATAGCTTCAGCAGTACAAATTTGTTAGTAAATTATTAAGTATATTATTAAGTCCATTCCCACCAAAATACATGTGAGGGTCACATTTAAGTACCTGTACATGTCATTCAAAATTCTTCGGTTGGGGTTTGAGTTGGTGGGTGTGTGTTGGTCGGGGTTGGGGGTTGAGTGGGTAGGTGTGTGGTGGGTGGGGTTGGGGGTTGAGTTGGTAGGTGTGTGATGGGTGGGGTTGGGGGTTGAGTGGGTAGGTGTGTGATGGGTGGGGTTGGGGGTTGAGTGGGTAGGTGTGTGATGGGTGGGGTTGGGGGTTGAGTGGGTGGGTGTGTGATGGGTGGGGATGGGGGTTGAGTTGGTGGGTGTGTGATGGGTGGGGTTGGGGGTTGAGTGGGTGGGTGTGTGATGGGTGGGGTTGGGGTTGAGTGTGTGTGTGTGTGGTGGGTTGGGTTGGGGGTTGAGTGGGTAGGTGTGTGATGGGTGGGGTTGGGGGTTGAGTTGGTGGGTGTGTGATGGGTGGGGTTGGGGGTTGAGTGGGTGGGTGTGTGATGGGTTTGGGTTGGGGGTTGAGTGGGTAGGTGTGTGATGGGTTGGGTTGGGGGTTGAGTGGGTAGGTGTGTGATGGGTTGGGTTGGGGGTTATGGCGCTGTTAGTTTTGTTTTGTTTTAGATTCTGCAAGACATATTATTATCTGAAGCTTCACTTCAATTTTGTTGTCTGTGTACAGGTACACACAGGTCAGCAAGTACAAACAGGTCAGCAAGTACAAACAGGTCAGCAGGTACAAAAGAGAGGCCCCGTTATGTTTTCCATTTTTTTCTGGAACAAATCATTTCCCCCAAAATAGGTCCTATAATCTATGTATAGATAAGGCTGATAATATATATTCAAAACGTTCCGTGTATGCAATATTTCACAAATATCCCGAATAGGCGTGGTCAGAGTTTAAGGATTTAGATTTTTGTACTCCAGCCAGTAGAAGTAATTATCTGGCCAATATACGTAAGCGCCATAGTAGTAACATGTCGTAGTCGTATCCATTGTAAACAAGTGTCCCATGCCATAATAATTCATCATATCAATAAGCATAGGGCAAAGGTCTTTACATTGTTTACCTTTACGGTCCTCCGCATATAAATAAGCATACATATAGTCGGACCTTGTCCACCTAGGATTCGAGTTCCAGTCAGATGTATAGCAATAAACGTAAGGATACTCCGTATCATACACATGTTCTGCGTAGTAATGACAGTAGTGGTCATCAATCCTATATTTTTTCCAGTCTTCTTCCTTTGTTATAGAATTTATGGTAAAATCTTGACATGCCATAAAATTAAAATCGTCGTTAGGGGCAGTGGTTGTTGTGCTCGTTGTTGTTGGCGTTGTCGACGTAGTAGGGCTCGTAGTAGGAGATGTTGTGGTTGTGCTCGACGTAGTGGAGCTCGTTGTAGGGGATGTTGTGGTTGTGCTCGACGTAGTGGAACTCGTTGTAGGCGACGTTGTTGTACTCGATGTAGTTGGACTCGTAGTGGGGGATGTTGTTGTTGTACTCGATGTAGTAGTGGAACTCGTTGTAGGCGACGTTGTTGTACTCGATGTAGTGGGGCTCGTAGTGGGGGATGTTGTTGTTGTGCTCGATGTAGTAGGGCTCGTAGTGGGGGATGTTGTTGTTGTGCTCGATGTAGTAGGGCTAGTAGTAGGGGATGTTGTGGTTGTACTCGATGTAGTAGGGCTCGTAGTAGGGGATGTTGTTGTTGTACTCGATGTAGTAGTGGAACTCGTTGTAGGCGACGTTGTTGTACTCGATGTAGTAGGGCTGGTAGTAGGGGATGTTGTTGTTGTGCTCGATGTAGTAGGGCTCGTAGTGGGGGATGTTGTTGTTGTGCTCGATGTAGTAGGGCTAGTAGTAGGGGATGTTGTGGTTGTACTCGATGTAGTAGGGCTCGTAGTAGGGGATGTTGTGGTTGTACTCGATGTAGTAGGGCTCGTAGTAGGGGATGTCGTTGTTGTGCTCGATGTAGTAGGGCTCGTAGTAGGGGATGTTGTGGTTGTGCTCGATGTAGTAGGGCTCGTAGTAGGGGATGTTGTGGTTGTGCTCGATGTAGTGAAACTCGTAGTAGGGGACGTGGTGCTCGATGTAGTGAAACTCGTAGTAGGGGACGTGGTGCTCGATGTAGTTGGGCTAGTAATATCAGGTTTTCTTGTTGTCACAACTGGAGCAGGTGCAGGAAATGTGTTAGCTTGCAGCAATATCGGAATATCAATGGATGGTAGTCCTCCTCCTGTGTTTGTGGATTCTCCTGCAATGAAAATGTTTGTGTTTTACTTGTTGTCTTCATATCTTTGTACCTAGAGAGGGTTGGGAGTTTTAGATTAGTTTAATGCTCGGGTCACTACAATGATGCTCTTCATGAACTAATCTGCATAACAAACAAGTTATATCAACCATTATGTTAAATACCATGACAGAATATATTCTCTGTGACATGATGTTTGGCTCTAGGGACCGCCCCTTGTTGATGTGCTAGTCAATACTTGAGCTGAGCAATGGTAGTCTTTTAATCAAGTCTAATGCTCGGATCACTACAATGATGCTCTTCATGAACTAATCTGCATAGCAAACAAGTTATCAACCATTATTTTAAATACCATGACAGAATATATTCTCTGTGACATGATGTTTGGCTTTAGGGACCGCCCCTTGTTGATGGGCTAGTCAATACTTGAGCTGTACCTTGGTAGTCTTTTAATCAAGTCTGGGCTAAAAGTCAGTTGTTGATAATATGTGTAAACGCAGGTATAAGCAGCAGTCAAAACCGTTTCAATACGATGAAACGCAACCAGTGAATTCAAGGACTCGGACCACCCCGAATCAAATGATAAATTCTTCTTCAGATACATCGTGCCTTTATGCAGAAACCCTTTGAGGACATGATGAAAATATGCATCCTGAGCGCACAAGATAATATATTGTGTGCTCTTTAATTATAGTATGTGCACAACAAAATATACATTATGCCCGTAAGTAATTTAGGATGTGTGCACTGGAGAGTATTTCGTGTGCACAAGATATCATCATATGTGCGTAAAATAGTTTTTATGAAATTTGCAAAAACGGATGTACAGATATATCCCTCGAATGATCATCTGACACACGCATGATCTTAGGTTATTTTGTGAAAGCATCGTTGTCATCCAAAAGTACGGTGTTCATACGTGGTGACATGGAACACACGTGAGTAGCAGGGGAAAGTGACACCGATTTTCTGCTTGTTTAGAACAAGCCAATGGCACCAAGGAATTGACTCATGGTTAGCCATTTTGAGAAGAAAGTGAGTGAGTGAGTGAGTATGGTTTTACGCCGCTTTTAGCAATATTCCAGCAATATCACGGCGGGGGACACCAGAAATGGGCTTCACACATTGTGCCCATGTCGGGAATCGAACCCGGGTCTTCGGCGTGACGAGCGAATTGAGAAGAAAGAAAAGATGACCAATGGACAAATGAAGACTGAATCAGTTTTGTGTTCGGAACATTATCAGCGTATGCCCTGATGTAAACAAGGGACACCAGAGATCGCAAAAGCGCAAAAATGGGAGAGTCTTTTACTTTATATTAATAGAAGTGGAGTCTTTTCTTTAACTTTGTATCAAAACATATAATAATAATAACAATCATAATTATAATAATGATAATAATGTGCATTTATAATGCGCCAGATTCCATTCACCAAGTGGATGCTTATAGCGCTACACTATTATTATCAATGGATCAGTGAGCAATCGATTTTCATTCTCAGCTCCCTGGGGAGTATATAACCCAAGCTGCCTGTAAGGCACTAGAAGGTTACCACATTGCCATCTCATCCTACCGGGTACCCACTCACTGCGGGGTTAACAGAGGCACATTTCGAACAATGTCGCTTGCCTAAGTAGACACCGCATGTGGTACATGTGCTTCAGTGTGGGGCAGGACCGAAGCTCTAGAAACTCTCCGGAGTCAAGTTGCTGAACGTGGCCACCCATCCAACTACTCTCCGATACCGACGTTGCTTAACTTTACCTTATTATTGATCTGTGCGCTGTGCACAGGACCACGTGCCATCACATATGTTTTCTTTCTAAAAATATGTATGGGTATATTTGTTTTATTTCCATCCTACGTGACAGGACGTTGACATTGCTGCAGACACTGAGTGCGTCATTTCAATTGCTTTATCAATCAAACGCAGGCGAGCTTTTAAAGAATTATCCCTAATAATTACACAGCAAACACGCCACAAAACTCCAAAACAGACGCACGTACTGTCAACACCACACAAGACACTCGAACCCGAAATGTTCTTCCAATGCAGAATAAAGTTGTTCAGTCTAAAACTTTTCCCGCTTGACACTGTAATGTGCGTACAAGAAAGCCGTCACGTGGCACGAGATACACACAACGTATATTCCTTGTGTGCATGATTTTGTAGTGCGAACTCTGATAAAAATCTAGATTGTTGACAACTCCTTGCCGTTGGCAACAGTAAATGGACGCCGCCTTGACAAACTGAATAAAGCAATATGCTATACTTCCACTTACCAGGGAGTGTACAACTTGCCCCCGATTGTGGGGTCTTCTTCCCCGTGTGATCGCAGGTCACTTTCAGAACCCCGGTCTTTTGGTAGCCTTCCTCACACAAGAAGCTATGGGACACTGCTGCCCCTGTCTGAAAGGTTGGTCTGCCGGTTGGAACCCAGTGATCAGGGACGCCAGCAGTCCAGTCTCTGCAAGTCGGATCTGTAAGACATAAAACAAATAGTCCACGGCACTGTAGTGTAACAGGCGACATTTGAAAATTCCAACACCAAAAAAGAAATAAATTACATTGAAGTTCATTTAGATTTTGATAAATATCGAAAAATAGCTGACAAATGCGATACAGAAATTCAACAATGTCGACAACAAATGAATATTGTCTAATATTTGTGCAATACACACTTGCTTTGCATGCCTGCAGTTAATGCCTTACATCGTTTTCCACTTCTTCCACAAGAGTGAGTGAGTGAGTGAGTTGTGTTTAACTCCGCTTTTAACAGTATTACAGTTATATCACGGCGTGTCAGCTTAATGTGGGAGGAAAGCCCGAAGTGATGCAGGTCTTAGACGTTTACCACTTCGGTGAAACCCTCGAGCACGGGTATGGTGCTGACAAACCTAGAAACATAATCGGGGCGAACCGGGATTCGAACCCACAATCATAGGTTTCTGGCGTTCCCAGGGGACGCAACTCTCCACAGCGAATCGCGGCGCTTTAGATGCATGATGTATGTACAAAGTTATTGATGTTGTATTATTTTGTCCCAGCCTCTTTGTTTTGGTTTGGTTTGTTGTTTTACGCCGCACTCAGCAATATTCCAGCTATATGTCGGCGGTCTGTAAATAATCGAGTCTGGGCCAGACAATCCAGTAATTTACATCATGAACATCGATCCACGCACTTGGGATCGACGACATGCATCAACCAAGTCAGCGAGCCTGACCACCCGATCCCGTTAGTCGTCTTTTACGACAAGCATAGTCTCCTTTTACGGCAAGCAAGGGTTGCTGAAGACCTATTCTACCCCGGATCTTCACGGGTCCAGTCTCTTTGTGACGATTAACGTAGATAATGTGTTTAGTCGTTATTATGTTTTTGGAGGTCGCCTAAAGTCAAAGCATCAAGTCATCACAAGTGCCGAAAATATTGAGCGAACGACATATGTACTACTGACACCAGACATGTCAGAAATGTGTATGGCTGATTGTCACATTCAAGAACAGTGATGCTATATACATCATTATTCAATTGTACAGGTACCCCTAGTCCTGCAACATGACCGTGGAATATATCTATTTTATGAAAAAAATAATAATCTAGAAACGCATACAAAAGCGGGTCTAGCCAGCTCCAGCTAGCTCTATTCCACACTCTCCACATGAAATCAACATAGGGACATTTTTTTAATTTTAGAGTCAAGAAGGATATCGTGTAATGTAAAATTTCAGAGACTAAATGTTAGTCTAAGGTACCCATAAAAAAATATTTCATGATGAAAGGAATCCAATTGTCTTCTGTAGATGACAGAGAAACAATTCCGATGTAACCTTATAAATGAGCGAGTGAGAGAGGTTTTACGCTGCTTTTAGCAATATTCCAACAATATCATGGCGGGGGACATCAAAAATGGGCCTCAAACATTGTACCCATGTCGGGAATCGAAACCGGGTCTTCGGTGTGACGAGCGAACGCTTTAACCACTAGGCTACCCGACCGCCCCTCTTATAAATGACCTTTACAAGCAAATTGCACCATGTTTACCACCATGATTATGCCAGTATGTGTTATCAGGACCTACAGTAGTATCGGGCTTTTCCCCAAAGTGGTATGGAGCTTTGAAAGAAAACTGTTTTATTATCACACTCCCCATTATCTGAGTTGAAGTGCTATTTGTCTTTTCAGGAAGCATTTTTTGTTTGAAGGTGCTTAATAGCTGGACAAAGTTTAATTCAGTGTATTGTCAGTGTCTGATTAATGAGTAAGATATTGATATTTACTCATCAGCTGGCAAAAGTTTGATCGATAACCCTTACCTTTCAGTTGATATTACACATAATTGAAATTCTGCCAATATGAATCGTGTTTAAATATCTCCCATGCTTGATTTGCGGAGTTCAGCAGGGGCTTATTTGTTGTAAGTTGATCTGAGTCTTTGGGAGATATGTAAAAGACACACATACGAAGTAACTGGAGATAAGGAACATTGACTTCAGATGAGTACCATCACGAAATGGTTTCATAAGCTGAAAGGTACAATTACTCACGGTAAACCACTTCTCTGCAATTTGATTCTGATGTTATCCCTGGATCGGTGTCTTCTAAACCTGTTTTCTGTTCGAAGAACAAACATACTCCCTTATCAGCAGTACCTCCACGATTGATACTGAAAGTCCCACACTGAAATATATTGCCAACACATGGAGCTGCGGTAGTTGCGGCAGGAGGTGTCCAGTCACAATGGACGGCTACTGCACAGTTCTGCAAGTCGTTCAGACAATGTGTTTGACAATACTTGTCATCCTTGTTTTCAACCCGTTTGATGAACGACACGTCCATATTAATTCCAAAGTCCATGTTCATGACGTGATTCATACTAATTTGGCCATATGGCGACTTGGTGTTTTTGGTGGGATTTAAAAATCCTCCTGGTGGTGCATTTCCTGATGGAGCCGGTGCTGGAGCCGTACCTATAACAAGACAGATGCATTAACATAATGTTACAATTTAACATCGCGTCGCCAATATTGCAACCATATCTCGATGAGAAAAGTTAGTTATTATTAAATTCATGTCGAAAAAGGACAGTAAAACAGTACAGAAAATATCACAGTTTAGCTATATAACAAACCTGAGCAATATTAAAACACAATCTGTTAAGTATATTTTTGCCGCTTTTAACAAGATTCCAGCAATATCACGGCAGGGGACTCCGGAAAAGGGCTTCACATAGAGTACCCATGTGGGGAATAACAAGAGTCATCGGCGTGACGAGCCGACGCTTTAACAACCAGGTTAGCTCACCGCCCCACCAGGATATAGTGAGTAATTATGGTTTTACACCGCCTTTAGCAATATTCCAGCAATATCACGACAGTTGTTTTTGTTGTTGTTTCTTTTCGGGTAGTTAGTGTTAGGTCTACCTCCGATTTGACTAGTTGCCACGGAGGTGTTAGACAGTAGTAAAAAGATCAATATTAGCTGCGATAATATGTAGCTTAGTTCTTAACCCTAGAGGTGGAACAAATTTCGGTTTTCATTGAAATAAGTTTTCAAACAGGGGATTAAACACACAATCATATGCTGGATTCGACGGATTTGAGTGTAATTTAGTAACATATTGCAATAAAAGTTTAATTCGAGAGATGGCTCATCAGCCTCTACATACAAGCTACCGACTGGTGATGTTCTTAAGGCTCCAAGACAAAGTGTCAAGCCTTAATGATGTATTGAATCTATATTTTGTAAGCTGCTTTTACAGGCTCCGCCATAATCGAGTTTGGAACGGATATGACATCGATATAAATGAAGGAGGGTGGTCTGATCCCCTCCCCATTTTGAATGAGAAACGACTTTCAACAAGTAAAGTGCCCACAGACATTTAGTTTTCAGATATTTTATATGAGGTAAACATGGTCATTTCTACTTGATCTAAATTATGAACTGTAGGATGTCGGCAGAAATACTTTTCTGCTTTCCTCCTACATTTCCGTGCCTGTTTGCCGGATTACGAATATGAGGATTTGCAGAGGACTTAGGAATTGTTTGATCAGCTATTTCACTGAGCTGATTTGAAATCAACTGAATATGATCTTCAATATTTTATAAATTTTCGGAGGTTTTGCAGTACATAATGTTTCATACAGTGACCAATTGGTCTATGAAAAATTCCACCTGGTATGAAGAGGAATCAGCATTCGAGTTCACAGCTTTAAGATTGGTGGGGAAGTGGTCATCATTGACCGACATTCAAATTAGTAAAATATATTTGAATCTGTGAGAGACAGATCAAGTGATGAGCACGTTCCAGTGGCGGGATCTAAATAGGTGTTTAAATCATCATTACAGATACATGAATTATTATCAGAAAAGAATTCCTCAAGTTCTGTGGCCACACTTCCCCATAGAGGGTTGTGCCGATTCAGATCACACATGATGATACATGACTCAGGGAGCTGATCAAGCAGATTTTGGAGATCAGATTGTCCAAGTGTTGTGGATGGAGGAATATACAGGAGTAAAGACAACATGCAAAGTTAAACGATTTGTCTTGAGAGTAACAGGGCTGTGAATCACGCCCTGCCTCACCAAGACAGAAGACCCTCCAGTAGCTTTATCACCTGGGGGAATATGAATGATGACAATTGAACTGCCTGATATCAAATGCATCTGTACGTTAAGGTATGTTTCTTGAAGACATAAAGCAGAGGGTTGTATATCCTGTATCAATAACTGAATGTCATTAACATTATTTCTGAACTCTCTGCAATTCCATTGGATTAGTTTAACTGATTGAGTCACGGTGGCTCAACAGGGGACCTCTCATGTTATCGTGAGGAGGAAGTCATTCTACCTCTCTCTTCTGTTTCTTCTATCTTCTCCATTTCTAGAGATCCAAACTAATAACTAAGAGGTACCCCAGGAGGAGAGGGGATCTTAGGGTTTGTTTTGTTTTTCCTTTCATTTTAGAGGGTTGAACAGTTGTTTTTACTGTTGTTGCATCAGACTGACTTACAGGCTGCATGGCAGGATGACACATAGGCTAACTGGTAGACTGAACCACATTTTCAGACGTTGACGTGGATGTGTTTTTGACGTTGTACATGGTTGCCAAAGGTTGATCGGAGTGAACCCAAGAAAAGTCTGTCTGACACGTAATAGCAATGGTTTCAGTAGCATGTGTGACTGCATCAGAATTTGAGAGAGCTGATGAAGTGGAAGGCTGCTGGCTAACAACCAGTTTTTTGCATCATGATGAGTGATGGCTCCCACTACAAGATTGTGAGCCATGGCCAAACTTCTGACATTTGTAGAGTCGGAGTGGAGTGGTGACACACACCTCCACTCCGATATTTATGTATCCAGCTTAAGGAAGGGGAGTACGTGAAAAGGTAAATAGGTATGCTTTTTTTGGTGGTAGGAACCCCCCCCCCCCCCCCCCCCCCCCACACACACACACACACATCTTGCTGCAGCACTACCCTGCTTTCCCTATTCTGCTGAAATCTCTTGCTTTGACATGTCAGACAAACAACGGGTTAACAATGCTGCCTCAAGAGTTTAGTGTTTTGTGCACAGACACAGCAACCTCAATGTTGGCAAACAATTTGACAGATAGTGGTTGAGAGATTGCTGTCTCTTTGCACATTCATCCAGAAGGGAACCACTACGTTGACGAGTCACGTTCTTCACCTCTCCACAAATTCAAGAGATTGCTTTCGTTATACCAAACGGATTTCGTTTGATTAGTTGTTTGTTTGTCAACGAGGAATCGAGCCCAGGAATCAATATGCTGAGGTATATCATCAGTTTCTCTGTCAACTTCTAACTGACTTCTTTTTGGACGATTGGAACAAGACAATTGTACGACAGGGTGAAAGAAAAACAGTTCAGCACTCCTGCTCCCCACCCACCATCGAGTGTCAACAGGGACGGTGTTTCTTTTCATCGGATCTCCAACATGCAAACACCAGGGATACAGGGATGATACTCCAGTAAATACGGCATGAAAAGCTATATTTGTCTCCCAAATAAGATGTTAAGCTGGTTAGGCTCAAAACAAGACATTGGAGACATATAGAGCTCAGCATTTGGCATTACCATATTGGCACATGAGCCACCGCCTTATGGCATTGGACTCTAGGCAAACGTATTTACAAACCCCAAAGACAACTGCATGTAGCAACTTAAGCAAACACGTTTCCAGCACAGGGCTTGACGTGACCAGCCGCTTGATGGAACCGGGGCCATTCAAACACCCATCAAGGTGAATTGAAGGTCGAAGAAGTGTACATGATTATTGAATGACATTTCAAATAATCAGTTACTAACAATTTACTTAAGAATCATATCTTGTCCAATTAAATTTAGATGTAATAGAATCACAATCGTGTCATAAATTACGCTAAATTAGATCTGTTGATGACGTTGCTAATTAGGCATCAGGAATATTACAACAATAGTATGTAGTTTCCCATCTTGAACTGCACATTGTAGAACTTACACGATCGTCCATGTAAGCAGGTTTTAGAACTGAAGGGATTTAATCACTTTGTCGAATCTGAAAAAGGTTTTAGAACTGAAGGGATTTAATCACTTTCTCGAATCTGGAGAAGGTTTCAGAACTGAAGGGATTTATTCGCTCCCTCGAGTCTGTATTCCATGTTAAACGGGCAAAATATTGGTTTATGTCTCTTATTTGCCTACACCTATGTAACAATACAGTGTCTCAAATTTGAATACAGTAACTAAGTCATATCGTAGTGTGTGAGCTTAATGATATTCCTTCCCCAGGAAAGAAGAATTGTCCTCGGACAAACCTACCCTGGGGAAAAAGTGTGCAGGAGAAGGTTTAGACTGATACACCAGGTTGTAGAAGTTTTAAGTAAGGTAAAACGATCGATCATGGGGTTTTACGCTGAAAACAAATCAAATGTTTTGACAGTTTGAACTTGGTTCTTTTCTGAGATTGCAAAAATACCAGAATATCCTTTGAGTGATTGGGAATCAACATGGTATTATTTCCACTTATCTTAAATACTTTCTGTGAATGTGAAGAAAGTCCTTCCTTGATTGTATAAGGGATTAGGGTTAATATTTGAGAAAGCATTGAAACATTGAAGGTTTATGGCATATCTTTATGTCTCTTTGTGAAAGGCAAACGCCCAATCACGAGCTTGGCGCTAAGAACCCAGAGGTCATATGGGATTCAAACCCATGAAAATCAGACCTGTCACAATTCTTCACAGTGAATGGCGACGCCCTCGACTACCTCATTCCCTTTCCACATACCGGTACATAAAACATTAAAAGTTTATGGCTAATCTTGGCCAGTCTGTTTCTTTGTGTGAAATGAATATTTGTTCAGTATTCTTATTGTTTGATAGACTATAGTCTGCACCTATTCTCCATGGCGGCCTGGTCAACATTGTTCAGTGTGAGAATTTCTAGGTTTGTCAGCACCATACCCGTGCTCGTGGGTTTCACTGAAGTGCTTAACGTCCGAGACCTGCGTCACTTCGGGCTTTCGTCCCACATTAAGCTGACACGACGTGATATAACTGGAATACTGTTAAAAGCGGCGTTTAACCCAACTCACTCACTCACTCAGTATGAGAATAAATTATCCGGGTATTTGAAAATTGCTGCAAAGCGCCTTTGTTGGCATTGTCTATATTACTCTCTGTTTCACAACGCTAGAGGGTGTTGTTATTTATTTGTTAAGTATTTGAATAATTTATTCGGCACTGTCGGAAAAGTCCATTTTATGAACATTTATGAATTTTTCTCCCCAAAACGATTGTCATCTCCTACTTTTGGATGTGATCGTTTGGCCATGGTCTTGCCCAGTTATATCTATGGGGATCAACTCACTAGACATTCCCCTCTAAAAAATAACGTCGTCCAATTTACGACGTCCTCAAGCTGGTCATCAACCAGGAAATCTCCAGAAATGACGTCATGATAGAACAATGTTTTATCGTGAAATAAACCACGCTTCGCTCTTAATTTGTTCTACGCGATTTATCGCGTAGCTATCTTATGTTATAAAAATGCAATTGTATATACTCGATTCTGATTGGTCAATCTGCAATATGTTTTTCGTAGAATGTAGACAAACAAACCACGCATACGGTTTCAAATTCAATTTAGTGTGGTAACCCAGTTGACACAGTGTTTTTATCTCTTAATTTACGTCAATTATATTTTAGAACATCAGTATTGCCTGCTGCTTTATGTTGTACTCAGGTCACCATCATTGTAACACGTTATGTGACCGTTAAAGGTGTGAAGCTCCATACCAACATAGATCATTAGCACCACCACACAAAATGTCAATGCCATGTCTGTCAAATGTCGATGTATTGAGTGAGTGACTTTTGTGTAGCACTGCTTTGACCATAAATTTAGCCATATCAAGGCGTTTACACTTTAGTGAAACAAACGATCACGGGATTGAAGCACACTCTGGCGCAGTGGTGACTCAGCATAACAACACTGCCACAAGCTAATTTGCATATCACGTGACTGGACTTTTTTTTCATGTTTGTAATCAAACGCGCTTTTTCAGAAATCAGAATAGAACGGACTTATGCAAGTATATGGGGGCGCTTTACATATTGTTTTGTATAATTATATAGATATGCTACTACAACTGCGACAGTGAGTTGCATGACAATACATATTTACACATCAAAGTGTCCGTATCGCTAGCTTTCGGTAGGGCGTCGATGACAGCTAGTGGAGCCGAACAACCAATGTAAACACAGGATAACTACGCATATGAAAATAGGTTTTCACGGTTTAGGATATTTTCTCAATGAAAGTTAACAATTCTATGACATATGTTCATCTAGATATGACTCAAAAATGAAACAGATAAAAAACATATGCAACATCTTGAATATACTCTACGTATGCATTTTAACTTTGCAATCTTCAGACCAGGTAGTGTATGCCATTAAAATAGTATGCACTTCAAGTAATCGACAAAATGATACTTAAGCAACGTGCATATTACACAGTGTTCTGAGATTGCATTATAAAACAAAGCCTGGCTTCCTCTATATGGGTGAAAGTACTGCATAATTAAATTCATGATATATCATCATGCCTACCTGTAACAGAAGGTACTCCCGACAGGGGATTTGATGACGGTGCAGGTGCAGGTGCGGGTGCAGATGCAAGTCCAACTGACAGGAAAGGGTTCACGAGAGCAGGTGTTGGAGCGGGTGCAGGAGCTGGGTTGAGAGGCGCAACCGGTACAATGCTACCTACTGAGGCAGTATTAGTCACAGGAGGACTGAACAGGCTTCCTTTAAAAGTCGGAGGAAAGCCACACTGGCCGTGAGAGCAGGCCAGAAGGATAACAAGCGCAAATAGAACTTGACCCATTGTGGAAGCCCAGCGTCTACTGCTCCTGAACTGTGATCCTGCTTTTATAGCTGACCATATGTATCCATGTGTGGTAAGGTAACACAATCCGTTATAGCGTGTAGTCATGGTCAAGTATCTTGCTGTGAGATCAGCTCGCTGACTTGGTACGTGTACCATGGGAGGTCATGTGCACGTACATTGTAAGACTCTAGCTCTTAATGGGCACGCTGTGCCGTTGTGGACTGGTCATGTGATGGTTTCACGGTTTATAGCGGTATCATGACGTTAATGCCTAAAGTCTGTTCAACATTATGGCCAAAATCTATGGTTAAGTCCTCCAGCAACGATGGTAAGTCATTATTTAACAACAATGTTTTAGAAGTGCTGTCCATACTGATAATTATATTCCACAATGTGGCTGTACCTAAATGATCCTGATATCTTCAGGAAATGAATAGATGAGGGGTAGATGGAGGTCATGTGGGTTACAATATGTGTCAGTTGTCACTGCCTATGAATACGTTCACACATGGTAACGCCTCTCCACATCAAAGGACCCGTGAAGATCCGGGGTAGAATAGGTCTTTAGCAACCCATGCTTGTCGTAAAAGGCGACTATGCTTGTCGTAAGAGGCGACTAACGGGATCGGGTGGTCAGGCTCGCTGATTTGGTTGATGTATGTCATCGATCCCAATTGCGTGGATCGATGCTCATGATATTAATCCGTGTTGCCGTTACCAACTTGATGCAACGTTACAGACAGACAGGGCGGACCGCTGACAGGCCAAGAACAGGCAGACCCAGGGTGACCACGCCCAATGATGACCGGTACTTGCGTACCTTGCACCTCCGAAATCGCTTCCTGACAGTGACGTCATCGGCGACAAATGCCTTAGGTCACAGGGTTAGTCGACAGACAGTGGCCAAGAGACTCAGGGCTCATGGAATCAGGGCTTTTAGACCATACAGAGGACAGCTATTGACAGCGCAACATCGTCGTCTGCGATTGAGATGGGATCGCGATCTGCGATATTACAATTGTAATAAAGAAGTTGCTCATCCATAACAATTTTGTCTTAGTTACAATTCCAACTTCTAAATGCCACTCAAAGAAGATATCTACCACATGTCTACCATAAAACGGTTCGAGAGCTTTGCTCGGGCTTGGAACCACACACACTCAGAAACGGAAACAGGCAATCATCCACGTCATTTAGCCTGACCAAATGATAAGATTGGTTGGTTGGTTGATTTATTGTTTAACGCCGCACTCAGCAATATTCCAGCTATATGACGGCGGTCTGTAAATAATCGAGGCAGGACCAGACAATCCAGTGATTAATAATATAAGCATCGATCCACGCAATTGGGATCGATATGACATGCATCAACCAAGTCAGCGAGCCTGACCATCCGACACCGTTAGTCGCCTTTTACGACAAGCATAGTCACCTTTTACGGCAAACATGGGTTGCTGAAGACCTATTCTACCCCGGAATCTTCATGGGTCGATAATGATAATTAAATGTGTGGACATGTCATGTCAGTAAAAGTTCACAATGTCAATATGACTAAGTAGCTTTCATGGTAGCTCTTGACAGTTTCTTGACATCAGGACAATCGAGCTCTTCTTGTATAGAGACCAGGGTTTCATTACTTCCTTTTGATAGCCAGTATACTAACTGAAGTCCTACAGGGGCCCCTTCTTCTGCCTCTGAAACAGCCATGGTTGATGTTTCTTGCATTCTGTGTTGGCAACTGTAGTTTCCCCAAGTAATAGCATGTTCACTTTTCGCTTGTTCCGTCTTCTGTTTTTGTGTATGTACTGCCCAATATGACGCCTGTAAACATAACAATCACATGAAACATGCAAGGCTGCATAACAATGTGTTATATGTCATTGTATTTTATGATTGAACAATGATTGTAACTGTGTTACATTGTTTCTGTTGAGATTCAGTAGACGCTCATTGCATTGTGTTTGGACAGTGATTTTGTCATCAGCGGGTTACTACCTTTCTGTAGTAACTTCTGGTCCGGTATACCGCGGACGGTGATAGTATGTTATAGAAACAGCGAGAATGTTTTATGGTGTGATGGCACTATGTGGAACTTTCCAGAAGCTGGTTTTATAAAAGGGACAAGAGCGTGTTTACGTTGATCTCACGCAATTCATCACATCGGAACCAGCTTTCATGTGCGGATCACTCATCATCCCTGATTCCCTGCCTAGCCCATCACGGAAGCTTGACCACTGTCGCCGCTGGGTGAATATATATTATTGTCATTGACTTTTGCTATCACCACTGTATTTTTGTATTTGATACTAACCACTGCCATCATGTTATATACTGCCATTGAATATTGTCCTACCACTCTATTGTGTACCGCCATTGAAATTGTTGTGCAGTAATTTGTGTTGATGTGTAAATGTAGTTAAATTAGTAATATATTTGTTGATTGTATACCACTTGTTGGTTGTTTGTTGGTTTCAAACTAAGTTCTTTTCCACACAGATTTCTGAGATTCAATTTGGGAATCGACACGTAAAAAATGCTGCAAAATTCATTGGTTCAAACAGCATGTAAAGTTTAAGGTTTAAAAGTGTCTTGGAATGCCTGATTTATAAAATATTATTCTGGCTTGCACCATCTGGCTGAAAAGAGTGCTCGTCTCGTTCCGTAACCTTACCACCAAATTTAACCTTGTTCTTTTTTTTATATCCTACGAAATCATTTATATCTTTGAAATCTCTGTCCCTTTTGACGCTGATGTGATTGACAAGGCTCGGGAAATTTATTTAAAAAATCAACATAGATGTGTATACTTTTGTGCATAGTTAATCTTTGACTTCCACAACGTAGGTCATGCTGAATATGAAGTGGAAGATAAATCTCAAAGTGATGCCCAAGTTCAAGGTCAACCTGTTGGGGATGTTGGCAACAACATCTTCTATTGTGTGTACATCGCCATAGTGGAGGTGTGTTAACATCAGTCTCCAGGGCTCTATTGTCGATGGAGGCAACTAAGGTGGTCAAGTGGCAAGTCTAGGTGACTAGATTTGAACAGTGAACTTGTTATGGCTCTGTCAACGCTTCTGATCCAGGCACCTGCTTTGTTAGTTAGACTGATAATTTCTTCCCTCGAGCATACTATCACTCTTAAATGGATTGTCATCACTTTCATGTCTGGGGGCACGGGTAGCCCAGTGGTCAGAGGCGCCGCGATTCGCCGTGCAGAGTTTCGGGCCTTGGGCACGCCAGGAACCTATGATTGTGGGTATAAACCCGGTCCGCCCTGATTGTTCAAGGTTTGTAAGCACCATACCCGTGCTCGAGGTTTTCACCAAAGTAAACGTCAGAGGCCTGCATCACATCCGGCTTTCCTCCCACATTAAACTGACACGTCGTGATATAACTGGTATACTGTTAAAAGCGGCGGTTAACCCACACTCACTCTTTCCCGGGAGGTTTCATGTAAGGGTATGAAGATTAACGAGATCAATTTATAGCGATAATGGGTTTTCAGGCATTGTATCGTGCATTGTGATATTATCACGTCGCAACGAAGTGCCCCTTGTTTGAGGGGCGGAAAATATCCCCAGTGCGTCATGGTTTTCGCACAAACAGGCAGATGTATCCCAACAGTGCGAACCGCTGTTCCTTCTGTCTCTGTCGACCACTATTTATTTCTGGTCAAAAATTGCGGTGGCTGCTGTATTAAAGCTGTAGTGTCGCTCATTTAAGCTGAAAACATTCACATACTCATTCAGTTGGTAGGTGTTTTGTAAATACCCCACGATAAAAACCGAAATTCTTCATAGAAAGTTTAATTTAATAACATTTAGTATTGTTGTCTTTCTTAGTCTCAAACTATTCAATTTCAGATTAAAAATCCCGAGTTCGGGGGAACAGGTGGTCATATTAACTTGCTGGGGTTTGGCTGTTTTACTTGTCTCTTAAAACTGCTTGTCTCTTAAAACCAACAAACGGTAGTACAAGAGCATATCACACTGCGAGAGGAAAAAATGTACAACCAAGATCAACAAAGCAGAGGTCACAATGTTATTTGGGAGTTATTTATCATAATGTAAAAAGTCCTGCACATTCAGGTGACTACAATTTACAAAGCATGATGGCTGTCATAAGTTGGAGGACAAACAATGTAAATATATCGCTTAACTGGTCTTCAACAAGTGAGTGAGTTTGTTGTCACGTTGCATTGAACGGCATTCAAGATATATAAACTAACGGGCAAAAGAAACGTCACCAAACAATGTTCTGGTCTGAAACAAAACAGACGCAAAATTTAGTAACAGTTGATGTATTATTATAAAAAAAACAAGTATTCAATAACGGTTTCTGAAAATGACAAGATCAAAAACCATGTACTTAAAGTTCTGCGGACACGTTCATCATGCTGGGTGCACTGTCCAGTATTCGATCACAGCCGCAGAATCGACGTCGATTTCTTTTAAAGTCCCGTGCTACACACATGGCTCAGTATCGGATTTGACACCCCTCCAGCAACGATGCAGGCCCTAACACGACGTCGAACTGAGTACACGAGTCTCCTGACATCCTTATTCTTCCTGCAGGGCAATTGCCAAGGCGTCCCTCGTCAATGGCGGGTGTTGACGTTTCCGAATCCTGCGTCCAAGTTGGTCTCAGAGGTGCTCTTTGGGCGACAGGTCCGGTGATCTGGCTGGCCACTGTAATACGGTCACGTCGTTGGCGTTCAGAAAGTCGCTAGTGACTCGAGCTGTGTGAGGGGTGGCGTTGTCCTGCTGAAACAGCGTCCGTTGGTGTCGTTGCACGAAAGGCAGTACCACAGGACGCAAAACCTCATCAATGTAACGACGTGCAGTGAGATTTCCGTCGATGATGACCAGATCTGTCTTCTGGTCCCCGCAGATGCCATCCCAGACCATGACACTTCCCCCTCGATAAGGCTCCACTTCTTGGACGCAACAACATGCCGTCCGTTTACAACGTCCCGTCCGTTCACAACGTCGTCGGTAGATTCGAACCCGCCCATCAGACTTGAATAGCTGGCACCTA